CACAAGATGAGTTTCTATGCAGTGTAGTGAATGCTTCTGATGACTTTTAGCCCTTGCCCCCCCCCCCCCATATAATCACAAGATGAGTTTCTATGCAGTGTAGTAAATGCTTCTGATGCCCGTTAGCCAATCCCCCCCCCCCCATAATCACAGATGAGTTTCTTTGCAGTGCAGTGAATGCTTCTGATGCCCGTTAGCCAATCCCCCCCCCCCCCCCATATAATCATAGGATGAGTTTCTATGCAGTGTAGTGAATGCTTCTGATGACTGTTAGCCAATCCCCCCCCCCCCCATATAATCATAGGATGAGTTTCTATGTAGTGTAGTGAATGCTTCTGATGACTGTTAGCCAATCCCCCCCCCCCCCATATAATCATAGGATGAGTTTCTATGCAGTGTAGTGAATGCTTCTGATGACTGTTAGCCCATCGCCCCCCTCATATAATCACAAGATGAGTTTCTATGCAGTGTAGTGAATGCTTCTGATGACTGTTAGCCAATCCCCCCCCCCCATATAATCATAGGATGAGTTTCTATGCAGTGTAGTGAATGCTTCTGATGACTGTTAGCCCATCGCCCCCCTCGTATAATCACAAGATGAGTTTCTATGCAGTGTAGTAAATGCTTCTGATGACTGTTAGCCAATCCCCCCCCCCCCCCCCATATAATCACAAGATGAGTTGCTATGCAGTGTAGTGAATGCTTCTGATGACTGTTAGCCCATCACCCCCCCCCCCCATATAATCACAAGATGAGTTTCTATGCAGTGTAGTGAATGCTTCTGATGACTTTTAGCCCTTGCCCCCCCCCCCCCATATAATCACAAGATGAGTTTCTATGCAGTGTAGTAAATGCTTCTGATGCCCGTTAGCCAAATCCCCCCCCCCCCCATATAATCATAGGATGAGTTTCTATGCAGTGTAGTGAGTGCTTCTGATGACTGTTAGCCAATCCCCCCCCCCCCCCATATAATCACAAGATGAGTTGCTATGCAGTGTAGTGAATGCTTCTGATGACTGTTAGCCCATCGCCCCCCCCCCCCCCTCCATATAATCACAAGATGAGTTTCTATGCAGTGTAGTGAATGCTTCTGATGACTGTTCGCCCACCCCCACCCCTCATAATCACAAGAAGAGTTTCTTTGCAGTGCAGTGAATGCTTCTGATGACTGTTCGCCCATCACCCCGCCCCCATATAATCACAGGATGAGTTTCTATGCAGTGTAGTGAATGCTTCTGATGACTGTTAGCCCATCGCCCCCCCCCCCCCATATAATCACAAGATGAGTTTCTATGCAGTGTAGTGAATGCTTCTGATGAATGTTCGCCACCCCCCCCCCCCAAGCAGATAAAGTAGATCGACATGGTAAAATTGTTATATGTAAATTACATATATTTGGGGAAAAGCAAAGAAAAAAACCTCTGATCATCATACACAGATTTATCAGTTAGTAGCTTTCTGAAGCCCCTCCTCTTCTCTTTCTCTATACATGTCTTCCTTACAAATGTATGTTCTCCATTTTGAATCTTTCTCTCTTCATCATCCTACTGCCCTCTCTATCTGAGAATAATCCCTCCCCATCAGTGGCATAGAAAGAATGAGAAAGGGAGAGGAAGGAATAATGAAAAAGTTTGCATCCCCTTACCCACCCAAGCCCCACTTATTGTCTTTCTTCTTTAGCATTTTATTTACTTAGCAAGTCCCCCTCTCTACCTGAAAACAGTATCCTATCATTGGCTGGACTCATGCTACGACACTGATTGCAATACATAAGGAGATTGGACAAAAAATGAAAACTTGAACATGTTGTTTAACAAAAATCATTGAATTGTTTATTATCAAAAGAGACATATAGCCAGAGGTAAAATCTAAAATTTAAAAAAAAATGTCTTCATAAGAACACCCATTGTTATTTGTCCATTGATTGCCTAATTAGTGCATTAAAAGTCACATTATAACATCATAATTCAGCCATGCTGCACAACAAAAATTGGCAAAATTCAAGTAAGAACAAAACAAATGCACTGTATTGAAATGGGGATAAACATAAACCCACGATTACCTGCAGATTAAGTCATAGTCTGTTCTCTAAAAAGTCTGGAAATAAATGTAAAATATTTCAATGGTATTAAAAAAACAAAAATAGCAGAAACATGCACAAACTTCTGTATGTTGACAAAAATGACAATGCAAGATAACCTGGCTAAAATAAATTGAAATTGGGCAATTAAACACCGAAAAGCAAATTACATATTAATGAGCAATAGCAACATATTAAAATATCAGAACCATTCTGTATGGCCAACCTTGGAACTAATGAAAATACAAATTCTTCAGAACAATACAAAATTTCACATAATTATGCATACTAGTACATCAAACAAACTCACATTTAAGTACTGTTTAAAAAATGGTAAAATGTACCTCTGCTTATGTAATACAAAATTCAATCATGTTTGAAATAGCAACAGTTTTCTAAATGTAAGTACATACATGCATACTCAAATATAGTTGAAACGTTGAACTCTTGAACATGTAGATCCACAAGTATGGAAATGGACCGAATTGGATGCATGCACTAAACATCTTATCATTTTAACACAAACTTGAACACCACCTCTTAAAAAATAGAATTCAATTTAACTTGGCACATAAGAAGTAATATTTGGCAATTGTCTTATTTACAACAGTTGTTCTACATCTCAGAGAAACTCTGATTTACCTCCTAAAGTCTGACATTTCTCTACGACTACCAATCATATATTCTGAAGCAGTGTGCGTAACAAATTTGCTTGGAGATGTCACCTTTATGTCCTCTTAGTTTTCAAGAAGTATTTCATATAATTTTAAGTACTGGTTATTACTCTAAGCACCATGATCAACCCAATATGCAGCAACAATAAAGTATGATTCCAAACGTTGCATGAATTGTACTTCGTTGAATTTGAAGTTTAAAATAACAGTTCCTACAACTACTTACTACAGCTCGTAACTAGAAAATGACATATAGAGAAATTGAAAACAAACCACTACAAATCTACTCATAAAATCTACTCATGCTTTATACAGACAATATTTACTTCTTCAAGACTGTACATTTAAAAATCTATTGAAGATATCAAAGGGTGAATAGGCTCATATGCATCAAGCAACAGGAAAGGCCCTCAAAATCATCACCTCCATTATTAAGAAATGGGCTCCTAAAGATAATGACTTATGAACACCAAAGACTTGATAAAATGCATAACAGACACATTGCTTGGAAACATCTAACAAGATCTAATGGTAAACACACCACACTGTAACCAAACAACATTTGGTGCAAGGTGAAATAGATTAATGCATTGTCTAATTGGAGAAAGAGCCCAGTGACTCACCATCATCAAAATTGCTAGAGATAGGGTTCCCCCCATACTAGTCAAGCCCCATTACAACAATTAACAATTCGCAAGATCAATGAAACTGTGATAAGAAAGAAAAGATAATAACCCCTCCCCCTAAAATTGCTATTGATAGGGTTCTCCAATAGTGGTCAAAGGTCCGTAACATCAATTAACAATTTGCAGGATCAATGAAACTGCGGTAAGAAAGATAAGATAATACCCCCCCCCCCCCCCCCCGCTAAAATTGCTATTGATAGGGTTCCCCAGTAGTGGTCAAATAGCCCCATAGCAACAATTAACAATTTGCAGGATCGATAAAACAGTGATGAGAAAGATCAGATAATACAAGAACATTTATCAAATCTTACTTTCAGCCACTGCTTCGTTTATCTTGTCACTTGGGTATACAGTGCGTGGAGCAAAACCTAAACTACATCTACATCTATGTACAAATATACAACACACATTATGTCATCTCCTGAGCATTAGAAGGGCATTAACTCGCATCACTTTACAGAGACTGATTTAAACACCCTTCTAGCTCTCAGCACCGGACAATATTTCAAGAAAACATATCCATAATAATTCTAGTAGTAATACTGGAAGACATGAATATATAACCACCTGGCAGTGAATGGTTAGCTGGCTGAATACAAACATAGTTTATATATATATACATACATTCACAGGATTGGTGTCAGTTACATAGCAAAGATTATAAAAGGAAAGTCCTAAAATTATCAACTAAAAGCAGTGGGTATAAAAGCAAGTGGTATTTATGTAGGGTAAGGCATTTACTTTCCAATTAACTGTTTTTATTTTGAAGAGTATTTTGAAAATATCAGACCAGGATTCTGTTATGATCCCTAATTTCCAGCAAACATCTAACTGTTCATAACTCTGCAAAATTCTGAGCATGACAAAACAATCTACATTAACCCCCCCCCCTTCCCCGCCAAAGAAAAAATGACCCGATTTCATGTAACTGATTTGCCTTGTGTGTGTGCATTGACATGAATGAGTGCTAAATGTATGCACAGTACTGCCTACTACCCTATCTGACTGGAAAGTTTCTGTAATCGTATCAAATGAATCTGGCACCAACCCTGTATCAAGCTACATACGGTAATGCAATTTTTATGAAGGAAGACAATATTTGAAATATAGGTATCTTTCATCATGAGTTCTAAAATAACATACATGTATACCGTAAAAACTGGAAGTTTGGTATAAAATCCAATAGAGACAATATAAGAGAGATTGAAAGAACTGGACACAAAGGGTGAAATAAGAGAGAGAGAGAGAGAGATAAAGATGGTACATAATGAAATTTAGAACAGATAAAATTCAAACACAAATATGAACAATCAGTGGTTGGCATATATTATAGAAGACCCCCTTCCCAACCCCCCCCCCCCTCCTGTTTTCCCCCTTTTTTGACAGGCAAAGAGTGAAAATGAAGGGGGAAAATGAGCAAAAGAAGAGAACGAATCGAGGAACGGTGTAAAAAAAAGAAAATACAACTTCTTACCCATTCCTTTCAGATCCTCATATTTTTGTGTATCTATTAAAACCAGGTCCCCCCCCCCCCCCCCCTCTCCCTCTCCTGACCAAACCTACACTACACTATTGAACAACACATACATGAAACAGAAATTGGAAGACATAATGATCATAGAAAGATTGATAAAATGATAAAAACGCAGGCTTTCCAATAACATCTAACTTACTGTTGATGTAATGATGGCCAATATCAAATAATGATATCATTACTGATTAGTACTTAATTACACTCAACCTAATCATAACACAAACAATTGACCAATCACAGCTGCTCGCTTGCTGGTGATGCCATAACATTTAGACCAATCATAGCTCCATAAATGATGACATTATAACAGTTTGACCAATCAGTGACTGCTCTGAGGGCTGCTGGCTGGTGAGAGTTCACTGATGTCCTCGGCAGTCTCACTACTCTTGTCCTCTTCAACCTGAAAAAATCAAAGAGACAAATTATCCATACAGATCCTTGAAATTCTTCAAGTGAAGCCCACCACACACCTTACAAGCCAACTGTGATCGATTTTGAAAGAAACGGAAACTAGTTTGAAGTAGTATGTAATTAATTGTTATTTTGGAGCCAAAAGAGCATTAAAGAGAGAGTTAATTTCTATTGCAGAGGGCGCTACACAAAATAATTTTTTATGTGAGATAATGAAAAGCTGAGCATCAAATTTGAAAGAACATACAATTTAAATGACAAAATCATCTTTGTTTGATCAAAATAGGTTCAATGACGGCTGAAAGATCCATAAATATAACGATTTCTAATATTTGTGTACCATCACAAATATTTGATAATTTGAAAAAGCTGTTGAAAAAAACGAAATAGCGCCTTTTACTTTGTATTTCAGCCAATGCCGATGTTGGCTTTTTCGTGTTGGTTATATTAAGCACAACCAGCCGGCCCATGTATTGTTATTTTTAATTAATTAATTAATTAATGTTCACCTTTTTTAGTTGAAAGTGGAGCTGAATTGGTATGATCGTAATGGCTAAATTTCACATATTTTGGGGTCTCAAATTACTTTCCTAGCAATTTAAGGTCCTAAAAGGACAGTAGAAATGTCATAGAATAAGAGCAATAACCATGCACTTTGAAGGCATTTGCGGTCTGAGAACAGAACTAACTATCCCTTTAACACTGCATTGAAGTATATGAGTCAATGCCCTTCTGGCTCTAAACAGACAAAATGGAAGACTATTTTTCTTCCTGATCGAAGTCTTGAACTAGCATACGAATAGCAATATCAAAATTACAGGGTGTTGCAAGCCTTCCAGTCAGATATAAGGCCAGATCAACTGAAATGTAGTGACACCATACTAATTGCGCCACTGGCCACCAACTGGTAGCTGATTTATCCAACACAGGAAATATTACATCAAAGGATACAATGAAACACATTAACTAACAAGTGCTTTACCACTAGAAATTATGATTTTTGTAATATTTTTGTAAATTCTGAAGAGTGGTTCTCAAGCTCTCCACATTTTGAGTGACTTGAAATATTCCTTGTCTAACCTCGACCCCCAAAATACAATTCTTAATCTATCACTGCTTTTAAAACCTTGTAATGCAAAGGAATTAAATAACTGCATTTGTTTTGTTAATCAATGACCGAATTGACAGTAGGGCATTTCAACTTCGACACTATATAATCGATCATATCTAACCTTCATCCTAACCTCAAACCCAACTGCAACTCTAATCCCAATACCTTGCAAAGAATAAAAACCCCAAGCAATTCTAGCTGGAGAGAATACTGGGCTATCAACAGATCATTATACCTTCACTTGATCTCCCTCCGAATGTTCTGTGAAGCCACTATCCGATGAACACTCCTCCTTCTCTCTCTTCTCTTCATCCTGATCCACCTCCCATGGGGGCGGGGCCTGGTCGGGACATCGCTTGAAGGCAAACTTGTAAACCCCAAACCCAGAGAGACCTGTGGTGAACCAGAACTTCTCTACGGAGTACAGACCTGGATCGTAAAGAGAGGGGTATAAATTGATAGCTTGAAGTACTTTCAGCTAGATATCGAGATTTGGGGTGGTACTCAAATTGGATGAAACGTTTTCAAAATAATGCTTGAAATAAATCAAACTTTGGGCACAGGAGTAGAGATCATGGTTTTATAAAATTTTACCAAACTACACAAATTTGAAAGGACATGGCCACATTAAGACTGGAAACTATGTGTATTTATCTTTTATATCTAAGGCAGGGATTTTTAATGGTCGTAACAAATCTAAATTGTAAATTTCATTAGTGTTTGTACAGACGACTTCCATATTGGCAGCCACCTATGCGCAGTAATAAAAATGTCTGTCCCCTATGTAAAAGCTATGCCACCCTTGGTTCGTGTCCCCAATAGAAAAATAAGAATAAGGCGAGAAACGTAAGGGAGGTGGGCAGGGAGGATGAAGAATGGTGATGAAATGCCAACTGTTTTAACATTTCATGAAAATTTCCACTACAAATAAAAAAAAAAACAGAATTCGTATCTAGAGTAGTCTAGTATCATATTCTTACCATGCCGTGGTCGAGTGGTAAGTCACCGGACTGTCGATCACAAGGTCTGCGGTTCGAGACCCGCCACGGCACTAATGTCCTTTGGCAAGACATTGATCTACATTTGCCACACTCAACCTAGGTGATGTAAATGGGTACCTGTCAGGAATTAATTCCTTGAAATGCTAGATAGCGTAATGGCAGCACGGATAAAGCCGGGGTAATAATCTCCAAGTTTGGAAGCGCTTAGTGATTGTAATAAGCGCTATATAAAAACTGAGTATTATTATTATTATTATTGTTACCATCATAACGATATCCATCCTCTGGAGCGTAGGGACTTGACGACTTGTAACCTCTGATGACTCGGACAGGATTCCCCATTTCTACATTCTTGCTTAAGGCTAGATTCCCTGAAAGGAAAAATTGAAATTGTAGACGTTAACATCAGGTTCACAAGTTAGAGATCGAAAAAGCTAATTTTGATAATTGATTGAATTAAGCTAATGGCATCATCTTAAAATCTACAAATTAGTGCAAAATGACAAAGTAGGAGGTCATTTTACTTGTTCCTTGTCTTCGCTGATTGAGATGGCCTCCGATCGTTACCAAAAAATAAGTATAATTTGACTATTAATGTTCACATTTTGTTCAAACACTTTTGAATGACCTAATTACATTGTTGCATGTAACCCAAGTTGATCTGCAAATAAATATTATTTGAAATAAGTGAGGTATTGGTCCCAATCTACATCAGTATCACACAGTGTACTACATGTATGTGTAAATGTCAGAAAAATTTTCAGCACGTTTTGTTAGTTATTTTGTTTATATATTGGTCCACCCAACTTTACTACACTGTATGCGGAGGTGTTACTGCTGTGGTGCAGTGGTTCATTCACTTCACTCTCAATCCAAGGATTGATGGTTCAAATCTTGACCCGGCACAAACGTCTTTTGACAAGACACTATTCCACACTTGCCACTCTCCACCCAGGTGTAAACAGGTACCTACAGTAAACACAATTGCAGGGCCTCAAGAAGAACAGCTGATTTTCAGTGTTAAACAAATTGTTGATATCATATTACTATTCAGGATCACTTATTCCTGGTATACAATAAGTTTGGGAAAGATATCTCTTTTTTGATAAAAGTACACCTACCTCTTTCTAAGGTCTGATCCTTGGACTGTGGCGCTGTTCTCAGGTTCTTAGGATTATTCTTGGTACCTTTAAGGTCTCTTCCACCTGATCAATACAGAGAAAGGATCATCAGTATCACAATGAAAGCTTTTTATATATGTTCACTGATATATAGAAATATATAACGATATAACCACTGAAGATCATTTCTGGATTCATAGGCCCGAATTCTCAAAGGAGGTTTAAATTTAACCCATGGTTTCAACCCTCATTTACATAACCCATGGTTTGAAATTTATAAGCACAAAATAAGCGTGACACAAGTCAGAGGTCCGATATTAGATGCACGCCAGGCAAGGTACGCCTCAATTTTCGCAATTTTAAACCATGGGTTATGTAAATGAGGATTTAAACCATGGGTTAGATTTAAACCTCCTTTGTGAATTTGGGCCCTCATCTTCAAAAAAAATATTCAATACAGTAAGAAGCTATTTACAAATCGGAGTGCTCTACAGAGGTTAGGATCATGAATTGGAAATGTGTAGATAACATCTTTGGTGCCAATAATGAGTACAGGTATGTGTGGGGGGGGGGGGGGGGGAGGGAGGAGTGTGTACAGAGAAAAAAGTACCACAGGCAAATCTTGCCACAAGTTATCAACATGGGCACATATCTGTCAATCATTTACTTTCAGCCTTCTCCAAAATCAACCCAAGATTAATGCAAGACCATATTTCACTTGATGTAGACCAAGGATAATAAACTTTCTGCAAAAAAAAGCATGGTGCTACAATATATCTTTTACCAAAAGAATGCTTTTTTCAATTAAACCTATAACCTACCCTGTCCTGTGAAGGTAAAGCATTCACCCATGTCCACATCATCTTCATAGCCACCGGACAACGCGACCGAGTAACAACCATCTTCGTTACCATGGATACCAGAGACGGTAGGTCGATGCACCCCATCCCTGGAGCACTCCATTCTCATCTCCCAAGTTGTTCCAATTTCAATACCTTGAGGGAAGCAACAACAAAAAATGTGTTAATAAGAAAAAAAAATGGATAACATTTCTACAGATAAATTTTCCAATACGATAGCTTTGTTTACACAATTGTATTTCACTTCACCACTTAAAAGCTCACATAAGAAGGCCTCGAAAATGAACTACATCCATGATTAATAGGTTCACTATAAAAGTTTCTCCAAGAATATGAAATCAAAAACCAACTTCCAACACATAATATAAAATTATTCAACTGGGGAAGGGGTGGGTGAAACCATTCAAAAGCTTGTACACAAATTTTAGATTTTAGATGATAATGCCTCTAATGGCAACTTAGTCTGAACCATGTCTTCAAAGTACATTGATACCTGGTATGGATCCAAAGGTGTTATCTCTGGGAGCTCTCTTGACTGGTTTGTAGTCTGCATCTTGGTGATCAAGGCTGTGTTCCAATGCTTCAAGATCAACATCACCACCTTCCATCGGTTGCTATGGAAACAAACACAGAAGGATGTGGCATAGGAATAGAAATATACCTGGGTAACCTGGTACTGTGAAAACAAACGAATCGCCATGTGTGCACGGCTTTGTAGGAACACGTGTGAGATTTAGGTCTGCTGTACTTACACAAAGACTGGCAGCTTTTATTACGTGTTCTTTCATTCACTTAATTTCAATGGGAATCATTGACGGAAAGTCTAAATATCTGGCACATGTGGAAAACATGAGGGTATATTCAACAAGTTTCACTCTAATTTCTTGTCAATTACCAAAACTTGTCAGAGAATGTATACATGTCTTGGATGATATGAGCGCTATAAATATATCCAATATTACTTTTTTATCAAAAAGGCTTAAAGATAAAGGTGAGTTCTGGTTAAAAAAAAAAAGAATTCTCACGGAATCAAACAAAACTTACACTGAATGTTCAAGATTACAAATAAATGTGATTTGCCCAACAATTTTGGTAGAAAATGTATACTGGCTGAGTAAAGAGCATAGAAAGATTAGGAAATCAAGGTTAGTAGCCCCCTGACACCATTTGTGTAGTCCAATACATGTATACATCTTTCTGTGTACAGTGCTTGTTAGTTTACCAAGACTGGGCCAAATTTATTATGATTTTGATGATTCCAGAACTTTGCAGTTCACACCAAAACTTACATGCTACGTGATCAACTTTTTCTGATCCATTCCACACCTTTTTCTTTCACAATGCAATCGGATGACCAGAACTCACCTTTATCTTTAACATTTGTAATGACCATATATTTTGTGTGTGTCATACAATTTCAGTGATATTCCTCCCCCCCCCCCCCCTACAAGCCTAAGAATCCTGGAATTGTCACTGAAAGATCTAGATTCCTAAGCATACAAGTAGATCCTAAGCCTTGGTGGAATGAGTCAATTTTTGTCAGCAAAAGAAACTTACACTTCCCCGCAACCTGCGAGACTGCCTTCTGCCAAAGGGTGAATAGTCGCTGCCTCCATCAGGTCCAGCGTCTGTCAGGCGTGGTGTCTTGGGTGTTCTTGGTGATGCAGTAGATGGACGTTTCCTCTTGATTCCACTTGTCTTCTTTGGAGCAATGAACTGTGGAAGTGAAATAAAATGAGTTTTTACTTGAATTATCTAGTAATAATAATAATAAAATATTGGCCAAATTCTTGACTAATAACATTAATGATGCAGTGCTGACCCTTTTATCTAGTCTAACTTTGTTTTTTGCACACTATCACTATATCAGACCGAAAGCTGCTGTGAATTCCTCAATCATATCAACAGTTTTTCCAACAAGACTGTGGCTTGCTCCACTGACTGCCTCTATAGACTACAACCATTACAGAAACTGAACTTCAGTAGTGCGTTTTGCAGTGCGGTGAGGGGAACTTACGTCAGTGCAGTCAAAGTGTGATTGCTGCATGCATTGGTCTCATCATTCATTCACTACAGATTCATAAAACTGGTACAAAAGTTCAACAAATTGATTGTTCGATTCACACCACCTGTCTGCAGGTATGACAATTAAGGTCCATCCTGTTTACGGTACTTCATGCAGCCATTAGACCCTATAATAATATTAAGAGTACCCGAGACTAGGGCTATTATTTATTGCCGTACTATTTATTTCTTTATTATTAAATGGGAATGCAATGTAGACCGGTGTTTGGTTAGGTCGCCCCCAAGCCGGTCGCCTCCTAAACGCAGTCGCCTCCTATACGCAGTCGCCTCCTAACGTAGTCGCCCCCAAATTATGTGGTCGAGTCGCCTCCTATACACAGTCGCCCCCTATACACAGTCGCCCCCTACGTACAAAGGCAGTACGCTAGCGCAGCGGTCAGAAGCTATTAGAGAAAGTTTCATTCTTTCTATTACTCTAGATAACTATTTTGTCCTAAAGTATAATGTGAGAAACGTTTCATTTTATTTTGATGCAACAGAGATTTACATTTAAAGGTTTTACTTTTTATAATTGTACAGTGAAATTCTTCTCATTTCGACATTATCAGCCGCTGGTTCTCTATTTTGTTCCCTTAAAGGTATGTAAGAGGGGGGGGGGGGTAGAAAGTTGGACGTAGCCTATAGATCCTACTGTATTTATTGTTATGATATTTGTCTCTCCTCCGATCACCCCCCCCCCCCCCCCCCCCCCCGGGCACTGATTTTGTTCTTTAGTTTATCTCTTTGGGTTTGATTATATCATTTTGCTAAAGTAATGTCCGACGTATGTTATAATAATCTCAAGGAAGGGATGATGCCGGCATATACAAGCAAATGGCGGAAAAGACAACATTATGGAAGATGAAGATGGACAAAGATGAAGATGGACATAAACAGAGAGAGGGGGAGAGAGTGGGTTGGCGGGAGATAGAAAGTTGGACGTATTCTGTACTGTATTTAATATTATGATATTTTTCTCTTAATCCTTGCCTGAATTCAGTTTTCCCCTCACCGCGCTGACGTTTCATTAAATTATTAGAGAACGGTTTTCGACTCTTAATCCTTGTCTGAAATAAGTTCCCCCATCCCGCGTGAAGCGCGCGCGGAAGCTTTGACGTTTCATTAATTATTAGTTAGAGAAAGAACAAAAAAGAAGATTCATTGCACCGACTCTTAATCATTGTTTGAATTATCAAAAATGTTTCTTTGTTACTATTATTGTTTCGTCGCTTTTATCCTCCGCGCGCTTTATAATAATGAAGGACAAAAGCGCCGCGACATCAGAAGGTATGTATTTGAAAGAATAACTGCTTTTTATTTAAGCACAGATTAAAATAAAGTGACATTTATACAAAAAACAAACACAAATTATTATACAGGTTAAGGTTGGAACCTACTAGTGCTTTCGAATACTTGAAAAGATGAGCAGGTGTTCATGTTGGTCACGCATGGTCGTCCCTTACAATATTCTTTAAACAAAATCACGCACTTATAGAATGAATTGAGAGTAAAATTAGATAACGTTTCGTTCATTTGGGTCTACCGCCGAAAGCTTATATTTCGATTTATTTGCTTCATAATAAACTTATATAAGTCATATCAATTATAGCTCACTTTTAATTCAATGTAAAAACATTCTCTTCTGTTAGTTTGTTGGGCAATTTATTGTTTATTATTTAATTACATGAATTTTGTAAATCATCTGATGTCCTTTCATTTATACTTTTTGCAGACGATTCTAATTTATTTTATTCCCATAGAAATCCAAATTCTCTAGTCAATGTTGTAAATTCTGAACTTGAAAAAGTCACCCAATGAATAAAAGCAAACAAACTATCCCTTAACCTCCAAAAAAAAACAAATATAGTAAAAATTGGTAATTGTATGAACACACTGCCCAAGAATATCATTTTGACGATACCCCCTTGAGTTGTTTCATTATTTACGTTTTTAGGCATAACTGTTGATAACAAACTTTCGTGGAAATACCATATAGATAATACATGTAAGATCATTTCACGGAATATTGGCATAATATAATATTTATTTATTTATTTAAAATGATTTATTTCATTAAAAACATTCGCGGCCCGAGAGCCGAATCAGTTTCTTTTACAAAGTATACATCAGTGACAAAGTAAAATTACACGTAAAACATTATGCATGGTATAGCGTTATAGTAAAATTGCAATTCTTTTGTACAATTGTGCTTCAACGACCTTGGCAAATTGCTTGGTACAAATATAGAAATCTGAATTGCAATACCATATTTGCAATGAAATTATATATTAAACTTATACAATATGTGAATAGTAATACATTTTTGATATTCAAAATAATTAAATGTTTTGGTTGGAAAGTGCATAGCCAGATGGGTAAGGTATGGTTATGGTGTTTTCTTCAATAACATAAACCGAATCCAGGAATTATAAAATCAAATAGATGCTACAATGATTTAAACAAATTATACATTGTAGGTAAAATGCAGAACATTTTGTATTTGGGCCAATTTACTAAAAGGTACATGTAGAATATTGCATATAAGTTTCGCATAGAAACATGGGTAAAAGGTTGCCATTGTAATATTCGATATAATGTGCATCATCTTGGGAATCATGTTAAACAGTCAAACAGGATTTTGTACGATTAAATCTGATTTAGTTTAAAAAAGTAAAATTATATAGTAACATTATTCAAAAATGCATTCACATGTCACCCTTTTATTTAGGAAGTTATACCAGAGAAATAGAGAGAGAGAGAGAGAGAGAGAGAAAGAAGGAGAGTGAGAAAAGGGAGAGAGAGGGGAGGTGGGAGAGAGATCGGGAGAGAAAGAGAGATAGAGGAAGAGAGGAGAGAGAGAGAGAGAGAGAGAGAGGAGGGGGGGGGGGGACAAAGACGGTGAATAACAAGAGAGTGAGCTAGCCAAAAAGCCATGAAGAGGGTCTCCCTGCTCCACAGGCGCATCACAGCACTGTCAGAGAGGAGACAATAGGGGTATTGAGAGAGTGATCGATGTGGTAGTACGCAAGCTGGTGGAAACTTATATGCAAATATCCTCGAAAATATGCAGTTACAATAGAAAATTCGAGGAAAATTTTCAATATTTAGTAATAACATAGTACTGAGATGCCAGGAACTAAAAATGGCTTGACTTTGAACTTGTAAAAGACATCAAATTACAACAACAAATTAGGGGGCGAAATGACCAAAAAAGTGGGGGCGAGCTGACCAAGAATCCCAAAGTCGGCAAAAAAAATCGGGAGGCGAGATGACCAATTGAGGGCGAATTTGTAAGGGGGCGGGCTGACATTAGGCGACCTGACATGGAACCTGTAGACCTAGTACTAGTAGATCTAGTTCGAGTTGCAGTTTGGAGACTTTGCCTTTGCTTTGGCCATGTTGGCTGATGAGTGATGATCATTGAGCACGAGCTCCTATTCCCAAGACTGTCTAGAACTAGACCCCTATGAATCATCTTTGTTGGATCGTAATTAATGTAACGACATGTTAATGTTATATTTCCGATCTATTCCCATCCGCATACTGACTGTTATTTACTCCTAAAAGTTAAAACAAAGTAAAAAAATAAAATGGAAATTAAACTGACCGGTTTCAGAATGCCAAGTCCAGCTAAAACTCGCTTGTTTTCTTCGATATTCTTCAATCGACGCTTTTCATACTCTGATAATTCTCCTGGCATGATGATTGATTTTAAGAAAAGTGGCAAAGCAAAACAGAACAGAAGACAGAAGTTGGTGTTCAGTGAGATGGAAGCTGCGGATTCAGAGCACTGGACTGCTGGCGTGAAGCCCCCGTTTGCTGATCCGCAAAAGTTTGGCGGGTCTAGTCTCTAGATCACAAGTCACAACAACACGCAAATTTATGTTGACATAAATTTTCAATCTAATTTTAAACTAAAAACGAATATGACACACGCTCCCTGAATACGATCAGGACCTTCCTGGATTACCAGACAAACGTCTAAGCAGAAAGATATAGTATGACAGTTATCAGCATGTAGATTTTCAGAAAACAAATTCAAGACACGTTCTCCGTTGACAGCATCCCACTTGTTTCACCGCGCACGTGTGAGAATGTTGATGTGTTGTTAAATGGAAATTAGCATACAAACACGTTATCAGCTGATCAAGTTTTCGCGGGAAACAGAAAAAAGACTGGTAAAAATCTCTTCTCGTAAACCCCGCTTGGATGCACTGCGCACGCTACTTTTGCTGAAGTTTGATTTCAGTCATTGAACCCTGGACCTCCCTCTGAACAAGTCACAGTGTACCTGGATAAGGGACGTAAATAAAAACAAACTGGGAACACGACGAATTAGTTTACCTAGATTTATTGGTTAAATATCTCCACCACAGCAGGAGTAAATCCAAAATTTGGATTCCTCAAAAAAAAAAATTATAATCTAAGCCACTTTCGGTTAAAATGTGTGCAAACATATAGTTCAATATACCTGTTGTTTCGAAGGGAGGGGTCCGAACCCCCCCCCCCTTGTCAGTTTCTCTCACTATCTCTAGTGCCCCATTTAAACTTTCTTTAAACTTTTTTCAGTGAACGCTATCTAATCATTTTAATTGAACAATCTAGGTGATTTACGATATCAATGTCATTCAATATGTCATTCTCTAAGCTTTAAACTTGATCAATGACTGGCAGAAACGCCATCATCATCCATGGATAGACTGAATTCGACACAACCTGGAAATCCATTTAATAATTACAGAGAAATGCTCCACTCCCCTACCCACCCACATCCCCCCCCCCCCAAAAAAAGACGAAACATTACATACATATTTGTTGTTATTTCTTGGCGATACAGGCGTTCTATGAAAAGCATTTCAGGAGTCTATCTATTCCTTATAATGTTGTCATTTTATTTTTTCAATGTGTGAATCTGTAGTGTGTATACAATGGAACCTCGTTATAAAGAACACTGTTAAAAGAAAAAGAAACTGTCCTTATAATGACTTAATTTGCTGTTCTCACTTCTTTTTTATTCTACCGTTTGGTTTTTTTAAGCCTAAGAGTCTAAGTTATAAGCTACATATCATACCGAAGCTGTGACGCCATAAAAATTTATTTTGAGAATTTCTCAATTTTTTTCTTCATTTTCCGAAAGAGCATAACAAATAACGTCCAAATGTCGAAAACCAATTTAATATGTTGAGTATTGGCTGAGATATAACCATCTGAATAAATATATTTCCTATAGGAACTCCGTGTTATATGCTCTGGCTCCATTAGGTATGATAAAACCGCTCGTGGGCCACTCTGCTAAAACAAAAAAGATAAACAAAAGAACAAAAAAGAACTTTTTTGTACGAATCGATCAATTTATTTTACAATTACATTGATAATATAGAACAATATATACATTTGCATTGCACATTTACATCCATCTGTACAGTTTTATAAAGAGATCATTAAATTAAGATTATGTAAATGAGAGCATGCATACCATGCACGATAAGGTATATCAAATGTCATTAATTTTTTAATTAAATATAAATATAATTCATTCATTCACCCCAATAGGTATTAAATGAATACACAATGCACACAGTAATTGCTACAACATATTTTTCAGTTAGCAACATAAAATACACAAATTTCACACATGTTAAGGACTTCATTCATAAGATTGGAAGTCTGTTTACATTATTAAGAGAATACTACTTATAGTTTCATTGTGGTCGAGTAAGACTAAGAAGTTAAAATGTTCCTCAGTTTACATCTAGGTTAATTCTTAAAAGAGTAAGCAAGCATAACTGGTTTTGTCTTTAAAAAGTGCCTTTTTCACATTTGAATAAAAATCAGCAATGAACTTGATAAGCATACACTACGTTTTAACTGGTTGTTATCCAAAACATTTTATTACAGCGTATATGAATAGCAGTGCTGGTCAAAGTAAGCTGTGAATTATTCATTTGAATGCAGGATGAACCATGTAAAAGCAAAAACAATATTCCACTTACACAGATTTATTTCAGTACAAAATAATAATAATAAAATAAAATCTTAAGGACAATATGTGCAGAGTTTGGAACAAAGTTACTCAATATATCATTTTTTTTTTATTACTACTAATCATTTATGTCAACAAAGTAACAATGTATACTCATTTTGTCAGTTATTGGTATTTGCCTATGATTCAATGTACAAAAAAAAAAGAGTATTGTTTTAAAAAAAATCACACATATTAATGCACCCTTATAATCCCTTGGGATAGCAATATAAAAAGAGCAATACAAATAACACTCAAAGGCAGCATTGAAGCCTATCCTTGTTGTATCAACTTGCATCTCAAATACACATACAATCAAACCTGTCTTAGTGGCCACCTCTCTACAGTGACCATGTATTTTGTCTCCCTTGATAAAGAAATGTGTGTTGTAGAAACTGTCTAGAAAGGCCACCTGTCTACAATGGCCAGTCTTCTGTTGCCAATGGGTGACATTCATAGACAGGTTTGACTGTATTTGTGAACAAAAATCTTTTGCAATATATTTCCTAGCCCTTATTATAAATGATTTGATAACCTATTCTTGATTTTGAAGATGACGAAGTATACACCTTGCCAATAATTGATATATGACAAAGACAAGTATGTGAAACCTAAGTGATTCAGCATTTTCCCCTTTGATTCCAGCTCAAATATTCATACAATGATTGGAAATTCAAATAAATATATATGGCTTTGTGTAAACTACTTGACACCTTTTATTACGACATATCAGTTATTTCAAAATCACAACTACACTAAATTTATATTCAGGCTAGATTAAAAACCTTTTTGAAATTCCTTATTGGATGTGAGCTAAGTGACCTTCACAATTTAAAAAACATATGGTGAATGCAGAGAAGCCTAGATAAATTTTGATGCCGATGATGGTAGCACATGATAATTACATAGGCCTACCAGTGCTGTGAGCTAACATAAGCTCTAAATATCATACGGTACTTGGTCTCACTTACATTGTACGAATACGTCCTTGTCCGTATAAGCCCCACGTGCAATGGAAATTCTGCATTATATTTCTGGTGAATGTTTATGGTGTATCGGTGAAAGCAATTGGTACAAAATAAAAACGAAACAATTAGTGCAAAAAATTACAAACAAACACACACTGAAGCACCATCATTAAAAATACTAATCGAGCTAAACTAGCTAAGCTAAACTTTCACATATAATTTTAAGTCTGTGTAACTACATAAAATACAATAAAAATAATGCTTAGTTTTTATGGTAATGGTACACCACATCGGTCTTGATGTATGTGGTGTATTAAAAATTAAAACTGGATTTAATTTCAGCTCAAGCAATCCAAGGTATACATTTTACCAGATACCCACTTGGTACAGCCCAATTGAGAGACAACTGTAGATAACCTGCCTTGTTTATTAAATGTAGAGGAAGGGTTACTGGTTTCAACCCTCCAGCTATTGCTTAAAGAGAAGGTTGAGTTCTGGGAAGAGGTGAAAACTAATGTGTGAGCGTTATCATTGCTATTATGCAAGGGTGAAAGAACATCAGATAAAACATGGTCATGTTGTTAAGCTTGGCTCTTCAAATGCCTTCATGTTCTAAATATATCATGAAACATCGTAAAAATCTGTCCCGATTTTTACGCCACGTGTTCGTGGGTCCAAGACTTGGCCAAATTTCTTATCATTTTGATGATTCTACAACCTTGCAATACACACAAATTCTTATATGCTAGATGATCAACCTTTTCTGGTCGATTCCACACTGTTTCTTTCACAATGCAATCGCATGACCAGAACTCAACTTCATCTTTAAATTTCATAACAAAGCTAATGTTTGCTGACATATTCATACAATAATATAAAATAATATAACAAAATAAATACATATCCACACTAAGTACAGCCATGAAATCAGTAAATTAACTTACGGTACTATAAAAGTTGACGTGATGGGATAAACTGTGCACCTTACATAATTTGTTTAGAAGAAGAAAAAAATACATTTTTAATTTAAATCAAGGTTTTTACCTAACCTAGCACTATAAAGAAATTGCATCTGTGTGGCAGCTACATGTAATGTAAATATATATATTTCCAAAATAAATAACACATACGTTTGACATCTTAAATCCACGTCATAGAGCGAAATTTGCAAAGATGTAGTCTAATACGTGTACGGTACGTCTAAATATACAAAATCACAAATACACCTGAAGTGCATCTCATCTCTCACATTAAAAAAAATTAACAGGACAAAAATTCTTGTCCTGGAAAAATGTACTGAAATAATACAGCAAAATTCCTGTTTTTAGTTAGTAATTTTTGGAGAAAAAAATACATTTCGAACATAAGTCTTTGTGTGAAATTCATTTTCACCATACACTAGTTCAATTTGGGAAAAAAAGAAAACAACATATTCCAAGCAGCATACAATTTTTTTTTTTTTAAATTGGAAAAAAGAAGAGATGGCGAAGTTTCTGGGTAATACAAACGAGTAAGTATCTCATTGCAAAGGCAATGGAAAGATATACAGGTACTTCTCTTTGTTATGACTAGAGTGATAATATATGTATTGTTACAGCAGTAGAAAGAGATCAAATATCATCATCTCCCAGGTTATGTTACACTTGTAATGTGACCTTATGATAAGCAAGGCATGGTCCTGTTATATTGGCAATGTCTAAGTTCAGGGGCAGATGGGGGTGACCATTCATCAATCATGCATAATTATATTCATGTTTGACAATGCTGCACTGTGTGCAATACAAATGGAGGGATTCCGTTTTTTCAATCATGCATCGCCCAGCAAATTTGAGATCTGCAATTATTTGCCAGGGTAACCTACCAGCAAAATGTTAACAAACATGACATCAAAAGATATGTATCACTCTAGTCACAAACGGTCTGTTAGAATAGAAATTTCCACAACAGTTTTGTTTTGTTGGGGGGGGGGGGGGGGGGAGCGGGTCCATATCAGGATTATAGCGAGAGGTAGCAACAATTTACTATTTTTTGCATCATCCTCAAGCAACCTGAGTAACCTTGAATATATTTCAAGTAATAACACTAATATATTTATGATTGAGGCAGTATTTTTTCATACACTTAAAAATCAGTGTATTTAAACTTTATATCATATAGTATACGGTATAAAGAAAAGTACTCCTATTTGTTTAAGTGTCAGTTGTAAAATCCCTGTAGTGTCTTTACAAGAACTCAAGAACAGAGTTTAACGAGACCCCACAATGTTTATCCTACATCAGGCTAGTAGTTTCCTGAAGACCTTTTGATTTTTATGTGGGTCTCTCTGAGATAGTAAGGTACATGTAGTACTTGTCTTCAATTAATAAGTGATACATTTTGATAATACAAGGCACATTGTGCTCAAGGACATTACAAAAAATAGTATCAAAATTTCTCAAAACCCTGAAAAGATCAGTCAATCTTGAGTATCATTTTAAAGATCCCAGTTATACAACTGTACATTCACACTTTAAGAGAACACCAGTATACAATGCTAGGCAAAACAGTTTTTAAGAAAATATGTATATATTTAAATATGTAAATATTTATATCAAAGGGAGTGTAGCCTGGCAATTACTGGTTAACGCCATCTACGTCTTCTTTTGGACAACTGCACATAAACGAATGGACTTGGTTAACGGTACCAACAACTTAATCTCTACATGGTCAGCGTTTGCAAAATAGACCGAAGATCTCCTCACGCTTAGGTTTCGCGTATGTTGCTTTTTACCGGAACAATTCAGTGATGGCCTTCTTACAGGCAGAGGGGGATTTGTCTTGATAAACCTTCAGAAGCATGGACCTACCAGTGGACATATACCTGAAAATTGCCCTCACAGATAGTTGGTACACACTTATAGAGAAGGTTGAGTTCTGGGAAGAGGTGAACATTATTTGTGAGTGTTATCATTGTATTATGCAGGTGTGGAAGAACATCAGATAAAAAATGTTTTTCGAAAAGCATGGCTCAAACGCCTTATTATTCTAAATATGGCATGTAACATCATAAAAATCTGGACAGAATTTTATGCCACATGTTTGTGTAGTCCCATATACATCTTTCTGTGTACGGTGCTTGTGACGTTACCAAGACTGGGCCAAATTTCTTATCATTTTGATGATTCCAATATCTTGCAATGCACACCAATACTTATTTGCTAGATGATTAACCTTTTCTTGTCCATTCCACAACATTTCTTTCACAATGCAATCGCATGACCAGAACTCAACTTTACTCTTACATGTATGTAAATGAGTGCCCTATTCCTTTTCAACTCCAAACAAATCTCAAATCACCAAATAAGGCTTACATAGATTACCACCATTCTCTGGTAGGGCATTTCCATAATTTCTATAAGCATTTCACGCAGAAACAGAAGATTCCTTCAAAAGCCGTGCTCAAGACTCGAGGTATGATGTCTTTCCTTCAGAGGCCTGTGAGGTGAAGGAGCTGAGGATTGGGCTTGCAGTATGTTCCCACTGCATACATACATGTAGGCAGTACTTTGTTACAACGATCCTCTGAAACGCTCAGAGGTTGGAGAATACACATGGTGTGCAAGTGAGGTGAAAGGGCAGCTGAACGGCAATCCAGAGTGTTTACATTCACAGAAATGTGTTCCCACTGCAGACGTCGGCAATACTTAATTATATAAAATTTCCTCAAAAAAATATTCATCGACTTTTGTCATGAAAGTCATATCATTGCGTTACATGTCAACGCATATACCTTCTTAAGCCAATGGCTGTTCTTTACCTAGCCTCGCTAGGTACACTCAACTTTTAAGACTTTTCATGAAATTGTTTTCAATAATTTGGCAAGCAAGTTGACACTCTTGTAATTTCTTGTTCATTATCTGTCGCTCGGTGCATTCACTCTGGCCGAGTGCCTCACATTTTCAGTTTGTCAACGGAGCCCCCTGTGCCTGTAACAAACAAGAGACGTGTAGGAGAAAAAAGACACAAACATGGGTTACTAAAAAATTGGATATTTAATCAATAAATTAAAAATTAAAAAATATTATTGTGTACTTTACGGTACTCAAATTAATTTTCAAGACTCTTCACACATGCACCAACTATATAAAACAGTATCATCACATTGTGTACATTCGTGCAGCTATGATGACCCGACCCCCAATTCAATCTGCAAAATCCATTAAAGGGCAATCTAACCCTTGTAATAAATTCATATGAATGAAAGCAGTAAATTCAGAGAAACAAAAATGGCGAAAGTTTGAAATAAATCAGGCAAATTTCAAGAAAGTTATGAATGTTTGAAATATATGACCACAACATCTATGCGAACCTCAAATTGGCAATTTTGTCAATGGATTGTGACGTAGGGACGGATAACTCTCCCGTTTGTCATATACAACAATATAACAAATAAATTTTTTTGTCCCAATTGGCTTCACCTTTGGAGCATTATTATGGAGAGTATATTGATACAGGTCCTCTTAAAATTAAAGATCATCCTGAGTCAAACATTTTTGAAAAATTTAAATTTTAGTCATTTTGTGTTTGAACAAATGGAAAGGTTGTCTGCATCACAGAGACATTACCGATCTAGCCAATTTGAAGTGATCGTATCCTTAGTGATTGCAACCATAAAAAAATCATAACTTTCTCATTTTATATCTGATTTAATTCAAACTTTTACCAGTATGCTTCTATAACTGTTCTCTTTGCTTCTAGAGTAGTTTCCTATCAAGGCTGGATTTCCCTTTAAAATTTGAATTAATAAGCCTCAAAGAGTTGATGGTATCATGGTATGAAAAATTGAAAATACATCAAATAATCATTCATATTAATCAATGACACGCTTCATTTGTCAGAATGGACTACTTCTTTTTTCTCTCCCTCTTTTCATTAACAAATAGTGGATCCAATTACACGGTTAATAATTCAGATCTACCAAACTAGCTCCCTCCTTTGTTATTCCAAAGCCATGTTTGTAAACATACTGGCTTTATGATCTTTAAAGTTGCATCAGGGACAAGGAAAAATCTTCCTTTCTATCGAACAAATTTTCGCTTCATTGGACAACTTCAAATGGCCTCTGCAAACGTATATCATATATGCATATGAATATGGAGAGTTCCTTGCACCCATGGAAAAAGGTGCTTTTACATGAGTTAAATGTTATCAATATACATGTAAGTATTATTCATTTTTTAAAAGTTATTGTCAGATACCCATGTCCTATATACATATATTAGGGATGAGGGGTATAATAACATTCCACTTCAATGGGAGGGGGATACAGATAATGGTCAGGAACATGTGAGATTAAAATACTGAGATAAGGATCAAATGTTCTGAAAGTTTTGGGTAACGTCTCCTCACCTGGCGTCTCTGTAGAGATGTATTGAACAAGAGTACAACATCAGCAAGGCAGCAGACAAAGACATGCAGTCATCATGCAAAGAATCACAGCACACATAGAGATAGAGAGAGATAGATAGAGAGAGAGAGAGAGAGAGAGAGAAGAGAGATAGATAGAGATAGAGATAGAGAGAGAGAGAAAGAGAGAGAGAGAGAGAGAGAAGAGGGTATGAGAGAGAGAGAGAGAGAGAGAGAGAGAGAGAGAAATGGGAAAAACAGTAAGAAAAAAGGGAAGAGATAGAGGAATAGACATGCAGTGAGGTTGACGGAACAGAGGCAGATTAAAAGAGAAAAGAGATAATGAAGATGAAGGTATTTATAATGAGAAAGAGGTGAAGGGGTAAAGAGATAAATATGTGATAAATAACCATGCAAAAACCATAATAAAATCATTCACTAGCATTCAATACTTTATGCAACTACATCCAGTAAACTTTTACTTCAATGCATAACGCAAAAGCAAGCTGGCTTCATTAAGAATTCAGTGTTTTGACTTCTTACCCCCCCCCCCCCCCCCCCCCCCCCCCTCTTGAAAAAAAAAAAGAATTCCAGACTCAGCAGTAAGCAGGTATTTTTCTTTTCACATCAAAGCAAGAACCACTGCAATAGCAAATCTAAATATACTTCTTTTTCCTTCCTTCACTACAATAGTGCCTTTAAAATTCATACTACAAGTACATGGACAAATTGTTTGTCTGAATTATTATCTTTTGAATCACTTCCGCATGCACGTAACTTGCGAAATACACAGGACAAGCTGCTTCTAAAGCTATCTCGCATAAAAACTAAAGTAACCCTTGGGAGATCATGCTTTCAGTTGCGCCACTCTATAGCTTTGGAATAACCTGATCCTAGACGTGAGAAAAACCTCATTTGTCGCTGTCTTCAAAGTTTTGTTGAAGACGCACTTGTTTTAGGAGCTTTTTAATGGATTTTTACATTTTATATTGTGATTTTGTAAAGTAGCAGTACATTTATATAGGAGCTGCACTATATAAATTGATCTAATTATTATTATTATGTACTTAGATTTCATTGCATGAGAGGGAATCACTTCTTTTAGCACTGATATTGATTCTTATATTAAAAGCATGGTGCTACCCTAGAAATCAACTGTTGATAAAATCCAAAACTTGATAAAATCATTTTGTATTTTCTTGAGTTTCATTAATATTATTCAAATGACTAATCACTAAGAGATTATGGAACTATTTCACCTTTTTCTCTTTCATTTATAAATACCAGCCAATCAAGGATGCATAAAATCAAAAAGTAAATATTTCCCCCTAATAAAACAAAAATAATATCAAACAAATGACCTTATGTGTGGGCACATTATTTACTTAAAGCACCTACGGTAGCATTGGTAACTATTTGACATCCGGCATGCACCTATTATAAACAACCTAGTAGCTACAATCAAAACGCAAAGCACACAACAACAACTATCTGCCCAAGGGATATTGGTCAACATTCTAAAAAAATATTAGGAATCAAGTTAAAATGAAAACATAAAAATAAAAGATATATTAAGTCCGAATGAAGATTAGTGAAAGATAAGTCAACACATGATGTACATGTATGGTAGTACATGTTAAAAGATATTTTAATTTACATTAAGAACTCCTATTAATAGGAACCATATTACACGCCAGTTAGTTTCAACAAAGGTGGGAGTATATGAGACCAACAGATGAATATGTATATAAATCATATCAAAAATCGAAGGAGGGTGGGCAACATAGCAAAGTTTCATACATTATAGCAGTCATATAAAAATAACTTTATTATCAAATTTAATATTGAATAGTTCCTGCATTCAAATTTGAAAAACATCTTATCGTCTTCTCAAGCAGATATACTCATAACAGTGTATGTATATTACATTAATGAATTGGATATTGGAATAGTATAAAACAATCACACATACCATTTTGTACTGTGTGAATTGTGAAATGAGGACGATTACCCTGATTAAATTTCTATTTCTATGCCTGTAAGATAAATCAATGCAGGGAACCTTACTTGATACTTACCGGTAATCTTTTATCTCAATTTTTATTTTATTTTACCAGACCAGCTTAGTGTCTATTTTTATGACTGTCTTGGCTGCTTCTAAAACTTAGGGATAGATGTGTATGATGTCATTCTAAATGTCGAATAGGACAATAAAAAGCATCCCCAAAACAACAAATTGAAACAACAAAACTACTATTTAAAGCAAAAACGGACAAAACCACAAACCAAACAATACTTACATACTTAAAATATATTTCCCCACACGTTTTCAATGAAAAAACACAAATATGAACTTATATTCTTTATCTGTGTGAACACGCACAAGATTCAAAACACAGAAATATGAAGAAAACACAACTCTGTTCACACCCACGTTCTAAATTGCTTTAATACTACTTACACATAAATTGGTTCCAATTGCATTGTGGCAGGTGGCTTTTGTGCATGTGAGTTGTAGGCAGTGTACGAAGAATCAAAGCCACCGATAAAATCAACTACAAAACGAGAAAACAAAAATATAAAGAAAGGAACCAAAATAATATAGGAAAAAGAAGAGTGCTCAACAATAACATAAAAATGGGGGGAAAAAACAAATCATAAAACATAAATGAAAAGGCAATAAATAATATTCAAAATGGAGGAAAGGAGTGAGGAAATGAAAGGGTACAGAAAGAAAAGTGATGTCAAGTTATAAATCACTATCGTAGTCTATACCCTTGTATGTGAATGACTAGGAAAAGTTCCTTTACAACTAAACAAATTTGTATTCTGAATCATGGAAGTCAAAAATACACAGGGCTTCAAGAAAATATGCAAATAATTACAATGACAATTCTTAACATCATACATGAACATGTACTGTAGTAGAATAACAAATCTGCAGCCATGGGCTCATGAGAACCTCCCCCCCCCCCTTCCCACAAACACAGATTTACACCATATTACATTCCCAAACTACGTCAGATTGTGAACCCATAAAGAAGTGCTATGATTCTATAACTCTATAACTACAAGATTGTTGACTTGAAATATTCCTGTCAATAGCATACTTGATGTGTAATCAGAAAGTTAAGATAATCCCAAAAAGTAGCACAGCATTCCAAAAGACCTATTGGTAAGGTCTAGCATTCAATCCATGCATTTGAGGAATTAAAAGAATATTCAGGCTTTTTTAGAGTTTGTTGAACTCATTCAGTAAAACATTATAAACTGTGTAACCACTTACATGTAAGTTAATAAGACTGCCAATCCCCTAATGACCCATAAAACCGGTCTAGAAAAGTGATTTATGGGGTAAAATTAGCTTTTTTGGCAGATTAAATTAGCCCCAGAAATATATTGAGCATTTGGCTACCTCTAAATGGAGACTGCCTCTGTAACTGTACATGTAGGTACATGTATATTTAATTTTGAAAAAAAAAAAAAAAAAAAATAGGAGAAGTAAAAGAATGAAAAGGAAAAGAAGAAGAAAAAAAGTAGAAGAGAAGAGGTAAAATAAGAAGAGAAAAAAGAGAGAGAAAGAGGAGGAGTAGGAAAAGAAGGAGAAGAAGAGAGAAGAAGAAAGAGGAGGAGAAGAGAAGAAGAAGAAAGAGAAGAGGAAGAAGAAGCTACATGTACATGTACAATGCACCTGTCCAAAATTGTGAGTTCCCTTCCATTAATCATATAAAAAGCTTTATACTAAACATATTTTCATGTACATGTCTGACCTTGGTTTCTAAGTGTACATCCAAGCATTACATTACATACAATTACTTAGTACATCTCGTAAGGACTCCGGTTGATTGAGTAGGTAATTAAACTTTAGGAAGAGCATGCGATTGTGACGCATTACCCACAGACATAAATGATTCCCAGGGTGTAGTTTAATTACAGTGCACATTATGTATGGACTATGGATCCCCTGTATATTTCTTCTGTCATGTTGGCAAAGTTATGTCCTAAATTTATGTTGTTGTTCATAATAATTGAGACACCCCCCCCCCCAAAAAAAAAAAAAAAGAGGGGGGGGGGGGAGAAGGAGTTTGAGGGTTTGTAGGCTTATAATTTCTCATTTATAATGCCCATTCTGATCACTTCTCCTGAATATGGATAAGTGTTCAATCACGCTACTTCTTTATGTACACATGTACATGTTTGTAGGTGACCGACGCAACACATGAAGAAATAGTGTTGCAGAAGGAGGCAAAGATGTATGCATGAATACAGAATTGATACATATCTGCTTGAAAAGGGCAACCTTATTTTTATCAAGGATTTAAGATCATACACAAATTTTGCTACTCTCCTAAAAAGGCTTACAGAATGGACTTGATGTACTGTAACATCTGACACTTACAGTAACTATTCCATCTAAATGTAGCAGAATACTTTTTACATGATTTAGAAAGAAAAAAAATTGATTGAGGTAGTTGTTTAATGAGAAAGAAAGAGCTCCTCCCTCCATTACAATAGAAAGAAAGCTAAAAAGTACAAGAAACTGCACAAGAAAGTAGTCATCTGCAGTGTGCTTGAAAGAATGCATTATGAATGGTTCCACACACAGTATTCATGCAGCTTTCAACAGCCTATGCGTATCTAGTAGGCAAGACGGTATTAGTATACTTACAGCTGTCTTCTTCTTCATTGAATTTCTTTACCATGACCATAGCCCCAGCGATACCCAAGACCTGGATTAGGGGAAGAGGGATGGGAGGAGTAAAGAGAAGGGGGGGGGTAGAGAATAGAAGAGGAGGAGAGAAAGGTCAAGGGGACAGATAGAAAAGAATTAAATGAAGATGAAGACAGTGGAAGAAAACAAGACAAAAAAAATAGTTCATGAAGTTATTCTAGAGTTCTGGTTATGGAATGAAACATTAGTTTCCTCATCTCCCTATGGTTATTTTCAATTTTAATAAATATTTACCAACCAAGCTGTTTACATGAGTAGAACTGCATTTAATGACTGTTCAGAATCAAAAGGGCATGTGTTAAAATATATGAGGTTAATAATATGAGCCATTCTGTTAAATATCACCTGTACTCCATGCTGAGGTTTCAGGATGGAAAGCATTTATTGTTGGAGGCTTCAAATTTCACTTTAAAATCATAATCAAACACCGTAGCAATTTCTGAAGGCAATTAATGGCTCAGTATTTGTGCCACTCTGAAATTGATATTTTCCACAAATATGGAGACAGCGCAGAAGGATCTCTGATATTACAAGAGAAAGGCTGGATTCTGAGAGATTTCTCCTGCACAAGAACAATTTAAAAGAAAATAAATTTTGTGGGGATTTTTGCAATACTTGTAGGCTCACAGTTGAGCATTTTTGTTTTTGTATGGTACAACAGCCATTCCCTTCATCTGGTCCTATTTTGTGTGTGTGTGTGGCAGGGGGGGTGTAGGAACTGTTACATAACACTTACACATAAAAAGCATTGAACTGCAGCATGGATGACCTCTATGTATCTGTAGTCAAGGAGGCAGCCCGTGACTCCTATCCTCTCCGACGTACTGATACCTGAAGGCAACGTGGTGATGTTGTACGTCACAGAGCAGTTGAAACCGTGCTCGATCCACCAGCTTTCACTGCTGCTAGTGTTAAATGTTAACATATATTGGTGTTGCTGCGGAGATAGAATGGGAAGAGAGAAATTGTCATGATTTAATAGTGATTTCTAATGCTACCTCTGTGCCTTCATACATGTACAATATGTACATTGCAATATAATAACAAAGGTTACTTCAACTGTGAGTGCCATTAGTTTGACTAGGCAATCACTGACATGCTAAAATACTGCACTGTTCTACATGTACATGTATGTATCTACATTGTAAATGTTTGATTGTTAGTCCCAATTTGTATTGCTTCCAACAACCACTCCCCCTTCCCACCTACCTCCCCTTCTTCTTGACCCCTCCCCCAGGTAATGTTAGGGAAATATACTACACTTGATTGATGATATTCTGTTTGTATGTACTGTCATGTACACGTAGCTCATATAATAAACACAAACAATACAATTGGTTTGTTTTGAAAAGAGCTTTAATATTACTACCAGACTGAGTCTTACTGCTGTGATAAGGCACAGGCATTCATGGAATAGGTTTATGAATCTTCCTACCGGATCCTCTAATTTGGATCTCATTTAAACTTTGTTAAAAGTTGTCAGCAGTTTGCATGCAAACAAACATGTACATTGCACAGTGATGATTAAGTACAGTATATCTTATGGTTGAGAGATGGATGGATAGCTTTCACTGCCTGTATTATGTTTTGCGATGCTTGTGAGCACCGCTGCCTGTGTTTTATGAGGTATCCCAAGCAGCTGACATTAATATATGTGACAGTTACAAAGCTTGTCTGGGTGACTGAAATGCCAGGCTAGAATGATCCCATTCCTCCTTCACGTACACCGAGCAAACTGAGTAATGTTCAAATCTTTTGGATGCGGAACACTTTAGATTCATTGTCCGAAACTAATTAACAAATTGCACTTTAAATATTGAATTCCACTTTTAAAAAAATATTTGAAATTGCCAAATTATTGCCCATATCTATTTGGTATATGCAACTGAGTCATGCTTGCAGTTTTGGACTTTCAAATGGTTTCACTAAAAGAAAGAAAGAAAACAAAAGAAGATGACTGCTTTGGGGCTAAACGTTTAACCATAGCGTGTATTTGTTTGAGTGACTATAAACCTAAACGGAAAGTCTGAACACATTTGTGCATGTGTATCCATGGCATATCATATGTGGAAATATACCTACAATTGATAATCTACACTGATGTTCTTGAGTGCCTACAACTTAGAAAATGAAACACACTCATATAGGCCTGATTATTCAAGATGCCTGTATTAAAGTAACCCCCCCCCCCCCCCCCCAATACAAACCCATGTACCTTTTAAACGTCTCACTTCACAATTTGCGTGTACATGGTGCATGCAAGAGCATTACTCTCCTCCCGTCCTCCTCCTCTATCCTTCACTCCTCCCTCCCTCCCTCCCTCCCTCCCTCCCTCCCTCCTCCTCCCTCCCTCCCTCCCTCCCTCCCTTTCATCTCGGAGTTCATCTTCCTGATCTCAAAGAGGAATTTCAAGCAGCCTCACAAGCTCAAAATTCATTAATGTCTACCGGTACTGGTACATCTGTTTTCAAGATAGTTGAATCAACATCTGGGGGAAATGCCAATAAAGACTGTCCTGTATACACAGTATGCGTATACACAAAACTTGCCCTGTCTTCTCCAATTTAACACGAAATTGGTTTGCAAACCAATTTTCTTTCAAATATTAGTTTTGCAATGCTTTTGTTGTTGTTCTCTGTGATACAAAGTATTCAGAACAGAAGGTCAATGTAATAGTAACCGAATTCAAAAGCTAAATAGAACTACATTTTTAGCTCATTTTTAATTTATTATCAATTCTTTTCGGATAGAGACTTTGCTAATCATTGTTCATTAATGTCAATTCTTTCTACAGTTATTAGTATCGTTGTTCTGTTTGTTTTGTATTTTTTTAAATTGGGGAGGGGGGGGGGGGAAATTGAGTCATAATGTAGCATACTACGGTCAATTTTCTTTTGCTATGCCTATTTTGTAAAGGCGGTTTACTGTTACATGTGCGAATGATCCCTTGCATAGCAGTTATAATTAGGCAGCCCACATACAGATAATAAATGTGATCTCTACCATCAATCACCACTCTCCTCTACCCACCCCTGATCAAGAGAGATACATACCCCCATGGAATGCACCAGGTAATCTATACTATCTCTCAAACGACCTTAGCCCGGTTCATATGACCTTTCTGCGCTGAAATTTCAGCCTACATGTATGATCTACATTAGTCTGCACTCTGCAGGCACGAGTTTAAATAGACCCTACACTGTACATGCGGTGGCTCCTGCCAACGGCTAGACAAGGCTTTGCTCAGGGCCTTATTACATTTTATACCGTAAGTGCTAATAGGGTCTGTGCTTCAAGACTACCTGGGATCAGCATGGCCATTGCAAGGGAAGGCTGTACAGTACGTACATGTAAGGATTGCCTTCCTTTTCCATCAGTCTATCCGACATCATTATAAATTGTGAACCTTTACTGAAGAACGAGGACAAATTCATTATATCTATTAAGTTCATTGAATAAATTACTAATTGCAAGTATCTGTACTAACCATAATGCAAGCTTCTTTGAGTCATATAAATGAATTTAATTAAAAATCCCTATATAATTGCATTTCTGATTTTCTCTCAAATTCATTATTACCCAAACCCTATCCATTTTTTTTACAGAAGCAGTAAACAGCTTTTCCACCTACATGTAAACTTGTTTAGAAACGGCAGTAATATTTACCAAAATACACACCAAGTTCGTACATGTAGGCACTACAAGGATATTATTTGAATGCAGTATACATGCAAAATCAAGTGTTGAAAGTAGAAAAGTGGTAGAATAATGCATGGTCAATGTGGGTCTGTTAAAATCATCAAATTGTATTGCATTTCAAGCTGTGCTTTCTTTTCTTTGATAGTTTGATATCCGTAACAGTTTCACAAATGTGTGTTTTATCAAACAACGAAACAAACCAAAAAGCCAACCAACAACAACAATCTATGGGAATAAAGGAAGCGGCTGAAAGTAATTCTGCATTTTTTTTTTTAAAGCAGTAAATGGGCGATCCAGATGAGAAAAAATAAAAACAAACTAATAAGATCCTGCTGGAAATCACATTCAATGAATAGCTCAACTCACACTTTTGAGAATGGAAGCATGTACGAACAGAAACATAGCTGTAATCTACATGTACATGTACCTCCCATGCACCAACCTGCCTACTGCCTTATTAACAAGAAGATTATTCACTTTTGACCACAATTTAGTCTTATCTTGCCTAAAATATCAAGACCAAGATAATGTTTTTTTTTTCTTTTTGTCCTGATAAATATATCAAGGGTTGAAAGTGCATTTAATATGAGTAGAAATGAATCAAAATATTCATTTATGATTAGTTTATGATAGAACAGAGTAAAGTATAATAAAAATATATCTTACCTCAAGTGAAAGAATTCCTGCTTCTAAATATAAACATATGATGAAGATATTCCAACCAAGCCACAGCAATTGCCATAGTGAATACTGTAAAGAAATAATGACAAATTATACAAAATGTAATCATTATTTTGGAGAATAATACAAAAATATCCATTAATGTTATGCATATTTAAACATGGGCACACCCTTACACAAGGACAGAGCTGTGACCATATTTTTATTTTTATTTATTTATTAATGTTTTTGGAGGGAGGGGGGGGGGGGGGGGGGGGGGGGGGGGGGAGAGGAGGTGATATTTCCCCAGACCAGGGTTATAATTTCAGGAATCATGTTGGTTTAATAGTACCAGACTCTGACAGTGGTGGTGGGAAGAGAAGAACTACCGGTAGAAGGGTGAAAATAAATCATGATAAAAGGACTTTCTTTAATTGTACCCCCCCCCCTTTCTCTCGCTTTCATCCCCTGACCTGCTTTTATTTACAGGCCTAAAATGTCTATCAAGACTTTCATCATAAGCGCGCAAACTTGCACATGTCCCGCTAATTTCTAAGCCTTTAATTTAAACTAAAAATCAAACAATACCATGAATTTTGTTTACAATAGAAGGTCACAGCTAGTGATTTGCCTAATGTTCAGGAACATTATTTTGATGAAGTTTATCTAGGGTACACAAACAGAGGAAGAAAAATATATGGGTGCAGAGGTTTTCCTCTGACAAAAGCTTCAAAAGAGCTCTGGTATTATTTAAAGATATAAAAAAAAAATTAAAAAAAATGAAGAAAAAAAAGAAGAAAAAAAAAACCCTGCTTCATGTACATGTACATGTATATGTATAAATGTGAAGAATGCAAATCAAGAGAGAGCTGCTCTGAATTAAAACAGCTTTATCGAATTGAGTGCACACATACATTACAATGTACATGTACATGTACAAAGTACAAGGGTACATGTAAATCAAACAAAATAATAAAGGGCCATTCCATGGTAACTCGCGTTACACTTAATGGGTACATTGACACGATAATGTGCCTATATCTTTAGAACTGCTAGGATCTACAAGATACTTTTTTCAAACATGGACAGGGTAGATATAGAACAACTGAATGAAACAAAAAAGAAAATTGAAGAACAAACATTTTTAGATTCTTGGATTATTGAATTTCGGTAACTCGCGTTACAAAAAAAGGACATCGTCAATTCTACGAGACCCTCTTTTCTCCTCATACTAGACAATCTTGAAAAAATCTTTCCTACTTTAATTTGATAGTAGGTTGTGACTTACTAGTATAAGATCACAATATTAAAGATAAGAAAAAATGGACTAGTAAAATGCAGGAAGCAAATATGTCGGTAACTCACGTTACGGTAACTCGCGTTACATTTTGTCCGGAGGCCATTTTTACCCCTATGTAATAGATTAAATATCACAGGACCCCTTAGAATATGGAAATATATTCATCTTTTTCCATTTAGCGAAAATTTCAGGAAAAAATATTACAAGAATCCTGTGTAATCTGCAATAAATTGTTTTTTTTTCAGCTGCAGTCCCACATGTACGTTTTTGATGATAGTTTGAGATCTTAGGAAATCAACAAAAATGAAAAAAAAATTGTATTGAATTTGAAAGGCCCTAATGTTTTATGAACATCCATGGCATAAGGTTAGTGATAAATCAAAGAATTAACATAAGAGGTACATTTCTTTTTTTGATGTCATGTCCTTCTTCTCATGGAATGGCCCTAAACTTGTTATGATTTAAGTAGTGATGACATTTTAAAGAACAACATTCCGTACTGTACAGTGTACACATGTACTGTATTCATACATGTCTGTACATGTTCATGTACATGTGTATTTGCTTTTTTTTCACCTGAGCACAGGAGAGCCAAGGGGACATCAGATAAACAACAGTGGGGTGTAAGAATAATATGGAATGATGATAGGATTACAATACATTTTAAACCTGCACTGTACTATTGTATGGGTCCAATACCAGTACAAGTGTGTTGTATATTCGGGTGCACTGGGACAATTGTTCATTATCCATACCGTGTACATCCAGGATGAATGATTCCTTACATCATTTGAGACATACATTGGTACATGTAGGCCTACACCATGTACTGTATACTAGAGAAGACATTGATACTCAATGTACATGTATACAGGTGTACAGTATATCAATGCCTTCACAGTATTTTAAACATACATGTACATTGTAAGGCTGCGACGGGTAGTCGAATGCTCGAGTACCCGCACGGTTGACAACTACTCGGGTACGATTTCTTGTACCCGAATATTCGGCCGCAAAAAAAAAAAAAAATTAAAAAAAAATTAAAAAAAAAAAAAAATGTCCAGGCCAGCGCTTACCCGTGCCAGGGAGAGCGGCGTCCGCTGGCACGGTACCGTCGGTAAAAATGTTTCCCAACTCAAGCACTGTCAAACTCACCTTTCAGAAACTGGGACCAAATGTCTAGATTTCTGTTTGGACTTGGAGGAAAATGGATTATTCTGCCATCTTTGGTTTTTAAAACAGCATTGTTTACTGTTATTATTCTTATTAAATCGGCACTTTCAATTGCAACTCAAAGTAAAGTTGCATGCGTTTTCAGCGAGGGACCTGAGAAACTGCCGAGTGGTATGGTAGTGGCAAAAAAAAAAAAAAAGAAAAAAAATCAAAAAATCAAAAAAATTCAAAAAAAATCAAAAAAATTCAAAAAAATTCAAAAAAATTTATAAAAAACATGGCGTCCGAATATTCGAGTATTCGCCTGTGAGCCTGGGAGTGTACTCGGGTACCTCATTACACTGTTGTGCACAGCCTTAGTACATTGTACATGTATGCAGGCAATACTCTCCATAGAAATTAATAAAAACATCAATTAACATCGTAGAATTATTCCCCCTATACCAGGATGTAGACCACATCTGTACACTGAAAGCTGTATTACACATCAAAGCTGTATACCTTGAACATAATTCAGCCGAATCACTCCCCAAGTTCATATAACTGCAAGTGTGAGAACTGACGTAGTTTGTGCTATGGTGACTGGTGACGACAGATGCAATCATGCATGTCATCCCAATTCACCTAATGACTTCTCATGACTGTATTGGCAGAGACACAAATTCCATGATGCGTGGTGTATTTTGGACACAGGACCTTTCAGAATGACAATTGGAGCATGCCAACTTGATGACAAATTTGGTCAGCACTTCTCCATCCCTAATTTTCACAGTACATGTATGTCAATGTACTCGTACTTCAATGTTGTTGATATTATCTTCCATGCGTTTGTACTTTTCTTAATGCAGGGCTTGAAACTAAAGCACCTGGGACACATACACTGTACATGTACATACAGTAGGAATCCCAAATCTACATGTGTATGTACTGTAGGTCCAGACTCCCAAAGTTTCTTCTTCTTCTTTTTTCAAATTAAAAAACATCATGTCCATGTAAATACAGACTCTAAAAAGAAAAATCCAGACCCCTTTTTTAAAAAAATAGTGTGGATTCCTGCTGTACATGTAAAGTGTTTAAAGATAAATTTAGCAGTTTCTGGCATTACAGTACATGAGCGGATATCATGAGAAGTACACCTGAATGTACATTGAACTGGTACAATGTAAATTTTTGAGCAATTACCATAAAGTTGGTGGATACCGTTGCTATGAAAGACATCATTATTATCAAAAGATACTTACCACAATCATAAATTTTGGTCTGTACTGATAGGAGCCGAATATGCCGAAGAGGACGAAGATGATATTGAAGAATCCTACCAGCATGGGCACCCACATGAAGCCAAGGAAGTCAAACACAAGTCGTTCCGTGGTAGCGATCTGTGCAAAGAATGGAGAAGAAAAATGGAAGGTGTACAAACTACAGATTACAGAATACTTTGTACAGAATAGAAATACCATAGATTGTCCATGTGTAACATGTCGCAAGAAATTATGCATACATGTACATGTACACCTGTACTTGATATAGAAATGTATGTTCTGAACGACAGAATACATGAACAAGATCTTTTCTCCACACTAGAAAGGTTACAAACTTAAAACAAAGGGGAGAAGGGCCTTCTGTACTACATTGTAGAAATAGGCAATTAATTTGTCATTGAGAAATTTTTCCAGAAGTACAGTACTGAGTACATGTTGTAAGTAGAGAATTGATTTGACTGATCAGATATTGTCAAAAGCAAAGCCATTGTATTTTGTAATGTACACACTGTACATGTATATAGTTTAAAATCTTTTAATATTGTCCATGATGAGCAAAATGATAAAAGGGATACTCCAGAAGACAGTGAGTATTAATTGTCAATACATTTAAACTTCAATCGTACACAATAGAATCTACATTATAAATCATAATAACCCCTATCAATTGTGCCAGGAAATCGAAGAGAACACAATCATTCCTTTCTTAATTGAAAAATACAAACATAAATGTATGTACACATTTACATTATCTAGCCTGTCACGATTCCAAATCAATATTAATACTCAGTAGAGTACACAAGGGCGTGGAACCATGGGTCACGTCATTGATCAAGTGCTTTCAGTATGTACAGTACAAGTGCATGCTAATTTGCTTGTGAAACCAATGGTATAAGGTCCATTCATATGATACAATGCTTTACCTGTCAACACACCTACAATCTTTAGTTTCATTTTTGAAAGTTCATACCAATTGAGCATCATGCTGACTTTGACAGCGTGTGATGCTGATCATTGTACAGACGAAGGCAAAACTACAGAAAATATACATGAACAGTATAACAGGAGTACGTACATGTACTTGTAGGCCTAAATCTATAACATGGCCACATGGGAATACATTTATAATTTTATATCACCCCCCCCCCTCCTCCTCCCCATTTTATCTCTCTTTCTCCATCTCTCCCTCTCTCTTTCTCTCTCTACCTCTCTCTCTCCATCGCTCTCATACTCTATTGATTCAATTCATCAGACAGTTTGCAGTATGTAACAAGAAGATGAACTCAAATATAAATCAGGAAGTCCTATTGTCCCCCTCACACACACACACACACAATTTAACTATTGAAGTCAAACGTGAATTCATGTCCACATAAACGAGGAAGTGTTCATCTAAAATACATGGTACACAATACAAGTAGAACACAAGGAGGGGCATATTTATACCAGCCCAGACTAAAAGGAACCAGACAAGGAATTATAACAAAACTCCTTTGTCAGAAAGGTGTGAAAAGGCTTGGGTTTTAAGACCCGCTTTGCAAACTTATCTCAATACCCTCATGTTAAAAAAGAGGATTATAATCCTCTTTAATTTGGAAAGGTTCCCTATATTTCATTTATTCACCTGTTGGTCCCACATGTACATCATGTACAGTACATGTACATTATACAAATTAACAGCCTAATATTACATGTACACATGCAGCATGTGGTCTAGTGGTGTACATGTACTACAGTACATGTAGGTACAAATTACATACTGAACATCATACAGTGATCCCATCTCCCTGATGCAGGCAAGTCAACATGTATTTTTCGACAGACTGTACAGACTGGATGGACGCAATAATTCAAAATAAATGCGCTATATGAATTCAGATTATTGAATGTAATTTTTACTCAACATTATCAACTTCCAACAGAATGATTGGTTTCTGAAGAAACATGCATTGTTATATTAAGCCTACATAGACATAATATACAGGGTACAGTGTACATGGCATGGCTATCTGCAGTATACTGTGTACTATGAGGATCTGTAAAAGCTTGGGTAAAAGATAAATTCAAATACATACACTGTACATTGTACATGTATAGACCTATAAACAGTGTACATCAAGATTGGTTTGTACACCTACCAATGTACATGTACATAAATGGAACCTAAATAATAAACACCTAAATTGATGATAATTCCTGGCCCTAATGCCACTAAAGTAACTGTCTGTGAGCAGTCAGACAAAAGAGTGCCCTACAAAAGATTTGGCCATTGAGGTGAGTCAGCTGTGAAAGAATTCAATGAATTGGACCTTTCACTATCCATCAGTTCCTTTGTGGGAGGGACCATTGAACTGTTGTTACCGCTCTCTGCACAAAAGGGTTGGTTTACAAAAGCAGGTGAGGAAAAACATCTTTGAATTTAGATTCACACGCTCTGCCAAAAGATCTCAAGTCACTACAAAGTACAGTGTACAGTAAATGTCAGTCTGTCTCTACATTTACATTGTAGGTAGGCCCTTACAAAGTTACAATGTGCTGAGAGACATTTTGTAGATGGACAGTATTAATTTCCCGACATGAAGTCAGAATAACATCTACATGGACATACACTCATACAGGGTACACATAGTCTTAGGTGAATTACACATCAATAATCTGTAAACAGGTCTGAACAACTTCAAATGATACAACTATTTTTTATAACCAATTGATGCATTGTTAGATCTAAGCAAGACTATAGGTACACTACAAGCAATTTAACAATGAATGGCAATTGTACACCATTCCTGAAAGTAAACATCGCTGTCTATGTACATGTACATGTGGGACTAGTTTACAACCATTTAAGCCCTTTTACACTTGTCAATCGTCACATGGGGTCTGAATTACAAGACTGAAAACTGTTCTCTATTGGCCTATACTGTAACTGCTTGAGACACAACCAACGAGGGATCCTCAAAAGCAGTACAAATTAAGGCTAATGGCTTTGTGGAATTTTCTTTATATTGTCAAAATGTTTGAGCCTGCAGACTAAAAAAGTGCAGAGTACAATAGCAGACAGTGGCAGGACAAGGAGGGATGTTAATTCATTTGGGGTTGCCTAGTTACCACTGCTGTGACAATTAAGATATCATAATTGCCCAAATGCATAATAAGGAAAAATATCTAACCTGCCTTCTGCATTTCAATGTAAAAGCTACATGTACCGTACACACTGTACATATACAGTAGTATACATGCATGTAGAACGTACAACCAGAGAAATACATAGAATAGAGCATAGAATACAGTGTATTACCGGGTATAGTAAATAATGTGAAAATGTGAACCTTAAAAAATACATGTATATGTACATGTACATGTAAATTGAAAACAAAAACAAAGGCATACATGTACATGTACATGAAGTGATGTCATAATAAGCCAGAGGCAGATTGTAATTTTTTTAATTTTTTTTTTATTAGGGGGGGGGGGGGGGGAGGGAGAGAACAAGAACACAAGAATCATTCGTAGCCAGGCGTAATAGTACACCAAATTAAACTTCAATGTTATACAGACTAATATCTAAAAACAAACAAACAAACAAACTGTAATATTGGGGTATTAAAGATTATGCTTTTTTTTAAATCAACAGCCCACACGACAGTGAAACTTTGTGTTCAGTAACACAACCCAATCTTACTGTGCTGTACTGTGCTGTAGTCAAAATAACAAGATACAGTATGTACGGTACAACACAAATAAATGACACTGTATGTATTCTGTATATAAAGTGAAGGGCTAAAATTAAATATGCCCCCTTTTTTTTGTTGGTAGGCCAATAAAAGAAAAAATCATAATTCAATAGAGATATCTGGACACCGACTGCACTGATTGTAAATATTTTTGGGTCTAGAATTTTTTCATTTTTTCATTTTTTTGTTGATTGATTTTATTTCATTACAATTGTTTGCACAATAAATAACATAAGTTGACAAAGTAAGATCACAATTATGAAATGAACAAGTTCCCAAGAATAAATACAATCTGAACATTATTATACGTGTTCATGTAGTCTAAATAGTGTGCAAACTACTTTACGCGACTTATTTTATTCATTTATTCAGACCACATGTTTTTCCTTCCAATCGCGAATCATGTTTTCACCCCGCGTATTACAACACCACGAGGTTTCTTTACTCCTGCTACCATCACAGACAGTACAGTCAACAACGGCTGCATCTATCTTGGGTCGAGTCAACATGTCTCTGTGATCTTCTCTCCGCACTCAAGAATTTTCTGTGCTTTATGCACCTCTTTCATGGCACGTCAATCTTTTCTCTGCCCTCTCTCTAGCCTTCCAGTGGAACGTTATAATCGGGACCGGCATGGCGCTTGATTCTCCACTGGGAGCTGCTACAGTGCTATTCACTTCGCTCCGGTAGCTTTTCATCGTCACAAGCTCGACTCACCGTAGCTCGCCTGAACATTCATCACAAGCTCGATTCACCGTAGCTCTCTTAAACATTCACCAAAGTTTGGCTCATCCAACTCATCGAGCGACTTACTGATTCGCATCGGCACCGACTTTGATTTCATTTCTTTCTTCCTTGGCCTCTGACATCGACATATTCACTGCATCGCCATCGAGCACCACACATTACTTCTCTTCTCTTCCGAGAGCTTCATCATCATCATGAGCGTCAGCGTCGACATCGCACTCTTCAGCCACGACAACAAAGCCGCGTCTCTGCCATCAAGCCTCCGCATCATCTTCGCGTGAGCCCCTTCCTTCGTTCATCACCCGTCATCATCTTCATTGGACTTTCGACGTCATTTCTACTTTGTCGTAAGCTTTATTTATTTACAGCCTTTATTCATGTCCATCTCAGTGCAGGTACTCGTTTCTCGTTCATGACATGTCATTTCGGATTTATTTATTTGCCTGCATGACTACACTTGCAAGTAGAAAGCCTATAGACTACCTCAATAAAATAATGAAAAGGGAATACATTTTCTGTGCAATGCAACGAGTTGTGGGATTAGTGAACAAGTATTCCATTCTTTATAGTTTTCAATACACCACACACTAACCATTCTAGACCTACAGACTTGTCAAAAATACAAAATAGATCTACATGACACTGCACACAAATCTCCATTTTATCTAAAAAAATAAGCTTTTTAAAGTAAACTCTGCTTGATGTGTTCCATTTAACCTATCTTTGAATAAAAAATTATAACAAATATTTAAGCTACCATTGGCCTAAAGGCTATTCATTGGCCTTCGCCTAAGCTGAGCCAGGCCAGAGTCGTGGCGGTTTTTAGTAGCCATGACACGGCCAACTGCAGGCGCATGGCTCAGTCATAGTACAGAAGCAGCCGGTAGTTATAGTCTCCTCCAGCTCCAACCTCCTGCATACCGGTAGTTATTGACATGAGATGAATTTCAAAAATACATGGTACACTTACCAGCTGTAAGATACATAATGTTATCATTGAACACTGCCTCGTACAGCAACCCATTTTGATGATGTGCTGTTCCTATTATTTTCCAAAGAATGGGTTGCCCTCATATGAAGAGAATGTGAATTTTAGTCCATATAAAACTCGACTTAGATATCCGCCGCGCCGCATCGATCCGCTATTCTTCCGAAATACTAATTCTGTATGTTAACTGTATGCGCCTCTTGCGTACCGTACGTACTGTCCGTGGTTATTTCCCACATGTGACCGCATCACACTCATTTCATAATTGCTTTTCGAATACTACTTCCGCATTTTTATGTAGTTCTGTCTCTTCTTGCTAACACAAGTGAAGGAGGGATTGGACGGCATCATTTCAAAATTGTGGAAGAATCCCGTAAAATGTTGTAGCTTATATGATCAATTTTAGGTGTCCTAACAGTATGTGTGTGTTAAAATTTAGTCCATCCCGCGGACGTATTTCTCACTCAGTTAATGTGCTTTGTTCGAACCAGCTGATTTTTGTTATTGTTTACATTTGTTATTATATCTAGTATGTGTACCTGTATTTCCGACCGTTTATGAAAATTCGGTACAATTTATGTATATAGAAATACAAAACAGTGCCATCCCAACTTTTTCAAGTACCCCCCCCCCCCAAAATGCCCCTTTTTACTTTGACAAGTGCCCCTTTCCTTTTGTAAGAAGTGTTCTTTCACCCTGTTGGATAAACACCCTTTTATTTTTACACGAGCTCCTTTTTCTTCTTATAACAGACATAAGAAGTGCCCCTTTTCATCTATGGTGATCGAGTGCCTCTTTTAAGGTGCGAGAAGTGCCCTTTTTTCAACTCTAATAATTGCCCTTGTTACTTTGATAAGTGCTCCATTTCTTTTCTAGTCATTTCCTTTTTCCTTTCTCCACAACATGCACCCCTAATTTGAAGTGAATTGGAGCAACTTATTATTCAATTTCCCCAAAAAACTTGCTCGCTGCGCTCTCTCTCTCTCGCGTTCATAGTCGATATAATCATGATACTTTAAAAAGTCTTTCATGATCATATTGCTTGTAATTTTTTGCTCTACGACCTCACAAATCTGAATTTTGTTGCTCGTTCGCTTCGCTCGCTCGCAAGTTAATATTCAGACCATCACACCCATCTGCAAAGTACATGTATGAAGCTAAGCATGTAAAGAGAGAAACAAACATTGAAATCATCCCTGGTAATAAATTGTATATTTCCGCTTTAAGGTTTCCCTTTGCAGATGACCTTTTTTAAAACCAGAAAGAGCCCTTTTTTGATGCCCCCAAATGGCACCCCCTCTCTCTCTCTCTCTCTCTGTATAAAAATACCCATCTCTCTATGTATAAAAATACCCATATTTTTCACACCAAAAATAATAATTTCCCGCAGGAGGGGGGGGGGGGGTGGTTATTTTTCGGGGGTGGTATTTTTCGGGGGGGGGGGGGGGATTGTCCAGGGGTGATACGGTGCATCGCTCTCTCACGTTCATTCGAAGCTACGATCAGGACTGCAGTCTGCATGCGTTCGGACTACAGGGCATATAACGATCGATATTTTTTTCAATAATATTTGAGTAATTCCAATAATTGCCACGGGCGCTGTACTACCTAGTGAAATTAAGAAACGTATACAAAAACGTAGGACTATGATTATTTATAATATAAACTTGCATGCCGGGGGGGGGGGGGGGGGGGTGTCGCTCAAGCATCGAAACCTTTACCCATTTCGAAGGGTCATTATGGGGATGTTTCTCGAAGTAAAGCCCATTTTTCAAGACTTTGAAAAGCCGGACCCATGTGTAGGGATATTGTTGTTAAAAACAGGATGTTTAGGGATTTTTCGTGAAAAAGTGACCCTTGCATTAGAGCGGCACACACCCATATGTCTTATTCTTAATATATGTTGATTAATTAACCGCATATGACCTACGGAATTGAGGTTTGGGGAAGTAATTATGAAATGAACATCAAGAGTTTATTATTAAGCCAAAAGATGGCACTAAGAGTTATAACGTTTAGTCCAATTAGAACTCATTCACAACCGATATTCCAGGAGCTAAAATTATTGAATGTGTATCAACTCCATAAATTATCTATTTGTGTTTTTATGTATCAATTATTGAATGATAAATTGCCACAGTCTCTAATTCAGTATTGCTGTTTCATAGAGCACAACTATGAGACTAGACAAGAGAAAGTAAGAAGTTAATTGTGCCTAAAGTAAGGACAACGCAAGGTAAATTTTCAATGTCATTCAGAGGCACAAGCTATTGGAATGATCTACCCCTTTCTGTATACGGAAGAAAGCATCAGTGTCTTACTTTCGTAGAACTCTTATATCACAAATGTTAATAAAATAGTTGTTTATAACTTAGAACCAAGGCTCTTGCCTTTTTGTAAATATTATGTTATATAATTCTTCATCTTTTATTTAGTGTAAAATACCAAAGCTTTGTATATAAGCACAGAACATATTTACCCTAGATGTAGAATAGTTTGTAGCTTAAGTATGTATTCAATAGTTATTCATATTTATTCATTACATTCTCATTTATTGCTGTGATACTTTTTGTGTGTTAGTGGTACTAGACACGATTAGCATTAAATGCTATTTTCTGGTCCCATTTATCCTTTCAATGTTAATTAATCATTCACATTTGATTGTTATATTAATGTACTTTTTGTTTTGGATAATAAACTTCAAACTCAAACTCAAATTCAAACTCAAACTCAATTAATTTCGCCCATTTTTTCATAACATTTGCTTTCATGGAAATCAAATCGAGGCAAAGGGAAAGCTTAAGAGCCTCATGCAGGCCCATGCGTGCACATAATTATTTTTGCAGTTCTGTGGGCCCATGCATATCCATGCCTAGGCCGCCCCTTAATCTATAACGACTATACAAGGGCGCCCTGACTGTACTTTGTACTTGGAATTTGTATGTATAAATACTGAAACAATATTCCGCTAAATTGTGAGGCAAAGTAATTGGCCCGTATTCTGAAGTCTTGTCTAACTTAGCCACGACTAAAGTTAAACAACTGGTTTAGTTAGACAAGACTTAAACAGGACTTAGACGCGAGGTCGTGTCTAAGTCCTGTTTAACTAAATTTCGTATTCTGAAGTCGTGTCTAAGTCTCGTCTAACTAAACAACTGTTTAAGTCCTGTCTAAGTGGTGTTTAACTAAACAACTGTTTAAGTTCTGCGCAAGTCTTGTTTAACTTTCAATCACGACTTCTGCGCATGCCCAGTAGGCGTTAATTCTGACGATAGACCCAATGCGCATGCGTGCGCGCACCGGATTAATAAATTAACGCGCACAGCTAGCTGTGCGCGTGCCTAGCTGTACGCGTGCTGGTACCATGGTGATGTGGTCGTGACGTAATGACTAGACTGCATGCATGTATTGCCTGTGTGACGTACGTGTACTACACGTACACTGTACACAAACGCACTAATAATATCACTTATCAGTGCCTCTGTGCTCGGAAGAACCAGCAAAGAAACTTCTCCAACAGAATGGTTAGTTTATTATAGATTATGGAATTTCCAAGATGTCACCATTAGATAAGAATAGTTAATATTATCGAGAAAAAAAATCAGGCTACACGAGAAAAAATCCTGCAAAATGTATTTGAAATTGTATAGGATGCACGTACCATCGTTCTCCCCGCAAGTTCGGGGTCAGTAAGTAGAGTGTACCGTAGACGTTAAAAAGCAGCAGAATCGCGCCCTTAAACAGGACTTAAACAACCCCTCGCAGTTGTCTAAAGTTAAACAGGACTTAGACAGGACTTCGTGTTTAACTTTATTTAAACACGACTTCAGAATACGAAACAAGTTAGACACGACTTCGAGTCTAAAGTTAGACGGACTTAGACAGGACTTAGACAACTGTTTAGTTAAACAGGAGTTAGACACGACTTCAGAATACGGGCCAGTGAGTCTACTACTTACTGTAATATGATGGGGGCAGGCGCGTACGCAGGGGGGGGGGGGGGGGGGGTTTGGGGTTAACCCCCCCCCCCCCCTTCAGTGTTTTTTTATGTGTATGTTTTGAGTATGATTTTTGTGAAACCCCCCCCCCCTTTTGATTTTGACAAATTTTGAAATTTCGAGACCAATATAAAAAAAAAGTGTCCTCTTACCCCCCCCCCCCCCCCCCCCCCCCCCCCCCCCCCCCCCCCCCCCCCCCCCCCCCCTCACTGAGCGATTTTTCGGCTGGCTGAGTCGTTGCGATTTTTTTTGGACTCCAAAAAAAAACAAAAAAACAAGTGTCCTCTTACCCCCCCCCCCCCCCCCCCCCCCCCCCCCCCCCCCCCCCCCCCCCCCCCCCCCCCCCCCTCACTGAGCGACATTTTCGGCCGGCGCGATTTTAAATTTTCGGGAGCAAAATAAAAAAGTTGAGTCGTTGCGAAATTTTGGGCCCGATTTTAAACCTCCCCCCCCCCCCCCCCTTAAAAAAAATCCTGCGTACGCCACTGGATGGGGGGTTGCATGTCCGGACACACATAAAGAAGAATAACAATTCTCTTTTGCATTCGGCTTTAATAGAAAATATTCACCAAACAGCACTAACCACCATGAATGTTTGCCTTACAATATTGCCCAACCTAAAGTCTTAAAAGATTTTAACACCACGGAGCTCCGGCGTCGTTGACCTCAACTGATACACAACATGTCCGGACACCCAACGCCTGGGTGTACAGAGTACGGGGCTTGTTCCTCTCTTGTTCTTTGAAAATGTGAGTGATTTGTATATTTTTAAGGTAATTTTAAAAATGTATTCGAACTAATCGAGATAGGGTATGACTTAATAACAATTTTCGGCGGCGCACTTTATTTCAAACACGTCAGAATCAGGTGAGAAATGACGGTCTATTTTCCATATTTCGGGGCGCTCCGGAACAAGGCGGCTGAACTACACGTATGGTATAGAACAATGGACCTACTAGTACTAGGTAGTATGTCCGTGGCGTTGATAGAACCAAGAAGTTACTAGTAAATTGTTGATAGAACTACCGAGTGACATTGCAAAGGTGGCAGATTTCCGCCATTTTCCCCTTTCTTTACGGCGTTATAACGCTCTAATACGGCATTCTAAATTACGGTGTTTTATTGTTTTTGGTTCCTAGCTTCAGTCGATACCTCTATGTTGTGTCATACTATACGGCCGTACACCTGGGAGCGCACAAAGGGGTTTTACAGCATGGAGTTACCATGTTTATAGTGACACACTGGTTATTGATTCTACAAACCTACTTGTTCAATGGCCTGCTTTCAAAAGGGAATGATATATATTATGTAGGAGTATCATCTACTTCGCTCTTTTAAGGGGTATAACATTGGGCAAGATTGGTTAAGGGTGATGAGAATGGGTTGGGCTTGGTGATTTAGCCTGAATGGTAAGGGGCTAGTGGAGGGGGGGGGGGGGGGTGGTGGTGGTTAAGGGGATATAAATTAAAAGGAGTATAAATTACCTACTTGGTTTTAAGGGGTTTATTGATTATGAACATTGGGCAGGATTGTTTGAGGGCAAGGGTGTCGATTTGTATCCGTGGTTGGGGGGGGGGGGGATGATAGGTGCCAAAATATTTTCGGCAATGGATCAAAGCAACCAAGAAGTAGAAGCGTGTGGCAGGTTGCACCCCTCCCCAAGGGCGTAGCCAGGATTTAATTTTAGGGGGGCGGTAGTGAGCACGCAAAGCTAGGGGGTTGGGTGCAGGGAATTAGGGGGAGCTTTCGGAAGCGCGGAAGCTTTGACGTTTCATTAACTTATTAGAGAAAGAAGACGATTCGGTGGACCGTTCTCGACCCTTAATCCTTGTTTGAATCAAGTTCCCCTTCCTCCGCGCTTAGCTCTGACGATTCATTAGATTATTAAAGGAAGAAGGCGATTCGATGTACCATTCTCGACTCTCAATCCTTGTCTGAATTCAGTTTCCCCCCTCCCGCGCGAAACGCGGAAGCTTTGACGTTTCATTTGATTATTACTCTTAATCTACGTCTAAAATCATTTTCGCCCATCCCGCGCGTAGCGCGAAAGCTTTCACGTTTCATTAAATTATAAGAAAAATAAGATGATTCGTTGTATCGTGTACTTTGACGTTTCATTTAATTATAACTCTTAATCCTAGTCTGAATTCAGTTGCCCCCCTCCCGCGCGCTTTGCCGTTTCACTAAATTATTAGAGAAAGAAGACGATTCGTTGTACTGTTCTCTATATTAATCCTTGTCTGAATTCCGTTTCCCCACATGATGTACGTATGGAACGTTCGTTTGCAAATCTTTGCATGCACAGCCCGGATGATGGGTAGCATGTTATCTCCCGGCAGTGCTTGTCGCAATAGCTTCTGGAAAGGATTATTGTATACTACTGTTAGTGTTTAACGGCCACTAATTAGGCCCATTAGTGACTATACAAAATATGCTCTTCCTGGCTATTTGGGAATATGTCAGTTTGCAACTGAAATGGAGAAACGCGAATTATGTTGAAAATCATGTGTTATCACGAAAATTAATAAATCACTTGTATGAAATACGCCAGTTACATAGGCCTACATCAGCTTTTCATAAAATAAAAATAAGTTGTGACATAATATTCGTTTTCCAAAAATGAATTTTTTAAAGGAAATATCAGGAAATAAAATGAGTAAAAAAAATAAAAATAAAGATACAATGACGTGAATTTTTAAAAGGGTGAACGGAAACGACATAACAACTAGTGAACTATCTTATAAGTCATACTAATGTCCGAAAATCTTTCTCCTTGTCTCCGATCTCATCACGAATTTGTCACAGAGTTCATCTATGTTTAAATTATTGTCTGATGTTGCAGATTGCTACTTTTGCGCTTCGCGCTTAACATTTAGCTCGTTGCTTTTTAACGCTGCTGCGTCTTTGCATTTGGCGCACTGCATTTCTATGATGCTGTTGATTGAACAAATTGAATAAATTCATCAATTCCTGATGAAGCCGTATGAGCGAGAATTCAATTTATTCTTGACGTCTCATATACGGTTGTCTCATTTACCTCGTATATATCTATGTATTATGAAAATGAGATAACAAAATGTGTATATTGACGGTCATCTTGCGAGTAATAACCATTAACTACTCTCATCGGGCTCTCATCATAAATTTTTCTCTTAATTTTTTTTTTGAGGGTGAATTATTGGGGGGGGGGGATGATTGTACAGGCCATCCCTCCACCTGAAATATTTGGGGGGGGGGGGATATATCCCCCCCCCCCATCCCCCCCGGGATCGATACCCATGTTTGAGGGTGATGAGAATGGGTTGGGCATAGTCATGTAACCTGGTAAGAGGCAAGCGGGGGGGGGGGGGTAGGGGTTAAAGATACTATGTCCCTTTTGCAGCCAACATTAAATTCTGTAGAACTTTGCAGGAATTATGAATATGTCATGTATGTCCTATCTGTGAAATTTAAACGTTAGCAGTGTCCTAATATTCAAATTATGCAAGGAAACCCGTTTACTTGCCAGACTTCACTGCCAGACACTATTGAGTGACTGACTGGCTTTTTCTTCTTTGGTATATAATACCATATATAAAATGAGCTGTAGAGGGTACATGAGCATTTGTCTACATCAATAACCCACTTCTTGTAATGGCCAAAATCAAAATGATTGAATCTTTGCGCAGCATAAGACGTACGACCATTCGGTACAATGGTCTGAAAATCAGACTATTACTTACTGGCTCTATAGCTCTTAAGTCGATTCGACAACTAATGGTTGGTTAGGGGCTAGTGGAGGGAGGAGGGGTTTCATTTGGCAGCATCCCCTTTATTAATTAAACCACCAATCCACCCTATACCCTGCCAAATCAGAAGAATTTTGTTTTTGTTTTTTCCGTATGTATTTACTCATTCAAATCCCTACACCCCTCCCCCTCTACAGCGTGGGTCTGTAACGGATTACTCCCGAATCACTCTCACCCAGGGGCTGTTTTTGTAGTAGAAGTAGTGGATCTCCGCAGTACAGGAGAAGCAAATAGTTGAGTTTTGTTGCAACTCAAAATAATTTTTGTGTGCGATATTGAAACACTGAGTGTCAAATTTGAAAGAATATGCAAATTGAATGACAAAATCATCTTTGTTTGATCAAAATCGGTTCAGAGACGGCTGAAATATCCTTACATAATAACCATTACTAATATTTATGGTGCCCCACAATAATTATTCGGTAATTTGAACTGTAGCCGCATAGATAATTATGTTGCTGTGTCGGGTCCGCAGTGTCGGTATACTGCTCGATCCTCGTGTACTATATCAATGCAGAAGTTTGAAGTCAGTGAGATAATATTACTATGTCGGTCGGCCGGCAATTTTTTTCTTCCCTATCGGACAAAGAAACATTTTTGAAAATTCAGACAATGATTCAGAGTCGATACAACGAATAGCCTTCTTTCTCAAATAATTTAATGAAACGTCAAAGCTTCCGCGCTTCGCGCGGGAGACGAAAAAAAAATCAGACAAGGATAAAGAGTAAAAAACAGTAGAACGAATCGTCTTCTTCTCTAATAACTTAATAAAACGTCAAAGCTTCCGCGATTGAATTTAGACAAGGATTGAGAGTCGAGAACGGTACAACAAATCGTCTCCTTTCTCTAATAATTCAATGAAACGTGAAAGCCTTCGCGCTTCACGCGGGATGTGCGAAAACGAAGACAAGGATTAAGATTTTTAATTTAATGAAACGTCAAAGCTTCCGTGCTTCGCGCGGGAGAGGGGGGGGGGGGTTACTGGATCCAGACAAGGACACGGTACAACGAATCGTCTTCTTGTTCTTATAATTTAATAAAACGTGAAAGATTGGGCGCAAATGAATTCAGGCAAGGATTAAAAGTATTAATTTAATGAAACGTCAAAGCTTTCGCGCTTCGTGCGGAAGGGGAAAGCTGAATTCAGACAAGGATGGAGAGTATAAAACGTTACAACGAATCTTCTTCTTGTTCTTATAATTTAATAAAACGTGAAAGATTGGGCGCAAATGAATTCAGGCAAGGATTAAAAGTATTAATTTAATGAAACGTCAAAGCTTTCGCGCTTCGTGCGGAAGGGGAAAGCTGAATTCAGACAAGGATGGAGAGTATAAAACGTTACAACGAATCGTCTTCTTTCTCTAATAATTTAATGAAACGTCAAAGTGGGGGGGGGGGGGGAGGGAACTGAATTCCGACAAGGATTAAGAGTAGAGAACGGTACAACGAATCGTCTTCTTTCTCTAATAATTTAATGATATGTCAAGGCTTCCGCGCATCGCGCGGGAGGGGGGAAACTGAACAATAATTTAGCTCCTGGCCCCGGGTTTATAGGGTTGAATTTGTAGACATTGGGACATTGGCATTAACATATTTGTTGTTAATTGGTGGCTAGTTTTACACCCCCCCCCCCCACTGAAAATGGTTATGGTAAAAATCCACATGTTCATTTCATATAATCAATAACTCGTGTTGATTTTTTTTAAAATATACTCATTACAACATTCATATAATCAACTTATATAAGACGCTTATAATAACGTAACAATATCCATATGCATGTGGACAAATCTCTTAGCCTGGTAGTGTTATGAACCGTGACAAAGTGAATAAAGTTGTATGTAGACACAGGGTAAGGGGAAAAGAGGAAGAAACCAAAGACAGAAGAGTAGAGAATAAGAATTAAAATAAGAGAGAGAGGAAAAGGGAGAGTTTTAGAAGAGGAAAAGATAACGAGAGGGGAGATAAAGAGGGAGAAATAGAGTATAACAAAACAAAATATAGGTACGAAGTCATAATATATGGTTCATAGAAGTTCAGATGCATTTAGCAAACTAACAAGATATGGGATGGGGCTCTGTCTATATCATTCCGTTCTAGTATAGGAAGTAATTCTTCTGTCTGGGTAAAGGCAACCAGGCTCTGAAGAGGAGTGAATATCACTTCAAATTATTTTAATGTTTAATTTGCAAGGCATTCTAATATGTAATGGACTGATGTCCTGATATTATTCTTCAAGATAGTTTCTGAATTCTCTCTATTAGGAGTACATTGTTGATTAGTAAGGCCTTAGTGCATCACAGGGAGGGGGGGGGGGGGGGGGGGAGGGTGTCACATGCTAGTTATATTATTAGTTTACAAATAATTTCTTCCACCATTAAACAACTTTTAGTGCTTGCGTGGCTTCATTTACTTTTTAAATGCCAGTTTGACAAACTCAAAGTTCACTATTTTTACTTCCGTTTCTATATTGCTTTAAGTCTGCACATGCAAACCTAATGATTGCCGATCAAAGTCCAAATTTATATGAGCCGCAGGGTTTGTAATTCGTTTCAAGTACATGACATCCTTGCATTTTTGTCCACCTTGACAGTTTTAGATTTGATCCTGTCGAGGAGACTTTGAGATACGAACAACTTGGTGACATTGGATAGCGCACTCTAAAAAACCACCATGTCTTCTGTAGTAAATCTTCTCCTGAGTGTGATCGAGTATATCGGGATAGCCAACCTCCTGACCACCATCACTATCTGCCTTGTGACCTTCTGGTATATCCGCATGAACTACGGGGCGTCGTTCCACTACCGTCTCCCCCCTGGCCCACCGGTCATTCCTTATCCTTTCGATTTCCTCATGGCACTATTCCCGTCAAGCAACCGCTTCGGCAGAATGATTTTCTTAAGTAAGAGGTAAATATCGAAGTTATTCAACATTTCTTGAAGTACTTTAACAATTGTATTTTGAATGATAGATCAATTTATTGTACGCCTGTTGCACAAGATGCCGATTGAGTTATTTGTGCAAATCAAAACTATTTGACAATTCATGTTTGCACACTTTCTTCGTTCATTCTCCTAATTGAAAAAAATACACAGAAATAAAAATTCAACAAACAAAAACAACGACCGACCGATCAGTAGCCTGCTCGGTCGCTGCTGGAATTAGGCATCGCCCAGCGATTAGGTCGGTGCCCGGGCGGCGACCGCCCAGGCACCGAGCGTATTTTGGGCGGCGAGTGAAAAGTGAGCAGGCGCCGCCCAAATTTTAACTCCGCGCTAAAACTTCAGCGGCGACCGAGCGATGCCCTAAAAACGAGCGGTGCCTGGGCGGCCGCCGCTCGGTGGCCGGGCAGCCGCCGGGCAGAATTGGTTAAATACTCGCCGCTCGGCCGCCGAGCAGACTACTTTTGGGTAATGTGACCATAGCATTATTGTCTGAAACTGATTAATTTGTGTTGATCTTGTTTACGATTGTTAGTATTCTTTGAATTTCTAGACATTCACTTTCTGATGGATGTCTCATGGGTTGACAATACAATGGTCATGTGGACTACAAAGATTTCTTCACACGTTTTCCTTTCCATTTTCAGATATGGTGACATAACATGTCTGCAGCTCGGCAGGAGAATGATAATTATGATTTCTAGCCCGAGTCTTGTCAAAGAACTTATCGTGAAACAAGCAGACGTGACATCTAACAGATCAGCACCCCCTTTCTTTACCTCTGTGATGGATTATAAAGGTACATCTCCCACTGTTTGCCATTATTATTACAAACATGATCGCTAGAACTTTCGAGGCATCAACCCAAGGGGATTTCAATACCCTTTTTTCGGTATTCCATGGAAATCATGTTCGGATTATTTAATACGTCATTGTTTGCACACTTCGATGGGCGATGGCAAGGCTAGGCCTATTGAAACTTCCCGAGTTTGATTTTTCGAAAGTCTTTGAGATCGTGTTCACATTAGTTTTATTAATCCAGGTACAGTATGTGGTTTTTGAAAAGATTTCTTTTATATTTCGATGAACTATATATTTTCATCTTTGCTATAATCAGCCAAATATAATTATCAGTAACAAAATTTATCATCCACGACCACACAGGCCTTTTAAAATGAACTTGTTGAGCCAACAAACGCCTATTACCTTTGTTCCACAGATACGTTCATAGTAGTTAGTCTACCATTAGCCACACGATTCACTTTGTTTGGCATGTTCAGCCTGGATCCCCCTCCTTTACACACACATCCAAGCTAAACCCGTGGGGGTAAATTCTACTCATTGACACGGTGGCAGCAGTGGGATAAGCTTAAATGATGTGTACTTCAATCATATTATTTGTTTACATTTTAAAACATCAATAAAAAACAGTTAATCCACTTATTAGGGGGCATCATCTTCAGTGATGGGGTACCCTGGCAGGAGATACGTCGTTTCAGTCTCTCAGCTCTACGCAACTTTGGCATGGGTAGGAAGGGCATTGAGACGAGGATACAGGAGGAGGCCCGCAACCTCTGTAACGCGTTTGCCCAACACTCCAGTGAGGCGTTCGACGCCATGCATCTTACCAACGCCGCCGTTTCCAACATCATCTGCAGTATCACCTTCGGGAGGAGGTTGGAGTACGATGACCCGGTCTTCATGGATATGATCCAGAGGCTGAGAAACGTTACAAGCGGGGTCGGGATTAACCCTATCATCCGGGAGCTGATGATGCGATTTCCCATCCTCCTCAAGACCCCACTTCTGGGGAAACCAAGGCAAACCTTTTGGGAGTCAAGGTAAGGAAGCAAAGCGATATTGAAGGATAGGGGACGGGCCTGGGACCCGTTTCACAGAGCATTTTTTCAATGACAAGTGACAAAAATTAGTGACAAGTCTGCTAATAACCAATCAGAAGCAAGGATTTCAGTAGCTTATAACAAAGACTGTCATATTTTGTCACTGATGACAAGTTTTGTGAAACGGGTCCCTGTTCTATTCGTAATGATACCGCAGCTGCATCTATCTCGTCATTAGTGTAACATGTAAACCTACGTCCTCATGCGCATTTGGTTTTGTGAACCTTTTAATCGGGTCAACTAGGAGGTCCCGATCTGCAGCACTTTATCCAAAGATTTTGATTTAAAGCCTCATTATATCACATTTCAACTTTCAAGACATTTGGCATGGGTAGGGAGGACATCAAGATGCGATGTAATTCGATTGCCCAACAACCCAGTGAGGCGTTCGCAATGGCCATAAGTGTCTGCAAGGGCTATCAGTTGTAGAATTATCCTTTTTTTGATACCAAGTACCTTTCAAATCTTTGTGTATTTGTACTACTTCTCAGAACTTTATAACGAAGGAGGTGATAGAGCACATTGAAAGCTACCATTCCTCTGACATCCGGGACATTATTGATATGTACCTGACCGAAGCAGAAAGACTGGAAGAGGAGAAGAAGAAGGCAAAGGAGGACAAGTTGAAACCATATTTGAACAAAGACGACATCTGGATGTGCGTTTTCGATCTATTCCTTGCAGGAACTGAGACCACATCAACGGCGTTACTCTGGTTCCTCCTCGTAATGGCAGCCAAACCTGATGTACAAGAAAAGGTAAAAAAACCCGCCCAGGTTCTATTTTTATATCTTTCTGTTTCATGCAATATACATTACAAGAGTGAAGCCTAAACCACCGAGAAGGTATATTTGCTGTAGGCCCTTCCTGCAAGTTGATTTCCATCAGGTAAGCTAGTGCCAAACGAGACATGACATGTTAGAGACTTCGTTGAATCAACTTGTTGAGGACAAGAAGACAGGAAATGAACTGGACATTATTTCCGATTAATCTAGGCTTTATTTCATGGAAGGGTTTCCGTTAGGTTTGTGGTTAGGATAAATGTTTCGCAGAGTGTGTGATCCATGTTTTAAGTTAGAAATTTGGTTTGTGTAGGGTATAGTGACCGCAGAGGAATTGTTGTTTGAGCATGACTCTTATATCTGTAAAATGCATTACAGTCGTATATTATATTTTGTTATTTTCCTTATAGATATATCAAATTAATTCTAGAGACCGCCTGCATTTCATGTACCAATTTGTTACATTTATAATTAATGTCACAGGTTATAAGTGAGATCGACCGTGTTGTTGGACGCGAGAGAGCACCTTGCATGGAAGACCGTAAGGACATGCCGTACACAGATGCCACCTTAATAGAGGTACTTCGCTACAGACCTGTCGCTCCGCTTGGTGTCCCGCATGTCACCGCCAAAGACGTCGAGATCGGAGATTACACCATCCCGAGAGACACCGAAATCATGATCAATATCATTGGTATACACCTGGATCCGAGGTTGTGGGACGAACCAGAAGAGTTTAACCCTCATCGCTTCCTCAGTGAAGACGGAAAGACAGTGATTAAACCCCAGGATGCTTTCACTGTCTTTGGTGCAGGTAAGGAAATCTGAGAATGGTGTTGCCTTCATTGACAAGGTTGACAATAGGGGCGTAACAATGTTTGTAGACCAAACATAATATGATGGGCTTAATTTTAAGATCCTCTGTAATGCTACATTCATGATACTGCATGTAGCTGGTCCATCTCGATGTTGGCAAGTACTGCATTAAGATATAAAACGTTTTCTTCCTCAGGCGTAAAGACGAGCCCTAGAACAGACCAACAACAGACCCCCCCCAAAAAAAAAAAAAAAAAAAAAACACAACAACAACAACAACAACAACAGCAACAACAACAAAACAACAAATCTTTGCCATTGAACAAATTGTGGGCGGGCGCCATCATAACCAATTCTCAGGATCTCAGCTGCTATGTGGCAAATCGCTCGTGAAATATATAGAGCTCTAAGTGTATATAAAAATAAAGGAGAAATCACAGGACTCGGCAGTTGGTTGAATTTTTGGCAAGTGGCAGAGTGCAAACAAGTGAGCAACGACAGTTGTATTTGGTATGTTGAAAGCTTTGTTGAAGTATGTTACCACAATCGTATAATAATGGTGCAAGACGCTTACAACGTATTGAACGGTATCATAAAGTTTGTTTTACTGATTATACAATAATTGTTTTTGGTGAAGTCTTCATTGGTCTTATTTTTCCATGTGTGTACAGGTCGGCGTGTATGCCTTGGTGAGCAGCTAGCCCGGATGGAGTTCTACCTCTTCGCTACTACCCTCATGCAGAGATTCCGCTTTCGCTTGCCTGAAGGCGAGTCTGGCGACTTTGGCTTTGAACACTGTCTTGGCACCATTGCGCCAAAGAACTTTAAAATCCTAGCCCAGGAACGATAGGTTCTGAATTTCACTAGGACTTTTGTAAAATGGTAATGCACTGACTTTCATGTTAAGCTTTTCACTCTCGTCTCTCAAACCACGAAGATGTAACAAACACACCCCGTGGAGATATAGCAAAATTATCTACAGTTTTCTTATTTGTATCTTTTTCCTTCTATACATCATGGATATAATTTTTATGATGGTCAGTTATACAGGAAACAAGTTTTGTTGTGTCAAAAAAGGAAATTCAGGCACAACCATAATATGTCCAGCTCTAGGCATAGACGCACTTAAAGATGTTATCTTGGTTTTAATCAAAGCGGAAAATGAGAGAAACATAGCAAATTAGTGAAAGTTTGAGCAATTTCGATAACAAATAGGGAAGTTATGAATTTTTAAAGTTTTCATCAGTGAAATACAAATTGGCAACACTTACGTAGTTAGCAAGCTACTCTCCAAAATGTTGTTAGTTATAGAGTGGTGAAGTGTGACCTCATTAAAAACGAATTTTTAGAATTTCTCAATTTCTTTTCCCCTTCATTTTCCGATAGAGCATAAAAAATAATTTCCAAAATATCGAAAAACCGATTGAATGTGTTAAGTATTGGCTGAGATATAACCATCTGAATAGATAGATTTCCTATAAGGACTCACTTTTTTGTTCTGGTTCATAATATTACGAGCCAGAGCAAAATAACACTGAGTTCCTATTGGAAATATATTTATTCAGATGGTCATATCTTAACATATTCAATTGGTTTTTTTCGACATTTGGACATAATCTTTTAATGTCTTTCGGAAAATAAAGAAAAACAATTGAGAAATTCTAAAAATAGAGTTTTATGATGTCACAGCTACGGTACTCTATTGATGACGGAATAGGCTAGTTTCATACAGGGGTTGTAAACAAAAGCTTATTTGCAGCCATAGTAGTTATATTTCGGATTCATCTATGATAGAAAAAAATTTAAAGGGAATTTGAAAGGGATTTAAAGGTACAGGGCAAATTGGAAGGGACTTCGCAATATATGTCACAGAGTTGCCAATTTATGTTTGATCGATCACACCTTAAAATATTCAAACTTTCTTGCTTTTAATTTGCTTTTGCTCAAACTTGACAGACCTGTTTCTCTAATTTTTCTGCTTCTATCAATGTGGCGGAATTTCCCTTTAACATACTGGGATGCAATGGCCTACGATCGGCTTTTAATTTGTTCGCAAGTCGGAGTCGACGAATAACCGTGGCAGGCATCTACTCAAGGAGGACGTGTCTGTTGCACACGAGGTGCCATTTTTAAACGAAATGTCCGTGAAATTCAAGTGGGTTAATTGACTTCTTCTATTTTGCGATAGATATACATGAATCATTCCTACCACCCCCTCTCTCTCTCTCTCCCTTTCGTTTACTCTTTCTCTCCTATTCCATTTTCATCTTATTTCCTATTTGTATGAAATGTTTTATATTTGTTTATATTATGTTTTTATAGTATATTTTGTGTATTTTTATGTGTATTGTAAGATATTTGAAATGTGATTTGTTTGTTACAGCAGGGCTCCCTTGGAAAGCAGGCCTTGCGGCTTGAATGGGACCACCCTGCTTTTATAAAGAAGACATGAATAAATAAATAAATAAATTTGGTGACGTAACAATGCGTCAAAGACTGACTGGCCCAGTTGTTGACTTGCCCAGTAAAAATGGGAAACGTACATAAATGGAATACGAAATGAACAGTATAAAACAGTTAAAATAAATTGAATTGGTATGGTATGGTATTTATTGAATCCTGCATCGAAGTTAAATATACTGAATTGCACAATGATATACATGTACATTGCGTTTTAAAAACAAGTGTACAATTTAAAACAGTATTATTTACATAATCATAAATACACGTGTACATATTTTTTTTAATTTGATTTCATTTCATTTTTGCATTTTGCCAAATATAATATAACTGAATAACAAACAACGTATCGATGTAAGGTATAATACAACATATACAAACAATAACTTCTTTATGTCAAAATCGCAGCACTGATTAGAGGTCATGAGCACATACAGTGTGTAGCCTAGTACATAATACACAATGTACATAGTTTGTGTGCATCTATTCACTGACAGTAAAGTAGAGCTGACGTGCATGAATGACCATGCGTCTTTGTTGTAGTGGCTTTGTAAACTATGTAAGGCAGAGTATATTATGTTTATTTTAATGTTGATGAGAGTATATACACATTTACATGTACTTAAGCGTTATTAATTGGTTATGGTATTGAATACTGTAGCTGAAGACTAAAGGCTTATAGCTAAAGGGGATATGTTTGAATGATAAGAAATACATTTCTTCTTTTACATAGAATTACTCAATGAATATTGAAGTATCATTGACTAAGTGATATGCATTTATTGTCGACTCTAAATTGTTACATGAAGAGGTTTTGAACATGTAGTTACTGATGTTCTTTCTTTTATTGTTTCTTTTCTGCTTTTGCAGAGGTTTTTCTTCTTTGTATTGAAATTTATGCAGATTAGCTCAAGTAGGAAATAAAATTCCGCTCATATCCTACAACCTCGAGTCGTGTCATTGTGTTCTGGTAGTGCATCCTTCCTGACAACCGCCCCCCCCCCCTTCTCTCGAATTACCAGAATACTACATTAATATAATTGCCTTAATTTGTATTTAAAAAAAAGTGGAAATATATTCGACAATTATTAACTTATAATAAAAACTTTAATGTTATTTGATCCGTGTTCAGGCGTCAGTTATAGTCAATACATTTGTAATACATTTGAACAAAGGTACGCTGTATTGTTATCCATAAAGTTATATACTTCATCCATCAAGAATAACTCATATTGTTTGTTTGATTGATTTTATTTCTGCGTTCAAAAAGATACAAATTCAAAGTACAAACATTCGAACAATAACAAATACAATGAATAAAATGTTTACAAAAATAATTAAATAGAAAATAGTGTACAATTATATCATACGATAAACATGTACGAAGCATACAAATAAGATGAGAAATATTTAGTAAATATTTTTCAATAAATTAGAGAGGTAATTTAGAACGCAGGAGACCACCATCGTGAGCGTTTAGGCCGGAGATGGATTGTCACAAGAAAAGAGGTTCAACAAAAGATATTTCAAATTTATATAGACAACGGTGTATATACGATTTGATTTGTGTGCTATCATCAAATATCCATCAATAAGTTATGAGGTCAGAAAGCTATTGCAAATAAAGTCGAAATCTATATGACGATTATTAACTCGTAATAAAGTTATGCAAATTATTGAGTGCTCATTGCGTATGTTTCTTTCAAGGCGTCAGTTATAATATAAACACTGTAGTTTGAATAAAGTAATGCTGTATTGTTGCACTTTTTTCCCCGAAAAATAAAAAATTGAAAATTTGACCGATCGATATTTCGTTCCGTTAGGGGGGGGGGGGGGGGGGTAAGGTCACCTTTTTTTTGCACCCATTAGCACATTTTTTATTTTATTTAAAAAAATAAAATAAGGAGGGGGGATTTTCTCCAAAACATACCCACACAAAATTGAGAGAGAGAGGGAGGGGGGGGGGGCGTTCGACCCCCAAAACCGCCCCTTGCGTAAGCGCCTGTGAGGGGGTGTGGTGATACTGTAAAGGAACACGTACCAGAGAATGACACCACCAATGTCTTGCACCGGGCCAGTTTTTCAATTTCTCCGGTAGAGCAGAAGAAGCTCAAACCAACAACTACTCCAGGGGAGTGTTTCACAAAGACTAAGATCGACTTTAAGTTGGACCTAACTTTGGCAGGCCATTCATGCGACTGGTTGCTCTCACAATTGGTCTCTCAATTATGATCTTTAGATTATATATTTTTTTTTCAATAATGAACTATCAAAAAATGTTAATTCTGTAGATTTTTGACCATGATTTGTACGTCTCTTGAGAAACAAATGTCAGGAATGGTCAGAGGAACTAGTGCCCTGGCAATGATTCTATGTACACTCGTTGATCCTAGCCTCACGGTTGATACTATACCTTACTGTCTTTGAAAATAAGAGTATCTTTGCATTACTAGATGCAATGCACGTGAACTGCGTGAGAGAAGTGAAGCATGCGTATGATTCCCACAAACTTAATTCAAAACAATTTTCGTTTTTAACAAAAAAAAATCATGTCATATCAGGTATATGGTGACAGAAGTTGGTTTACGGTTAAGGAAGAGGCAGGGTGTCATTTGAATCAGGAGATAAACGTAGATAAATGTGAATTTGAAGCAGGTTCGAAAATATTTCATTTGGATGGAAAGCGCTTTACTGCATGTAGTCAAGAAATTCAGGAGAGTCCCATATACGAGAACATTCAAGAATACTACAACATGAAGGGAACTAACAGGATGCTCCCGGGGCAGAAGGGTATCAATTTAACGGGGGAAAATTGGTCAAGACCAAATTTGAAATCAGCGATTCCGTCAGAGCTTTCAGTTATGTGAAGAAATAGTTTTATAACTTGATATTTGTTTGGATTTGGTTTTTGATAATCCAACATTTAACAAAATAACAACAAAATGCATTAAAGAAAAGAGAAATTAAGAAAATGATAGTCCAAAGATACCTGACTGACGCTCATCCCTTTTTCCGTAATCAGGCCACAATCGCTGAAATGAATCAAGAGTTTCCAAGACCCTTACCACTGCACATGGACAGCTATCTCCTTCATCACCACACACACCAGTCATGATAATCGGATATTCTCCATCGAGAGCCCCAGTTGTCCGTCGACTGCGGAAGCAGAAAACAATCATAGAGGGAGTGAATACACCAAGTGGAACAAGCAGACCTCCATCTCCAGCAACCTCCTTTGTTCAGATGGAGGTAGACGTTCCTGAAAAGGCCGTTCGGAGTCTCTAGAATCTCCGCAGAAAGCTTAACTACGAGAAGGAGATGGAGGTGGCGGCGGCGGCGGAGGAGGAGGAGGACCATCTAGACACAGATGTCAGTATTCAGGAGGTGGAGACGGTGACGACGGAGGCAAAAGACGACATACAATTTCCTGTAGCACCTGTCCTCATGGCAGTCAAGGCACTTTCGGGTCTTATACACGAGTCGGTGCATCAGTCGTGCACAGGATGCAGACTCAACTATCCCAGTCAGAAAGACCACGAAGACTGTTTGTGGCTAGATAAATGTGAATTTGAAGCAGGTTCGAAACCATTTCATTTGGGTGGGAAGCGCTTTGCTGTAGTCAAGAAATTTAGGGGAGTCCCATACGTGAACATTCGAGAATATTACAACATGAAGGGTACTAACAGGATGCTCCCTGGGCAGAAGGGTATCAATTAACGGGGGAAAATTGGTCAAGACCAAATTTGAAATCAGCGATTCCGTCAGAGCTTTCAGTTATGTGAAGAAATAGTTTTACAACTTGATATTAGTTTGGTTTTGGTTTTTGACAATCCAAAATTTAAAAAAAAGAATAACAACAAAATGAAATACAGGAAAAAGAAAAAAGGAAGAAAAGAAGTTAGTTCAAAAATACCTGACTGACGCTCATCCCTTTTCCGTAATCAGGCCACAATCGCTGAAATGAATCAAGAGTTTCCAAGACCATTACCCACTGCACATGGATAGCTATTTCCTTCATCACCACACACACCAGAAGTCATAATCATCGGATATTCTCCATCGAGAGCCCCAGTTGTCCGTCGACTGCGGAAGCAGAATGCAATCATAGAGGGAGTGAATACACCAAGTGGAACAAGCAGACCTCCATCTCCAGCAACCTCCTTTGTTCAGATGGAGGTAGACGTTCCTGAAAAGGCCGTTCGGAGTCTCTAGAATCTCCGCAGAAAGCTTAACTACGAGGAGGAGATGGAGGTGGCTGCGGAGGAGGAGGAGGAGGACCATCTAGACACAGATGTCAGTATGTAAGAGGTGGAGACGGCGAAAGACGACATACATCTTCCAGTAGCACCTGTCCTCATGGCAGTCAAGGCACTTTCGGGTCTTATACACGAGTCGGTGCATCAGTCGTGCGCATGATGCAGACTCAACTATCCCAGCCAGAAAGACCATGATGACTGTTTGTGGCTAGAGTGGCCAGACAGGGTAGATAAATATTTCGATGAGGCCATCACCAAGCTCACCGAGGAGCGATAACTTTCGCTAATTTGTAAACATGGTGTACATCGAGAATGAAATGTTTGAAGAGGAGTAGAATCGACGCTTTTTCAGTTGCGTGAAAGAAACCACACATTTTTTTCATAGTGAACTATAAAAGAAGGACGTTCTGCCATTCATCATAAGCAAACTAAAAGACCTATAACGGCGGAATAACTTTAACCGGAAATTTAAAAAGTGAATTTCGTATACTCATTTGAAGTATGTATCCACGTTTTTTCATGAATTAAAAACAACTAATCTGTAACCGCGTAATTTTTTAACTTAACTAAAGTGCATCAGTCGTGCACAGGATGCAGACTCAACTATCCCAGCCAGAAAGACCATGATGACTGTTTGTGGCTAGATAAATGTGAATTTGAAGCAGGTTCGAAACCATTTCATTTGGGTGGGAAGCGCTTTGCTGTAGTCAAGAAATTCATGGGGGTCCCGAATACGTGAACATTCGAGAATACTACAACATGAAGGGTACTAACAGGATGCTCCCGGGGCGGAAGGGTATCAATTTAACGGGAGAAAATTGGACAAGACCAAATTTGATATCAGCCATGACGTCATAGCTTTCAGTTTTTTTTTTTACCTGACTGCTAAGAAGGCATAAATGCTTGTGAAGAAATAATGTACAACTTGATATTTGTTTGGTTTTGGTTTTTGATAATCCAACATTAAGAAAAGAAGAAGAACAACAAAATGAAATAAAAAGAAAAAAGAAGATATAGTCCAAAAATACCTGACTGACGCTCATCCCTTTTCCCGTAATCAGGCCACAATCGCTGAAATAGTTCAAGAGTTTCCAAGACCCTTACCCACTGCACATGGACAGCTATCTCCTTCATCACCACTCACACCAGATGTCATGATCATCGGATATTCTCCACCAAGAGCCCCGGTTGTTTGCCGACTGCGGAAGCAGAATGCAATCATAGAGGGAGTGACTACACTAAGGGTTACAAGCAGACCTCCACCACCAGCAACCTTCTTTGTTCAGATGGAGGATCCTGAAAAGGCCGTTCAAAGTCTCTAGAAACACCTTGAAAGCTGAACTACGAGGAGGAGATGGAGGTGGAAGTGGCGGCGGTGGCGGAGGAGAACCGTCTAGACACAGATGTCAGTATGCAGGAGGTGGAGACGGTGACGATGGAGGCGACATACATTTTCCTGTAGCACCTGTCCTCATGGCCGTCAAGGCACTTTCGGGTCTTATACACGAGTCGGTGCATCAGTCGTGCACAGGATGCAGACTCAACTATCCCAGCCAGAAAGACCATGATGACTGTTTGTGGCTAGAGTGGCCAGACAGGGTAGATAAATATTTCGATGAGGCCATCACCAAGCTCACCGAGGAATGATATACTTTCGCTAATTTGTAAACATGGTGTACATCGAGAAAGAAATGTTCAAAGAGGAGTTGGACGCTTGTGTGAAAGAAGCCAGGTACTTTATTAAAAGCGAACTGAAAAAGAAGGACGCTCTGTCATTCATCATGAGCAAACTAAAAGACCTTTAGGGGCGGAATAACTTGAATAAAATGAATGAATTTCTTATACCCATTTGAAGTATGTATCCATGTTTTTGTAATGTATTTTTTAAAAACTCTATAACCATGTAAATGTTGAACGTTTAAAAAAAAATATTTACCTGCTTTTTCAGGTTGCAGAAAATGTTTAATAATTTGAATTAGATTTACACTTTTTTTTAAATCTTTTGTAAACGTAAACTTTCCGAGTTATATATAGAAAAGTATTTCTGAACAAACGGAAAATGGGTTCAAACAGCGGTATTCCTGTGAACAATCTTTGAATGTTACATTTACGTGACATTCTGAACATGTTGATCGGAGTGATTCAACCGTAGAAAGTATATGGTACATTCGCTGAACTTGGATCGTTAGCTGTGACACTGAAGTTCAAGTTCCCGACACGATGTTTCTCCGATAAACATGTAATAACAGATAACAATGCAAGCATCACCAAAGATAAAATCAAACTAAATACTGTTTAAGCTGTTGCTGCAATATTGGTGATATTGCCTACATTGGGCATGTTTTCAGACAAAATGCAAAGAATAAAAGCGGAATTCGTTTTGAACTTTTGCCCCCTTCTGGCATTTGCAAGTGTATGATATTAAATGAGACATTTTCATCCAGCGAGAATTTTTCGTGTGATTGCAACACAGTCTCGAGTTTCGTAGAAAATGCATTATTGTCAAGCTGGTCACGCCTCACGACTTACGGGTTTATCTAGCTGGAGTAGCTGGGGTGAATTAAACACTATCCTGACAAAATGCCTCTCATTCGATCCTTGAAGCATGTCATTCACAATCTCATCGAACATATATATTCCACTTACACGAGGCATTATGTCAATCAAAGGCCCAAAACTTAATCTGTGCTAAACTTCTTGTGTTTCTGGCTAAATCTACTTACATTGTACATATAAAAGTATTGTCGGATCTTGGAAGAGTCTCGCTTGCAGGACTCTTGTTGCTTGCAGCATTCGATGATGATGATCCTCCTAGTCTATTAGAGTCACCGCAGTCCTACCAGCCACAGATTGCTTGGATCGGGGTCCGTTGGTGGAGGGTCCACCCTGTGTGTAGTCCATGGAATGGAATCAGGCCGTACATGATGCACCGCTGATGCCACACTACGCCACTGGTTGCTGCTTGGCCGATGGAAGTCGACTGGTGGAAGGCCTGCCCTGCATGTAGTCCCTGATCGTCACATGCACCCTTGGCTGTCCGATAGATGTGGAGGATCTTTGTGCAGGCCTACCATCTACAGCATGATCTGTATTTTTTGTTGATAAACACACGCATCGATTGATTACGATAATGCCGCACACACTTTTGCAATACGTATATGTGAATTCTATATTACTTTTACCGAAGAACAAAAACAAAAACAAAATCAAAAAAAATATTCATGCCTAGATCGAATAAGACATGAATCGAGTATGTTGCTATGTTAGACGTAACCAAAATCATTACATACACGACGATTAGATACATACAAATATAACTTCAACTTACCTGTACTGTTTGTATCAAGGGTCTCCTCCTGTCCTAGATAATACGTTATCTTGGCAAAGATCAAGCAGTGATGATTTGGCTCGAGGTCTTCGTATAACTCATCACGTAAGGCCGACACATCAGCCAGGCATGTACAGGCATGTAATCGCTGTACAAGTTCGTCCATGGTAAATGATGCTGAATGTACGAGTTGGCTAATGGCGAATAAAGTTGGAGCATCTTCTTAAGTGATCGGCAGACTAACTTAAATTGATAGTTTAACAGGTTTGGGCCCACTCCACTCCACAGTGCACTCCCAATCGTAACAATCGTCCAATCAACTGATAGATAAAACTTCTACCGTTACGTAATACCTCACCATCAGCCAACCAGAGGGAAGCACAAGGAAGGAAGAGGGAGTGACCTCATACTTACCACCGCCATTGGTCAGGCATTGTTTCCCTTCCTGGTCATCACTAACTCTATTGTTATTACCCACCCCACTTCCTCTCTACCTGCGACCCATCCCCACGCAAAGGAGGTACACCCTTGATCCTAACAATAGACTTGAACTTGCTGCTTCCCCTGTATTGTCCGCTTATTTCCTCCCAAACAATAGTCTACTGTTCTCAATAGATGAGACCATCCGGCGCAGAGCTGACCAGTCCAACAACAACTATTAAAAAAGGAAATACACGAACAAATACCTTCTCTCTCTCTCTCTCTCTCTCTCTCTCTTTCCTTACCGTATCATCATCATCATCATCAAGGGTGCCGATTTGTATCCTTTGTTGGGGGGGGGGGGGATAATAGGTGCCAAAATATTTTTGGCAATGGATCAAAGCAACCAAGAGGTAGAGGCGTGTGGCAGGTTGCACTCCCTCCCTTCCAAGTTATTAAGTTTTTCAAGTCACCCTCAATAAAGAGAACATTTTAGAGAATATGGGACCCATGTGGGTCCCACATGGGCTTGCTACCTGGGTTAGTATCCTCTCAAGCATATAGGCAGGATTTTAATTTAGGGGGGGCGGTAGTGAGCACCACCTAGGGGGTAGGTGTAGGGAGGGGTCCCCCCCCCCTCACAGCGCGAAGTTTCATTAAATTATTAGAGAAAGAAGACGATTCGTTGTACCATTCTCGACTCTTAATCATTTTCTGAATTCAGTTCCCCCCCCCCCTTCCCGCGCGAAGCGCGGAAGCTTTGACGTTTCATTAAATTATCAGAGAAAGAAGACGATTCGTTGTATCATTCTCGACTCTTAATCCTTGCTTGAATTCAGTTCCTCCTCCCTCCCCCTGCTCGCGCGAAGCGCGGGAGCTTTGACGTTTCATTAAATTATGAGAATAAGAAGACGATTCGTTGTACCATTCCCGACTCTTAATCCTTATCTGAATTCAGTTCCCCCCTTCCCGCGCGAAGCGCGGAAGCTTTGACGTTTCATTAGATTATTAGAGAAAGAAGACGATTCGTTGTACCGTTCTCGACTCTTAATCCTTTTTCTTCCTACGTCCTCTTCCTTTCTTCTTTCTCTCTCTTTTTTTTCGGCGTTTTTTTTTTTTTTTTTTTTTTTTTTTTTTTTGGGGGGGGGGGGGTCGACCGCCTCCACCACCCCCTGGCTACGCGCCTGTATCCTCTCTGTCTCTCATTATCTCTCTCTCCCACTCTCTTCTTCTTTTTTGCTTGTTAACGCTGCGGCTTTGCATTTGGCGCACTGCATTTCTATGATGCTGTTGATTGAATAAATTGAATAAATTCTTCAATTCAATTTATTCTTGTATCATATACGGTCGTCTCATTTACTTCGTTTTCTATTTATATATGTATGTATTATGTAAATGAGATATACTGATGATCATCTTGCGAGTAATAACCATTAACTACTCTCATCGGGCTCTCATCATTAATTTTTTTATTTTTATTTTTTTATGTTGAATTATTGGGGGGAGGGGGGATGATTGTACAGGCCATCCCCCCACCTGAAATATTGGGGGGGGGGGGATATATCCCCCCATCCCCCCCGGATCGACACCCATGATCATCATGCATCATCAACACGAGGTGTTAAACAATGAAGAGAGACAAGAGAGGGTGGTCATCTCGGATCACACCAGTCCTCTCTTACCTTCTCTGCTTTACTGTATACAGACTCATCGTGTGCATCCTTCACACTCCGTATCCCCAAATACAGTAACACGTTGAAATCTCGGTGCGCATGGCGTGTTTTTATCGATAACCATGAAAACTCCCTCTCTTCTGACAATCAAAGATGAAAATGCTTATCAAGACGGAAATCATGAAAGGATTTTTTAATTGGTCTATTGTACTTTTAATTAATGTTAATTAGCTATGGCGCATTGACTCACTAATTATGCAATAAATAGGTGCTAATTAATTCGCCCTGTCTGGACAGATCATTATAGCTACTCATGTTGTTATATTAGTTTATTTTAAGCCAAATTAAACAATCGTTATTCATGTTTTATTCAAGTTTTAAATAAATATGTTGTCATTTCTTACATAATGTATAAAATCTTTGAAAATCAGTGTCATTTATGGTGTATTATTAATGCCATCGTCATTCAAAGTGATAAGGGAAAGCAGAAGATGGAAAATATATGAATGCATCAATTAATATTATTTCAATGAAGAACTATAATTAACTTAAAGATGTGTGAAAATAGCAAAAATGAAAATGGGAATAGAATGAGAACGATATTCGTAGAGAACAAGAGTGAGGATGGGCAAGGGATAGTGAGAATAAGGATAGTAATGAATGAAAAACAAAGATCATAAATAACGAAAGTTAAAGTGTAAAATATTTGCATCAATTTTATTTGCAAATTACCGATTTCACTTTTTCTTCCAATTTTCAAGATTTATTACATGGTACAAATAAAAAAGACTTTATTTTAATTTCGTTAGCTCATATATCTATTTCCGACCCCTCCCAATCCCGTGGATTTTTCACGAATCCTGCTATTTATAAATAATATCTGACGGCCGAAATAAAACTCGGGTTACGGCTCGCTGGGCCAATTTATTTGTAATGGTGATGATCTGGATATGCATAGGCAGAAGTTTTGCACATAATGGTCAGATAGCACCAGTGACTAAGATTGATGTGAAATATGCAAAATGCAAGAGTGAGAGAGAGAGAGAGAGGGAGAGGGGAGGGGGGAGGGGGATGAGAGTCAGAGAGAGAGAGAGAGAAAGAAAGGGATACTCGAAGAGGATCCAATACGCAGCCCAATTCAAATAAAGTCGAGTAGATGAGAAACGTTATCCACATAGATACAATAAATTCAAATAATTTAGCGGGAAAGCCAGATATTGAAAAAATAATCTTTTTGTTTTCTTCTTCAATTTGGCCAGTTACATAATAATTATTGTTGTTATTGTTTATGTTAGGGAAATGGAATCTAAAATCCCTATGTGTCAATGAATTCCTTAAAAAAAAAAATAGGAGTCTATTCCGGGGGGGGGGGGGAGTGGTAGTGTAGCTAAAGAAAAAAACTATTGGGGTGCCTTGTGGTGGTAAATTCCCCAAAGAACCCCCTTTTGTTTAAAGTATAAGCTGGAGCTGGCAGCTAAACTGCTCGCGGCCAGTCAATTCAAGCACGCAGCTACACTCGGCCGTCAGATGTTTTAAAAAAAATAATTATCCTCGAGTACACCCTCTGTTGTCCTCACAATTATGTTCAGTATGTTTCTAATCGTCGTATGTTTGTTTGACGTGGACCTTTCACCATTCAAAGTTTGACGTTCGTATCTAATCCTTTTTTGTTCGTTTGGCATGGATCTTGCACCATTCGAAGTGTAGCTGTTGTTGTTATTGTTGTTTTGGTGTATAGGCGTTTATCATTAAGGAGTGAATATTTACGCGTCCGTATCTTTACTAGTCTTGTCCTTTCAAGACCTAGATTATTTTTTCGCTCTGTTGTGCTAAATTGACAAATAAAAAAAAACAGAACTGCTCCCGTTAACCTCTTTTGTGTTCCTGCACGCTGATGCTGGACGACCATAGATGTCGAAATTACATTACAACTGCGGATCCTTTTGAATATAGAGCCATATTTTGCATTTTTTGAGCAACAAGTGAAATTCATGGTACTCACGTAACTCAAACCTGTGGCCGGTGTATAGGGCGCTTCAAGTACCATGATCATCTAGGATAGTGGTAAATAACATAACATTAATCATCGGATTTGGGGAAATAAGGTTGGTGATATCATTTCCACAATTTCCGTGACTACAACATGGAACACCGGTCTTCGAAACAAGTTTGTTTCCGGGTAAGCTATTTATACCGATATTGTTATTATGTCGCATCATAATTATACCATATCAAAACATTTGGTTCACTGAACAGTGCCTGTTTAATTAGTAAAACATGTTCTTTGGAGAATGACGTATAAAACATGTTTACATCCGTCTCCATTCTGCCAGAAGTACCATTTTTTTTTTTAATTTGACTAGTATGATACGACAAAGACTATGTTTTTTCTAGTAAAGCAAACAAATTACAATTTCATTATGACTTACTATTGTGTTTTTTATTGTTTAAAATAGTCAATTTACTGACATATGTTTAATTTTATCTTTCCAACCATATCAGACTCGTTTTGATTGATCAAGTCTCCAAGATTTAAGAGCATTACATCTTTCGCCCAGCAAGTTGCCCCCTCCCCCAATACAATTTAAACGAGCTTTATTTCTTAATCGATACCATTGATTTACAAATGTTGCTGAAATGACATAAATTTAAAAGATTTGTTCTCACCTTTTTGTAAATGATACTTTCTTATGAGTTTGTTGGAAAATGTCAAATTCCCAAAATAACGGTCAGACAAAGAACATGCTTATCAAGAAGCCTTCATGGCACGGCTTCGCGAAATGGCGCCCCCCCCCACTTTTTTTGAAAAAGTATGTTAAAGAGAAATAGAAAGAAAGAAAGAATAGTGACCTGCCAGTGTCACGAATGAGGTATCTATATATGCTCATCTGACCGTAATCAAATTTAATAAATCCTTGAGCTTTCGGGGGCTGCGTCCCCTGGACTCCACCAAGGGCCCTAAGGCGGGCCCCCTGGATGCACATCTTACCGTACATGAATGCCTTAAACCCCTGAGCTTGTCCCCTGAGTGACCTGCCAGTGTAACAAAAAACGTATCAAATTATGCTTTATAATAAAGGGATAGTTGAGTTCTTGTTTCAGACCGCAAATGTCCTCAAAGTGCATGGTTATTGCACTTATTCTTATTTGTGACATTTCTAGCGCCCTCTTAGGACCTAAAATTGCTATGCAGGTAATTTTAGACCCCAACATTTGTGAAATTTAGCCAATACGATCATACCCATTCAGTATGGTATATTTTCGCTTTGAGATTTCCCACTGTAGGTGCCCTTTTTTCTCTCTCCAGAAAGTGCCCTTTTTGTTGGTGCTCCCCCCCTCACTTTGGAAGTCGCTCGGCCGCCCCTGAGCTCAGGGGTTTTAGGAATTTAATTACGGCAGATGAGCATTCAGGGGTAGAGAAGTAATGTGAATATAATGCCTCGCTTAATTGCCGCGCTGAGATATAACCAAGGATCTTTGCATCTTTAGTCAAATGCTTAAATTACTCGACTACGATACCTTTAAAACTCTTGCTTTCACATGAGTGGGACGACCTAGAGATAAATTGACGGTTGCATTTTTAATTCATATTTTCTAATCCATTTTATATATTTTTCGCAGGGCTATAATATTCTTCTCCTTCTTACTGTGGTAACGATCTCGACTGTGTCTGCATCGAACTCTTCTCCATGCATATCAAAAACAATTGGTATAACTTGCACTTGCCTGGGCCATCCACCATCTCCACCCGAACGTCCACGGTTTTGCATTTGCTATAAAGGTAAATATAAATCTAGTTTCACAGTAGTAGTGTAGTTTATATACCACACTTAAGAAATCCAGCCGTCTGATTGGTCGAAATTGCAGTCGTGATTTTAGCCATTTCCCGTAAAGAAACGAAAAATGCCGAAACCATTTAATAATCCAAGAGTAAAATCCCTGCAAGATTCCAGTTACCGGGAAAATAATACAATCTTGCTGCGTTACTCATTGGTTTACGTGTTAAAATTTTCTTTGAGCGAGTGCGGACATCATACAGTGCTTTTTGTCTGCAATTCCCAACTGATCGAAAATTTCAGTCATTTTTCGGGCGGTGATAAACAGACAGTTTATCAGATTTCCGTGATGTTTTAACCAATCTTTACTCGATACAAGGATAAGGTAAGAATTCTTGGTAGATTTTTTTTGAATTCGGCATATAAAAGGGATATCGACTGCTTTAATACTCGAGGACTGGCTGTTTCTATACTGGCTCTCTGTAAATTTGCCTCCGCTACCCCCTCGGCGTGCCTTGGGGTGATAGCTGCGGAGGCAAATTTCCCTAGAGCGTATATACAAAAACAGCCAGTCCTCTCGTAGCAGTCGATATCTCTACAGTGCGTCCCGGAAAAAACGAAACCAAGAAGTATCGATGTTTTATCATAACTTAATCACAACCATAATTAATGAATGATACATATTTGGAAAGCTTAGAATCTCCTCTTTCAGTTGATGCTACTCACGTGATGCATATTTACGCATGAGTGATTAAAAGCAATTTGAAGGAAGGAAACCGAAAAGTAATTTGGCGGGCGGTATCTGAATTTCAAAGAAAATTTCATATTTCCAGAAAGTTCATTTTCTGCTCTTTCATAATGATACCTCAATCAAGAAAAATGAGACAGGAATAACAAAGTTCTGTTTGTTTAAAGTAGCCCTTACATTTTCATAATTTTAACAAACGAATTCGTTTTCACTGGGTGCCTGCCGTAGCAAAAAGCAGATTTGAGAAAAGACTTAACTCCGTTTCGTTGACAATCAGCCATGCATGAAGACGAGAGTCTACGGCTGATTGTCAACGAAACGGAGTTAAGTTTTTTGTTAATTTCTTTTATTGATACGGCAGGCAGCCAGTGGAAACGAATTCGTTTATGGAAATGCAAGCACTACTTTAAACAAACAGAACTTTGTCATTAAACTTTCTAGAAATGTGAATTTTTCTTCGAAATTCAGATACGCCCGCCAAATGTCTTGTTGGTTTCCTTCCTTCAAATTGCTTTTAATCACTCACGCGTGAAATATGCTTTCCAAATATCTATCATTCATTAATTATAGTTTTGATTAAGTTATGATAGAACATCGATACTTCTCGGTTTCGTTTTTTCGAAGGCTCTTGACTCCTGAATTGATTCTGATATACGAGAAGTCCAAAATTTGAACCTTGCTCGATTCTTCAATCCTTCAACAATGTCTTATCAACGTGTGTTCCTCCCGACCATGATGTATCAAATGGGTACGTTGTAATTAATGCTGGGGTAATAGTAATTACAGGGCCCGCATAAAGAGCAGGTTAGTCTACTTACCCAATGTGCTGCAGATGGGAAGTAACCTCTCGAATGCAGTCACTGTCCAAGGCACCTCACTAAAACTCGGGTAATAGCAGTACTTTGTAGGCGCATGCTGCATCCCCTGAGGCGGATAAGTGTCCTTTATCATCATCATCATAATTATTAATCATCATCGACATCATTCTTATTGATGTTGATGCTATTATTGTTAATGTACTCAAACAACCGTAATCTTAATCAAAGTGGTAAGTGTTTCTACTACCGTGAAACACATTCACATTCTTTAAGAAACGTAGGGGTGTAATTATTTCCTCGATCCTTTCTTTAACGAACGTATATCAATGTAATTGTTTGTTAGTGACCAACCTTACAGAGTCTGGAGCAACCCATGACTCCGTCTCAGCGAGTTGGTCAGCACCTGATGGCGTTTACGACGGCTACAGAGTGACCTGTTCAAATGGAACAGACGTAGGACCACAAACTCTCGATGCTTATGCGACCATGTTTACCTGTACCAATCTAACAACTCCTGGAGCAAAGTACACCATCACAGTCGCGACATTGTGTACGAATAGTCCGAGCGAGCTATTTCCAATCACAATTGTAGCATGTGAGTAGTTCCGTTTACTAGGCAATCGACTCTATTTAACATGTAACTACTACGGTACCGGATTTATAAATTTAGATTTTATATTTGTGAAGATAACTAAATGTACTATGGGACAAATGAACCCTGACCCTTCATTGATTTTGAATAATAAGTGACGTATCTTATTATTGTCTTAGAATAGAATATATTTTGACTCGGTGAGCATCATAACGGTCGTAAGTTCTCTTCAGAACTAGCATTAGGGATTTCTGATTGTACAACAGGATGTTCATTTTATATACCTTAGATATATACATATAAATATATACCATATAACTTTGTTTACCTGTACCAAACTATCAACTCCTGGAGCAAATTCTACCATCACAGTCGCGACGTTGAGTTGGGATAAAGAAAGCGAACCATGTCCAGTTACAATTACAGCATGTGAGTTATTCATTGTGCTGCCAGCTGACATTTACTTAGGTATTGATCATTTAGTTTTATGGAATTTTTGTATGTGTTTTGCTGACATCTCCAAGATGTAGTAAAACATGTCAGTATGCTTTCAACCTTTATAAAAGTTCTTGCTCAAACATTTATTATCATGAAATCATTACATGTTTTCCAGTGCCTCTCAAGGTTCTTGACCTTACCGAGTCCGCAGCAACCCATGACTCTGTCTCAGCAAGTTGGTCTGCACCTGATGGAGTGTATGATCGCTACAGAGTTACATGTTCAAGTGGATCAAAGATAGGACCAAACACCCTCGATGCTAAGGCGACCATGTTTACCTGTACGGATCTCCCAACTCCTGGAGCAAACTACACCATCACAATCACGACGTTGAGTTGGGATAAAGAAAGCGAGCCAAGTCCAATTACAATTACAGCATGTGAGTTACCAATTCTGCTGCTAGCTGCTATTTACTTAGGTTTTAAATATTTAGTTTTATAGAATGTTTTGTATGTGTTTTGCTGACATCTTCAAGATGTAGTAAAACATGTCAGTATGCTTTCAACCTTTATAAAAGTTCTTGCTCAAACATTTATTATCATGAAATCATTACATGTTTTCCAGTGCCTCTCAAGGTTCTTGACCTTACCGAGTCCGCAGCAACCATGACTCTGTCTCAGCAAGTTGGTCTGCACCTGATGGAGTGTATGATCGCTACAGAGTTACATGTTCAAGTGGATCAAAGGTAGGACCAAACACCCTCGATGCTAAGGCGACCATGTTTACCTGTACGGATCTCCCAACTCCTGGAGCAAACTACACCATCACAATCACGACGTTGAGTGGGGATAAAGAAAGCGAGCCAAGTCCAATTACAATTACAGCATGTGAGTTACCAATTCTGCTGCTAGCTGCTATTTACTTAGGTTTTAAATATTTAGTTTTATGGAATGTGTTGTATGTTTTTTGCTGACATGTCCAAGATGTAGTAAAACATGTCAGTATGCTTTCAACCTTTATAAAAGTTCTTGCTCAAACATTTATTATCATGAAATCATTACATGTTTTTCAGTGCCTTCCAAGGTTTCTGAAGTTACCGAGTCTGGAGCAACTAAGGACAACACGTGAGTTACCAATTATGCTGCTAGCTGATATTTACTAAGGTTTTAAATATTTATTTTAAAAAAACTGTTTGTATGTGTTGTGCTGACATCTCCAAGATGTAGTAACTAATGCCAGTATGCTTTCAATATTTATATCCGTTCTTTTCCTGCAAGTGAATTTTCCCTTTTAGCGTTAGAATTAGATATATATATTTATATAAATATCCAAAAATACTCAAAGGAGGGGGGGGGGGGGGGGAGCAGGTTGTACTTTAATTTCAGCTACGCAACCATTATTCTCTTATCCCCTTATCCCCTTTTGCATAATTATGTGTAATTTGAATTCCTATCTCGTTGATATCATTGTGACAATCATGCCTTTTAGAATTGCTACTTTCACAAAAACTATATATATATATATATATATCGTCTTTCATTTGAATTCATTCTAATGTTAGAGTAAAGTTTCACTATATACTGGCTCCTTGGTCTACTACAGCATGATTTTGATATCACCAGATAGGTCGTACCGTCAGGGGCTGATCCAGCCGGCGACAAGAGGGGGGGGGGGGGCCAAATCTTGAGAATTTTTGTTAGCGCCAACTCAGCCGGCTGGTGAATAAGCTGGGGGGGGGGGGGTAAGAGCACACTTTTTTGTTTTTTTTGGGGGGGGGGGTGGGGAGGCCCAATTCGTGAGAAAATATTTAGCAGCGATTATCCAGCCGGTGAATACGCAGGGGGGGGGGGGGGGGTGATGGAAAGGAGAACCACTAATTTTTGGGGGTTTGGGCGAAAAAAAGCTTAAATTTACGTTATTATCCTATATTTTTAAACAGTTTTGGGGCTGGGGGGGGGGGGGGAGGCCAGGCCGGAAAAATCGCCACATGGATCCGCGCCTGCGTACCGTCGTAGTACTTAAAGTAGGGCCTATTTCTGTGTGACAAGTCTAATCATTCAGTGGATGTCCATGCAGGGGAGGTCCGTCTCTCTGCTTTACTCAAATTCATTTGGCTAGCTCTATGTTGCCCTAATTCTATCATCTAATCCATCATAAATACCATTTATGTTGCAAATCTTTTGCTCTTGCTATTTTATATTTTCAGCAACCGATGTCACTCCTCATACTGCAACTACTACTACTACTACTATTACTACTACAACTACTACAACTACTACAACTACTACAACTACTACATCAACTACTACAACAACTACCACTACTACTACTACTACAGCAACTACTACTCCTAGTTATTATACTACTAACACTACCACTCCTACTAATTCTACTACTAACACTACTATTCCTACTAATTATACTACTAACACCATTACTCCTACTAATGATACTACTAACACTACTACAACTACTACTACTACTACTACTACTACTACTACTACTACTATAACTACTACTCCTACTAATTGTACTATCATTCTGTGGATTTCCGTCTCGCTGCTCTACTTCGTTGTGTTCGGTTTGTTCTGTGTTGCCCTAATCTACCGGATGGATACAATAGCCTGATGTACATGTACCCATGTTGCTATCCGCAGGTGATTAAAACATGTTGGAAAACCTCTTCACACCAATATACGAAGATTCGAAAAAGAATCTTTAGGATGAATGGTAGTGATAAGAATTAAACATTAAGAAGTAAGAACTTATAACGATAAAACGTACCAAATGTGTCGTTTAGTAGAGTGGCTTAAACAATAAAAACTCTTTTGAAGATAGCTAGTTCTTATATAGCGCTTTTCAGGACCGAAGGCCCTCTCAAGGTGCTTTGCAGATATATATATTATTACCCGGTCATCGGATTCAGGCTAACCCGCACATAATATATGCACATTCTCCACTCCCTGGGGAGCATTCCAGCCAAGCGTCATTTTTACAAGCGCACACTTGCTAATCTAAGCACATTAGCTTTCGCATCCTACGGGGTACCCATTTAACACCTGGGTGGAGAGTGGCAAATGTAGATCAATGTCTTGCCAAAGGACATTAGTGCCGCGGTGGGACTTGAATTTGTGATCCACAGTCCGGTGACATATCCACTCGTCTGCGACACCTCTGCTAATATATATGCAAAGGTCGTTGGTTCGAACCTCTGCACAGCACTAGTAATGAAATTTGATGATATGTTAACCTACATTAAATTTTGCAATCCTTTGTTGTGGTGTAGGTGGTAAGATGATATCCGTTGAATGCTTTGCGAACCCAAATCGTTGTTTTTCTTTCGTTTCTCTACTTTTTTAGTGCATTTAAGAATTTTTCTTTTAAATTTGAGCACAACATACTCTAATCTAATGTACATATCAGGGGGGTGTTTCACAAAGATTCTAAGTTGAACTTATCTCTAAGTTGGACTTAAAAATTATGGAAAGCCGTTAGCATCTTTGAAAATATTTTGTAAAAGTTATTTTGAAAGGCATAAAATGTTGATTCAAATCATTCATATTTTCTATCATCAAGGAGATTTCATGTTCTGGATTTGGAATCTATAAAAAAGTATAAAATACTTGAATTTCTGCTTCTGAATATATTTCATTTTAAGACTCCAATGGCTGTCCATAATTTTTAAGTACAACTTAGAGTTAAGTTCTACTTAGGATCTTTGTGAAACACCCCCCTGGTGTCATATTTCCTTTTAGTGACAACCAAACTGAATGCACTGAAGAAGGTTGTAAGCCACGAAAGAGGTACATCCATGTCGTACGATAGCCCAACCGATGAAAATTTACGGGACACTGTCCCAGCAGGAGACCATCAGGACTTCGGCACTGTCATATCATACAATGACCTAAACATTGAAGTGACGACGCCATGCTAAGACAAGGATCATTTCATGTTGCACCTATAAAGCAATTTATTGTTTGATATATTACTCATTGCGGATATAGTATCGAAAACAATATCGCTAGTGACATTCGTTTGTCTCGCAATGTATGGTCAACAAGGGATCTAAAAGATCACGACGTTTCGTGTGCCGCTGCTACACTTCGTCAGGGGATAAAATTGTTGTTGGTAATAGTTTAAGGGCGTTCATTCAGTATTGAATGTATATACGCCATATCTTCAGTTTTATAAGAAAATCAGGTATCCATAAAGAAAACTGAAAATACAAATTTATAATGATATAATTAATTAGTCAGTAACGCAATTTATTAGGAGTCTCTGGATGGTTTGCATCTTCGTATTTCTGCTTTTTTTATACGTTTAATCTGGTTAGCCCGGTTTCGATTGCATGGAAATCTAGCCATGCATCATAACTCAAGGCATGGGCACACAGAAGATTTTTTTCTGATGGGGACCCGGGGGAAATTCAATGAATTATTGATAATTTATTGCATTTTCTTTGTGTTTTTATTTGTGGGAACTGCCCCCTACCCTAGTCCCCGCTGCGTACAGTCATGGTTCAGTGGCAAAGCAATGGCCTCGTAACTGTGAGGCCCCAGGATAAAAACCGTGTCGATGTGCTATATTAGTGCCCTTTTGTGGGGCATTAATTCTCATTGTACTGTCATTTACGACTTAAGGGCGTAGGTCCCCTAGTTGATAATCATAGTAGCATACACATGCTTTAGCAGTCACGCAAAACAAACACTGGAAAATTAATAAAATCTGAGAATGTCTACTATTATCTAAATCTATTAGGAATAAATCATTGTCAAAATAATTCCATAAATTGGGGTAAAAAATAAAACATTCCAACTTTATGAGCAACAGTGTAGCCTATATGAATAAACAAACATTCATGAGTGGCTGAACAAGAGTATTGTAAATATACTACAAATTCAAATTGGTAACAAGAATTGCTATACGTTCAAATAAACTGCCGGAAATGATATATGATATTAAGAATAATCAAAGATGGCAACGGCGCTATAGTAACGAGAACCAAGTCCTAGACAACCATGACCGGAATTATGATAGGTAAGTGTGTTGAAATTCCGAAAATGCAAAGAGATACAAGACTGAGTATATTCATTTATTGTGTGCTTATCCGGATGTTGTCATAATGTTAATACATTATTTTGTAAAGATTATGAAACATTTTATGATATGCTTTATACGTACATAATTATATTCAAATAATCAAGAGTTGTGAAATGATACACCTTTTAACAGACGGCTGAGTATTGGTAGTATGTGGTATTATGTGTTCTAATAGTAGATAATGAAATTATTTAACCATTCAGAGGTTTCTTAAAGATATTATGTCTCTTTTGCAGCCAACATCAAATTCTGTAGAACTTTGCAGGAATTATGAATATGTCATCTATGTTCTATCTGTAAAATTCAAACGTTAGCAGTGTCCTAATATTCAACTTATGCAAGGAAACCCGTTTACTTGCTAGACTTCATTGTCAGACACTATTGAGTAACTGGCTGGCTTTTTTCTTCTTTAGTAGTAACACACATAAAATGAGCTGTAAAGGGTACATAAGCATTTGTCTACATCAATAACCCACTTCTTGTAATGGCCAAAATTAAATCTTTGCGCAGCGTAAAACATACGACCATTCAGTACAATGGTCTGAAAAATCAGACTATTACTTTCTGGCTCTATAGCTCTCAAGTCGATTCGACAAATAATAGTCGTTATTTTCCCACTTAAAGACATTTTCAAGCCCCCCTTTTTTTTTAGGGAAGTTCTAAATTAGAATTATCTTTCACATGCCGTTGGAATTTAACCTTTTCATTTGTTTGGCCTGCAAATGGGACATAGTACCTTTAAGTTGGAAACATTGACGTAAATTTAGTAATGTAGGTATCGTGTGATATTATATATTTTAGTTGGTATGATAGCATGTACAGGTTTCACACATGTTATACTGAGAGTATTTGTTGGGTTTGTTTGTCGGTCGATATTTACCTGACTGCTATTAATAAAGCACAGGGTCGGCGATCCCGGGGAGGGGGGAACACGCCCCCCCCCCCCCCCAGGATCGCCGACTATTATTTTTTCGTTGAGCAATAAATGATATTCAATTTTGCACTGATCCTGTAACGTGCTCAATTGAAAATTAACAAAAGAAATGCTCATGTAAACCTCCTTTGTGTTTCTGCACGCTTGGGTGATCACAGATGTCGAAATGACACTACAACTGCGGCTTCTTTCGAACACGAGTATAGAGCCGTATTTTGCATGAATTCACCTGTGTACGGTGTATAGGTCGCTATGTACAGCCACCATGATCGACTAGGATAGTGGTAAATAAGATCAAAACATCGTAAACAAAAGTCATCGCATTTGGGGAAATGTGGTGATATCATCATTCCCACAGTTGCCATGACTAACTTGAAAATGGAACACTGGTCGTCGAAACAAGTTTGTTTTCGGGTAAGCTATTTGAAACACTATTAAATATTTTCCTCAGTTAAAGTTAATGTTGTCAACAAGGAAGTAGGGACGCTAAATGATTTGCAGCATATACACGGTTATACGTGTCCCATTGCAAAAATAGAAGAGAAGAAGAAGAAGGCGAAACAAGGACAACAACACGAACAAGAAAAACAAGAACACGAACAAGAAAAACAAGAACAAGATGAAGAAAGAAGACGGAAGAAGAAGAAGGAATAAAGAGCAGGGGAATTATTTCGGGCTTTTCCAAGAGCAACTGCTAGCGACCTAGCGTAATGACGAAAGTACAAAGTATCAACGTTTCTCAGCTTGATGATTTTTGAATAATGTAACTTCAATTTTATCATTTTAATTCAGCATTTTTTTTCATGTGGTTTGCACAAACTCAATTTACAAAAGCATAATTGAAGAAAAAGTTTGTAGTATGTACCTTGCATGTTTTAGTGCTAATTTCAGTTTCTATTCATATCTTGCAGTGTAATTGACAGGACAAAGAGCAATCGGGATATAACAATACGAAGAAAATTGAAAATATGATATCAAATCAACTTGAGCGCTCATTGTTCATAATATACGTAGGCCTAGGCATACAGATTAGCCTCAAGTCGAAATGAAATATCACGAAGCCCCAAGTATAATGCTTGTTTGTTCAGTCACGGTAACATGAAGCCAGTCATTCGGGGCGGGGGGGGGGGGTCTAATTACTAGATGAGTGCATGAAGTTGTGTGAATTAACAAGACCATCGATTAGGGGAGGATTCTTAATTATCTGATATTTCCTTTCTCGTCTTTACCCCCCCCCCTCTTTTTGTGTCATTCGCTTGGGGGAGCCCCTGTGCTAAGCCACTGTATAGCCTCCAAGAGTCACTGTCTTACGAATCTTATACACAATTATATATATTCATGAATCATGATCATGTAAATGTTGGGCATCCGTATTCGTTATCAGTTGGTATAAATGGGAGATTCCATAAAACAACCACAGTCATAGGTAAAACGTATACATGTGTAGTTGTTTTTCGATAATATTTTTGCTATTTGAGTATGCTAGTGTTGTGAGGTGATGGGGGTGAATATCAAATAATGTAGAACCTTCTCGTCGTAACAAATGTGAGATATTGGATATATTGGATAGGTCACTGTTTGATTGTTGTTAGGACCCTACCCTGATATCCCTACACATTTGAAAGGATATTTCGTCATAGAGGTCGAGAATCATCATCGTTCTCATGAAACTAGACTTTTACATGGTAATGATTATAGTAACGATTAATAATAGTGATAATAATAATAATGATAGTGAAAATGATGATAATAATAATGGTAATAATAATAATTACATTTATAGCGCTTTATATTATGTTTCTAAGCGTTTTACATTGTAATTATTATTTCCCCGTGGTCATTGGATTCAATAACAAATCCCCAATAGTGCACACGCTCCGCTCCCTGAGGAATATTTCGTCCAAGCGCCATTTACAAGCACACACGTGCATGAACGGGCAGATTCAATCATGTTGATGTTCGAATCCAATTTAAAACCTGAGTGGAAAGGATCAGAGAAGCGATGTGAGTATGCCGGGCCGAAATATAACCGACGACCTTCGCATCTTCAGTCAAATGTTTAAATTACTCGACTACGCGATACTTTTAAAACCCATACTTTAAAATGAGACGACCTAGAGATTAATAGACGTAAACATTTAATTCGGGCATTTAATGTTTTTTAAATTCATATCTTCTAATCCATTTTATTTCTTTGTCGCAGGGTTTTACAATTATTATCCTTCTTACTGTGGTAACGACTGTGTCTGCCTCAAACTCTTCTCCGTGCATATCAGAAACAATTGATACGACTTGTACTTGCCTAAGCCCACCACCACGTCCACCTAGTCCATGCTATAAAGGTAAGCATAGGTCTAGTTTCACAGTAGTGGTAAGACATTAATGCTCATTTACCACTAGACTCTGAAAGAAAGAGAGCCAGAAAGAGACAAGTGAAGCAAATCCAATACACCCCAACAGTCAAATAAAGTCTGAGAGTCTCAATCCACACATTTCCAATTAATTCAAATATTTTGCCGGGAAAGCCAAATAATCATTTTTTCCAATTTTTGAGTTATATAATAATTATTGTTGTGTTGTTGTTGATGTACGGGAAATGGTTCAAAAGCACAATATGTCAATGGATTCCTCCAACAAAAAAAACACAGGGACCTATTGCAAGGGGTGGGGAGCAATGTAGACAAAACTATCGGGGAGCCTTGGGAGTGGTCATTCCTGCAAAGGGCCCTTTTGGGGGGAGCCTGGTGACTTTACTCTGATAAAATAGTATAAATCCAGGGTAATAACAGTACTTTGTAGGGGCACTTTGCATCCCTGAGGCGGATAAATGCACTTTATTTATCATCATCATCATATTCAAGGGTGTCGATTTGTATCCGTGGTTGGGGGGGATGATAGGTGCCAAAATATTTTCGGCAATGGATCAAAGCAGCCCAGAGGTAGAAGCGTGTGGCAAGTTGCACCCCTCCCAAGCGCGTAGCCAGGATTACATTTTAGGGGGCGGTAGTGAGCACGCGAAGCGCGGTCCCTAGGGGGTTGTCCACCCCCGCGAAGCGCGGAAGCTCTGACTTTTCACTAAATTATTAGAGAAAGAAGACGATTCGTTGGACCGTTCTCGACTCTTAATCCTTGTTTGAATCAAGTTCCCCTTCCTCCGCGCGTAGCGCGGAAGCTTTGACGTTTCAATAGATTATTAAAGAAAGAAGACGATTCGATGTACCATTCTCAGCTCTTAATCTATGCTTGAATCAAGTTCCCCTTCCTCCGCGCGTAGCGCGGAAGCTCTGACGTTTCATTAGATTATTAAAGAAAGAAGACGATTCGATGTACCATTCTCGACTCTTAATCTTTGTCTGAATTCATTTTCGCCCATTCCTGCGCGTAGCGCGGAAGTTTTCACCTTTAAATACATTATTAGAGAAAGAAGACGATTCGTAGTATCGTGTCCTCCATGAATTTAGTTTCCCACTTCCTCCCCTACCGCGCGAAGCGCGGAAGCTTTAACGTTTTATAAATTATTACTCTTAATCCCTGTCTGTATTCATTTTCGCCCATTCCGCGCGTAGCGCGGAAGCTTTCACGGTTCATTAAATTATTAGTAAAAGAAGACGATTAGTTGTATCGTGTACTCTGACCTTTCATTTGATTATTACTCTTAGTCCACGTCTGAATTCAGTTGCCCCCCTATTAGCTTTGCCCTTTTCACTGAATTATTAGAGAAAGAAGACGATTCGTTGTACTGTTCTGAATTTAGTTTCCCCACTGAAAATAAGTTGTATCACAAATAAGTTGTGACATAATAATCTTTCTCCAAAAATGAAAAAATGTTTTAGGAAATATCAGGAAATAAAATGAGTGAAAAAATAAAAATAAAGATACAATGACGTGAATTTTAAAAAGGGTGAACGGAAACAACATAACAACTAGTGAACTTGTTATAAGTCATACTAATGTCCGAAAATCTTTCTCCTAGTCTCCGATCTCATCACGAAATCGTCACAGAGTTCATTTACGTTTACACTGTCCAGGATTGTCTGATGTGCATTGCAGATTGCTACTTTTGCGCTTCGCGCTTAACATTTAGCTCGTTGCTTTTTGACGCTGCGTCTTTGAATTTGGCGCACTGCATTTCTATGATGCTGTTGATTGAACAAATTGAATAAATTCATCAATTCCTGATGAAGCCGTATGAGCGGGAATTCAATTTATTCTTGTCTCATATACGGTTGTCTTATTTATTTCATATATATGTATGTATTATGAAAATGAGATAGCAAAATGTGTATATTAACTACTCTCATCGGGCTATCATCATTAATTTTTCTCTTCATTTTTTTTTTTTTGATGGTGAATTATTGGGGGGGGGGGGGATGATTGTACAGGCCACCCCCCCCCCACCTGAAATATTGGGGGGGGGGGGATATATCCCCCCATCCCCCCCCCCCCGGGATCGACACCCATGATCATATTAATCATCATCGACATCATTCTTATCGATGTTGATGCTATTGTTGTTAATGTACTCAAACAACCTTAATCTCAATCAAAGTGACAAGTGTTTCTTCTACCGTAAAACAAATTCACACCTCTAATATTAAGGGTTGTAATTATTTCCTCGATCCTTTCTTTAACGAGCGTATATCAATGTAATTGTTTCTTAGTGCCCAACCTTGTCGAGTCTGGAGCAACCCATGACTCCGTCTCAGCGAGTTGGTCGGCACCTTGTGGAGTGTATGGCTACAGAGTGACCTGTTCAAATGGATCAAACGTAGGACCACAAAACATCAGTGCTGATGAGACCATGTTTACCTGTACCAATCTACCAACCCCTGGAGCAATTTACACCATCACAATCACGACATTGTGTAGGAATAGTGAAAGCAAGCCATGTCAAATTCCAATAACATCATGTGAGTTATCTATTGTTCTGCTAGCTGACATTTACTTAGGGTTTAAATATTTAGTTTTATGGATGTTTACTTTTGTTGACATCTCCAAGATGTAGTAACGAATGCCGTTTTGCGCTTTCCACCTGTATATTATTATTATTTTTTTTTTATGCCTTAGTCACACCTTTGCGTATTTGGCTTTAGTCCAGAATCTGCACGGTCCTTTATAATTTCCCTACACTTGATTCAAGCCGTCGAAGATGGCGTTATCAACAAACTCATAATTATGCTCACCAGATTTTCGCCGGGTGTCTTAATTTAATGATCACGCCACCATCGGCTGGTAGCAAGTAAGTAGGGAGAGGTTAGCGTTGGTGTGGTGGAGATCAAAATTAAAGGGGAAGTCCACCCTGAAATTAAGTTAGTTTTAATAGGAGTAGAAAAATGAGAGAAACAAGTCAGTGAAAGTTTGAGCAAATTCCGATTAAAAGTAAGGAAGTTAGGATTTTTGAAGTTGTGATCAATCAAACACAAATTGGCAACTCTATGACGTATCATGCGAGCTCAACTTCCATTTGCTCAGTACTAAAAAAATCTAAAATTTTCATTTTCCCTCAAGAAAAATTTCAACCATACATGCACCCTAAATATAATAATTGCAAATATGTTTCTATACTCCCCCTGCAAGGAACAAATATATATTCCGTCATCAATAACGAAGAAAACATGATTTTATGGAATATTATGCACGAAGCAAATGAAGGAGAGCTCGTATAATAAGTCACAGAGTTGCCAATTTGTATTTGATTGATCACAACTTCAATAATTCATTACTTTCTTATTTTCATGCAGAATTTGCTCAAACTTTCACTCACCTGATTTTCTTATTATTCTACCTCTATCGAAACAAACTTATTTTGGGGGTGGACTTTCCTTTAAATAGGCCAGATTCTGGACTAATTTGGCTTGCGTATTGCTGCGTATTTATGGCAAGCCGTTTTAATATTTATTCCCATTTCTTGATATCAAGAAATCGAAATCGAATTCTTTGTATCGGTTCATTTCTTGATATCAAGAAATGGGAATAAAATTAATGTTAAAACGGCTTGCCATAAATACACAGCATTGCGCAAGCCAAATACACAAAGGTGTGACTGAGGCATTACCTCAACAATTACTATTCACACTTATTGTAATTGAGTTGTCCGTTGTGCCGTTATAACTAGATATATATATTAAAGTGTAATTATTTGCAAAAAGAATCCAAAAGGGACGACATCAGGTTGAGATTTGATTTCAGATATGCAACCATTATTCTCTCATTTCTTTTCGCATATGTGTAGTTTGAATTCCTATCTCGATAATTTCATTGTGACAATCCATCCCTGCCTGCGCCTTCCAGGAATTGCTACCGTAAACTAGATTGTATCACAAAAAATATTAATCTAACACGTGCTTTACTCCTCATCTCAGTAAATAGGTCGTAGTACTCCAACCATACCAATTACAGATCATTGCAAGTAGGGCCTATAGAGTATAATCATTTAGTGGATGTCCATCTCTCTGCTTTGCTCAAATGCATTGGGCTGGCTCTATATGTTGCCTAGACCGAAACGGATTATTTCAGCCAAGTTAGTAAGTGGAACCGATGTATTATAGCCTAGGCCTAATTTACAATTGGATATACACGAGGTAAAATGACATTTTGGGGGATTTTGGGGGCATAACAATACGACCTGAAATGGCCGTGGCGTTATCAAGGGAATGTGTATAGACGGTTTCCGTCTCTAAAGAGAGAGCCGACCCTACCCCAATAAGAGGCTAACGAACGAAAGAGACGGAAAATTCGGTCTATATGTTGCCCTAATCCTACAACCTAATCCACCGCAAATACTATTTATGTCGACAATATTTTGCTCTTGCTATTTTATCTTTTCAGTATATAATATTACTCCTCCTGTTACTCCAGAGAGACAAACATCCGACAAATTTCCGTTAATGTTCGTCTCTCTGCCCTGCTCCCTCGTGTTGAGTTTGATCGCTGTTGCCCTAATCAACAACTACAAAAAGCCCACATACCAGGTGAAGACAAACATTTCAACCTGCACCAAGGACAACGCAGGGGTATTCCCTGTTGCTAACTGCAGGTGGGTCAAACATGTTGGAAAAACTCTTTACCATTAGACGAAGATTAGATTTTTTTTAAGGATGATTGGAAGTGATAAGAATTAAACATTAAGATGTAAATACTTAATACGATAAAACATACCAAATGTGTCGTATAATCGAATTTAAAAAAAAATCATCTAAAAGATGCAAAGGTCGTTGGTTCAAACGGCTCAGCACTAGTAATGACACTTGGCGAGATGTTAACCTACATTTGCCATCCTTTATCGTGATGTAAGTGGTGAGATGATATTCATTGAATGCTTTGAGAACTAAACTCATTTTTGTTCTTTCGTTTCTCTACCTTCTAGTGCATTTAAGAATTTCTCTTTTTAAATTGAGCACAACATACTCTAATCTAATGTACATATCTGTTGTCAGATTACCTTTTAGGGGCGGCCAAAATGAATCTACCGAAGAAGGATTTAATGTCACGAAAGATACAGCCAAGCTCTCCGTAGGTGATGACCAACCAGGTACACGTACTTCATGCATGTCGTACGATAACGCATCCTACGCACATTTACGGGCCACTGTCCCAACAGGAGACCAACAAGACTTCGACACTGTCATGTCATACAATGGCCTAAACATTGAACTGACGATGCCATGCTAAGACAAGGATCGTCATCATCAGGCGCGGATCCAGAGGGAGGGGGGGGGGGGCGAGCTGGCCTTGGCCCCTATGCCCCCCCCCCAAAAGAACAGAATTTTCCTTATATTTTTTGCCAGGGGGGATTTTCAAATTGCCGGGGGCAAAACAACAAAAAAACAACTACAAAAGTAGTGCTCACTACCCCCCCCCCCCCGCCACTGAGCAAAATTTTCAAATCTCAGCACACTAAATTTTTAATTGATTTCAAATTTGGGACTCCCCCTAAGAAATCCTGGATCCGCGCCTGGTCATCATTATGCAATATATATTGTTTATTCGCGTTATTCGTGTTAGATACTCATTCATTGATGGCGGTGACGGAAACAGAGTTTTAGAATACATGTAGAGCCTTTTGGCACAAAATGTATGCGGATCAATAATGGCTCGAGCTCTGTCCTGACATGCTTGTCCAGTTTAATCAGTATAAGATTATTTTTTTTCTTTTCTCTCTCCCTCGAGTTCAGTTTCTTATTACGTATAAGACATATTCTTTAGTAACATGTGGTGTCACTTTATTATACTTCGGTTATGGTAATCGGGAGAGAAAATAGCTCTCATGCAATTTAATAATGTTTTGATATCGAATATTGATGAAATTACCCTTACAAAATTGTACCATGGTAACCATGGTACTTTTGTCCAAGTTACCATCCACCATGGTAACCATGGTTTTCATGGTACCAAAACAATGAAATACATTGTTTAATGACCCAATGTATTTTATTGTTTTGGTACCATGATACCCATGGTTACCATGGTGGATGGTAATTTTTACAAAAGTACCATGGTTACAATGGTACATTTTTGTAAGGGTGATGGGGTGGGAACGGCGCTGGTACAGAGAACCAAGTCCTAGACATGACCGGAATTGTGCCAGATAAGTGTGTTGGAAATTTAGACAATGCAAATAGTTACAAGACTGAGTATATTTTTTCATTGTGTGCTTAGCCAGATATTATGTAAAGATTATGAAACATGTTATGGTATGCTTTTAAATATAATATACATAGATATTTTCAAATAACCCAGATTTGTGAAATGAAACACCTTTTAACAGACAGCTGGATAGTGAGAGTATGTGGTATTATGTGTTCTGATAAAAGATATTGAAATTATTTAACCATTCAATCGTATTTTAAGTTGGAAACATTTACGTAAATTGAGTAATGAAGGTACAGTGTACTAGTACTTTAGTTGAATGGCACGTATCTGTTTCACACATGCTATACCAAGAGTATTTGGTCGGTTTTTACCTGACTGATTATTAAGCATGTGTATGCATGTAAGTAAGCAACCAGAGGTACGACGGCTTTGATTCCTCTCCAAAGGACTTGGCTAGGGCGATTAATGCCTTACCAAAAGGCACCAGCGCTTGGCTCAATTGATTTCGAACTCGGGACCGTCTGGTTACAAGATCATTGCTCTACAAAATGATATATCTAAAGCCACCTGTTAGTTTTGTCAATATTACCCTAGGTATATAACATTGTTTGTGTAAACGATTCCTAAACCATGGAGGAAGAAAGCATGTAATAACGCCAATATTTATGTTACAACATGTGTATTTCTGCGGTTACTTTGTCGCCCTCACGCGGCTTGCGATCGCTTATAAATTACCGTACATCTTTCAAAATAATTTTAACAGATACTGAAAGATAGAGATTCAATATTATCTAGATTTCGCTTGGACTTTCAATAGAGAAACAATGTTATCAGAATACAACTCCGATGTGTAGAAGCCCTTTTCACTGATAAAGTATTTTCATTGTATGTCCTAAGAAATTTAGTGTGAAAAATGGCCGCAGTGAGCTTATAACGAAATATGAATTCTTTTTAATTCTACAGACAAAATGTTTCATTATAATGAAGTGAAGCTCATGAAAACTTATTTTCATTTTTTTTCCTTATTATGCTCCCTATTCTTATATTTCTTGCAGATTCTACGCTTTTTCGATGCATATTCTTTTTTCTCTGTTCCTTGGTAAATGAGTAACACATACGTGACGGTACACATCGACTCATACTCAGATTTCTAGATTCAAATGTCAAATTATAAAATTCAATTATACAATAATGAAACTGAATTGAACTAATGAGATGAGAATCTCATCTCAACTTACGTACCCTCGTAAGTTTCACTTCAGAGAAAAGTGACATTTGGTGTATATTGTACGTCTTACCATGATTATGTTAGGTAGTTATGTTTGCCAAGTTATTCCTATTTTATGTAGTCGTTTAATTCACTTTGTATTTCCTTGTTAAATGAATAAAAAAGGAAGCGATATAAAATTGTGTCAATCGTTAATGCTTAATGTTTATTAGGCAGCATAAACCAATTAAGTTTATTAGTGCCAAAGTACAGATACAGACAGGGTCACAATTGGGAATAAAATGGGGCCCTTTATCGTCTTTGGGAAACCAACAACTCGTACAAAGCTTTTTATTTGAATGGACTATGAAGATTGTTACAGGTAGTAGCGTAGCTACAGCAGGCACGGAGGGCCAGTATACGCCATCAAATGGCGAAAAGGAGAGCGATGGAGTGAGGGAGAGGTGATTGAGAGAGAGAGAAAGAGAGAGAGAGAGAGAAGGGGGTATGATTAGAATATTCAACGGCGTGGAAATTCAAACATCCTCCTTAATGAATTGCTTTCTTTATTTGTATTTTATCCCTCGAAGGTTAAAAGGAAAATCAAACCTGATATTAAGTTGATTTTAGTAAAAAATTAAAGCATAAAAATGAGAGAAGCATGTTAGTGAAAGTTTGAGCGAAAACCAATTATAATTGACATTTTTAAAACGTTATGAATTTTCGAAGGTGCGATCAATCAAACACAACTCTGTGACGTATCTTGTGAGATCTCATCTCATTTGCTCTGTACTAAAAAACTTCATAAATTTTTAGCTTCCCTTAAGACAATTTCCAATCATACGTTATCCCTTTATACAATTATTGCATATCACCCCTGTATGAAACAAATCCATTCCGTCATCAATAACTAAGAAAATAAAAGTTTATGAAAGTTACTTCACAGAGCGAATTGGAGAGGAGCTCGCAAGATACGTCACAGTGTTGCTAATTTGTCTTCACAGATGACGACTTCGAAAATGTAATGACTTTCCCATTTTTTATCGGATATTTTTCAAACTTTCACTTATTTTTCTGCTTTTATTGAAACCAACTTAATAATTATATCAGGATGTACTTCCCCTTTAAGAACCGATTGCCATCAGTGCCCCCGATTAGAGTCTATTTGTACAGTGCATCTACCTCGAAAGATGCCGGTGCCCCCTCCCTCCCCCCCCCCCCCTAATGGTCTGGACCTGCACTAGGCCAACGATGACTGGAGTTAGGCAACATATACGAAGGCATTTGATACCAGAGATTTATTAAAACCCTTACCTTTCATTTCAATTATTTCTTTACATCCACTAATAGAGGAGAGAGAAAAATCACCGCAGTTCTTGTCTACCAGTGCCATTCAATTTGAGAAAACTTGTCCGAACTATAGTCTAATCAAGGATTTGGAATGGAATCATGGGTTCAATTAATGCAACCACCATTGCAGAGAGAATAGAAAGAGAAGGAGTTATAATATTAGAAAGGTAACAAACAAAGTACTAGTGAGTGAAAGGAGAGAGAAAAGTGTAGAGTGAATAAGTAAAGACAGACATATAGAGAAGGAGAGAGAGAGAGAGAGAGAGAGAGAGAGAGTCAGGATATAGTTGTTGTAATGCCCTTCTACACGTTTCCCGGAGGCGTGCATGCTCGCAGTCGTGTGCTAGCTGGCCATGTTCAGGCACCAGAGTGCACCAGAAACAACTTTCATGATCGAGGGCAAAGGGTCACAGCAAAATAATATCCCTCAATTTTTTTGTTTAGCACACAAGCTCGACCGACGGCTGTGTGCACACATTTTGGCAAGTTCAAATAGTGTGAGTCTATATACTTCCATGCGTCTGATGTTTGAGCATTGAAACGGAAAGATATTGTCGGTACAATAATATATCAGTCAATCTAAAATTAAAACCATTTTCATGTGTACGTGTACTGCAGCTGCAACATTGCATTGTTAGATTCAGTCTAATAGAAGTTCTCGGGCGGGCGAGATCTCGTTGAAATTTTACCAGGTACTTTTTCAAATTCATGAGTTTTGCAGCCTCTAAGATGATGTTTTTTATGATTATTTATTCGACGTATGGTGATCTTGATAATGGTAACAGCTCATCGACAAACTAGACAAGTGAAATGCATGCATTCACTGTTGACTAGGCGTAATTTAAAGTCAAAAGTCGTGCTTAGTTTTTGAGTTGGTTGCTACTGCTTGACAAACACAACTTGTTTATTAAAAAAGATTTTATCACAATAAGCAATATTTTAGAGGTAACCCCTAAATCGGAGGGGTCGTCCAAAACTAGAGGCCCTGTAGACGAAAAATAATATTATGTTAATAATATTGTAAGGAAGCGTTGAATCACCACGAATTTGATGTCTTATGAAAGATAATAAAATTGTCTACACTCTAAAAACTGAAATGTAAAATCACCATTTAAAAGGGCCAAGGAGTGACCACTCTTTCAAAATGGTAGTTAACTCTTTGAACATGCTGGATCCAACACTATAAAGGTTGAATCAAGCAGGTTAAAAGAAACAATCTGACATTTTGAAAGAGTGGTCACTCCTCGGCCCTTTTAAATTGACATTTAACATTTCAGTTTTTAGAGTGTACGTTTTGATATCAATTTTAATGGAATAGAACCTATTTAATCTCTTAGTAAACAAATTATTTTGTGATTTTTTTCCTCAAAAAATGGCATTTCACCCCCCCCCCCCCCAAAAAAAAAAATGTTCATATATCGAAACCGGAGAGGTGTATTACTTTCCAGAAATTTGCCTATGTTCAAGGACAATGTCATGTGCGAAATAGAGGCATATAATTCTTGTCAGTGAAAAGTCAAAGCAACACAATGTTATTGACTTGATTTCAACAAAAAACTAAACTTTTGCCCATACGTATTACTGGACATGTGTGTATTGATGGCGTGTTTGGTGTGTTTGAATCGAGTTTCAAATAATACTTTTAAGTAAAACCTAAAATCCTCATGGTTTTGGTGTCATATGATGGATAATTAAGTAACCCTTAAAGTTGATATCAATTTTATTGAGTTATTTAATGTGTGAAATATAAATTTTGAGCCTAATATATATATTTTTTGGTAGATAACCCCCCCCCTTATTTCGGCCGGTGTCTTTGTATATTAACTGGACGATAGCTCAACGGGGACACATTTAATAATGCAGAAAGTTCAAGTTCCAAGGTTTGATGACTAGACCTTCAGTATTATATTTTAGGAGACACCCTTCCTAATTAGCTATAGGAGGGGTAACATTAGATATCCAGAGGTTTTGAGGGGAGGGGTTGGAGCAGCATCCTTTTCTGCATCTTTTTCTTCTAGTTGGAATTTTCTATAACATTTCATGATGCAAGAATCAACCCCATAATTACTTCTGCATGAGGTGATTCTTGCAACATGAAATTCTGAGAATTATAAGGAAGGGGCACCACAAACATATGGAATTAAGGAGATGTAAGGATCATACACCCTGGCCTAGCTGGACCCCCATCGGCATTTTATAAGGTGGATTTGGGTTTTAGAATGACGTCTTTAAATCCAATTTGAAACATCGGCTTCAGATCAAAAGCAATACTATAACATTATATTTTTCATTAATAATAAGTGATAGTCTGAAACCTTTCTCCAAATATTTTTTAACATCAATTTAGGTATAATCACTCAACCGTAAAGCACGTGTGATCCAATCGGATATCTGTCCTCATTCGCCTCACAACCTCTCGCAGTTTATTTGAGTACCGTTTTACCATCTATCCGAAGAAATTTACAGTCCGTTCTCGTCATTATGGAAAGCTTGAAAGGGTACGTCACGGATTGGTGGAATGACATGGGCATCATCACATCCTTACTATTCGGCTTGTTCGGAAGTGTCATCGTGTTCGGCATCGTTCGGCAAACCTTCGGGAAGCGAGAGAAACTACCACCTGGACCTCTCAAAATCCCATTCCCGCTCAATATCATCGCCAGCTTGTTCTCAAAGGAGGGTAAAATGGACATGATCCTCTCCGCAAAACGAAAGTAAGATCAAATCTAAATGTCAATGAAATAATTTCCAATGTTTAAGGTTAAGCCGATGCATGCACACGAGGAGTCATTTGCCTGACGTAGAACTGCGTCAGTGGCTGATGCGTCAGTCGCTGACGCATCAAGTCAGGGTGACAACGTACAAAGAGTAAACGCACCATGAAAGAGTGGAACAGTGCAAGCATTGACGTGAATTACTAGCGTATGGAACAATACAGGCTTGATTAGCGTAGGTAACAAGCAATCGAAATGACTCCCCGTGTTCATCGGGCAGTATACTCATCTAGGCCTACGGTGGTACATACTTATAATACACAGCAGTGAGGGCATTATTAAGAATGACCCACATTTGGAACAGTCTAACACGCCCGAGGCGATAGCCGATGGTGTGGGATTGTTTCGAAGGTACCTACATGTAGTTCGAGTAATTTTATTAGTGCCTGAACAAAATGATGTGTATTATTTGTTTTATAACATATTGTTTTATAACATGATTTTACTAATGACTGGTCATTAGCATTTACTAATGACTGGTCATTAGCATTTACTTATGACCAGTCATTAGCATTTACTAATGACCAGTCATTAGTAAAATTACTAGTCAGGCAAAATAAATGCCTGGTCACGTGTATGCTCTCAACCAATCATTTGATTATGATCCGCTTCATCATCTTATAAAAAGTAAATAAAACGCCAAATGGAACCGCTTGTATATTTTGTACGGACAGATTCTGTCCTCGGACATCGTGTATAGACAGTTTAAACCCCAAAAATGTTTCATTCCACAATAAGCTTTATGAATGTTATTCCAATCAACACAATAAAATGAATCAGTTGAATTAAAATCTTATTTCAGGAGATGAACAAAGTCAAAACTCAGCGGCCATTAATTCGGGTTTTATTTAACCAGTATGAATTGTGCTTTGAGCCAGAAGAGCGTTCACACTTATCTTTTAAGACAGAGTTAACGCCCTTTGACTCCTTACAGACTTTTTGCTCAACCTTTTACAGGTACGGAGACCTTGTGAGTATCGAAATCGACGGACAGCCGAAGATTCTCGTCGGGTCTCCCGAACTGGTTCGGGAGCTCTTCGTAAAACATGGTGACGTCTCATCGAGCCGAGCCGCTTCGAAACCATTAAAAGCTATGATCAACTATACGGGTGAGAGAGAACGATTTTCTGTCATTCAGCCTTTCTGTCGTTACCACAGCAACTGATTCCAATACCACAAAAAAAAGAAAAAGAAAAGCAAATCGAAATTTAGAAACCACGTATACGGGTCCTGCATGACCAGGAGGGAGGTTGGAGTCATGTAGGCCTACACAGTAAAAACGCTGTTTAAAAAAGTGATGTTCACTTACAGTTGTACACTATCTTAAACAACAGTTGATCAAATTGTAAACAATGTTGCTCGAAACAGAAGTAATTTTGTTAAACATTCGTTGTTTAAAATTTAATGACTGCTATATTTACTATACGAGAGCTTTTAGACAGTGTTGTTTACATATGACGTCATGTGTCTCGTGCCAGTTAAGTGCGTGTTGGCTAAAGGCTTTATTTCACATTGTTATGTTTAGAAACAGGTTCCTTGAAACTAACATGCAATTGAAATTGACATGCCACTTAGAAATGCAGTGCAGCTGTTAAGGCACAGCTCATTGTTATTCATATTAGATGCATACACACAATGCAAGTGTATGCAAGGGCCTTTTGTTGACTACACAGATTGATACATATGTAAAAGCACATGGACATTGAGTCTGGATCAAACTACCAAAGCAACCACACGTGTTTCTGCAGGCTCCATCTTGTTTGTCTCTATACTTACATTTATTTAGCTTAATAGTTATTACTTTCCAACCCACAACACAACATCATGGCCGACCAAGCTACCGACGCGCTTCTAAGTGACTGGGGATTCAATGGCTTAATTGAAATCACTTTTCTATTAACCACTTTGAAGTTTTTAACTTATAGCGTAAGTTCACAGTTAAAATTTTCGGTATCTGTACGCAAATGTCAGAATATTGGTAGACTTAAAATCGTCGCGTCATGCAGTGCGGCACTGATCGCGCACTCGGTTATAACGTGTGCTAAATTCCTTGCCATAGAGATTGCATGCATCCCTATATATGCAGTTTATACGTGCGTGCATGCGCGCTCATGCAAAATGGGCACTGTTTTGGCGCTAATTCATGAATTGCAGAATGACCCTAGTCTTCATATACCTATATAGAGACCCAGAAGTAGTGGTGCACTTATTCAGAGTATCAAACCCAAATTATACCCCATTATACAACCCTTTTGCTGTAAACAACCCCCACTGAACAACAGCTCCTTTTTAAACAACTTTCTTTAAACAACCCAGTTGGTTTAAACAACCCCAACTGAACAACAGCTCCATTTTAAACAACTTTCTTTAAGCAACCCAGTTGGTGTAAACAACCCCCACTGAACAACAGCTCCTTTTTAACCAACTTCCTTTAAACAACCCAGTTGGTGTAAACAACCCCCACTGAACAACAGCTCCGTTTTAAACAACTTTCTTTAAACAACCCAGTTGGTGTAAACAACCCCCACTGAACAACAGCTCCTTTTTAAACAACTTTCTTTAAACAACCCAGTTGGTGTAAACAACCTCCACTGAACAACAGCTCCGTTTTAAACAACCGTCTTTAAACAACACCGGTTGTTTAAATTGTGATTTTAAACAAGTTGTTCAAAATGTTGATCAACTTAGTGTTTAAACTTTAAACAACTCGAGTTGCTTAACATTTTAAACAACTCTTAGATCAGGTCACCCGTTAATCAAGAGTTGTTTAAACTTTTAAACAACTTGTTCACAAAAATTTTAACTGTGTATATCAAACAGTATTTTGTAATTTTGTTTCAGTTCAGAGGAAAGTAAAATGGAACATAAGTGCTCTGTCTGCATGTGTTTCTCGTTTCCAATGCTTAACATCCCGAAATGTGACAAAGTTTGTGGTCTTACACAGTTAAAATTTTTGTGAACAAGTTGTTTAAAAGTTTAAACAACTCTTGATTAACGGGTGACCTGATCTAAGAGTTGTTTAAAATGTTAAGCAACTCGAGTTGTTTAAAGTTTAAACACTTAGTTGATCAACATTTTGAACAACTTGTTTAAAATCACAATTTAAACAACTGGTGTTGTTTAAAGACGGTTGTTTAAAAAGGAGCTGTTGTTCAGTGGGGGTTGTTTACACCAACTGGGTTGTTTAAAGAAAGTTGTTTAAAAAGGAGCTGTTGTTCAGTGGGGATTGTTTACACCAACTGGGTTGTTTAAAGAAAGTTGTTTAAAAAGGAGCTGTTGTTCAGTGGGGGTCGTTTACACCAACTGGGTTGTTTAAAGAAAGTTGTTTAAAAAGGAGCTGTTGTTCAGTGGGGGTTGTTTACACCAACTGGGTTGTTTAAAGAAAGTTGTTTAAAAAGGAGCTGTTGTTCAGTGGGGATTGTTTACACCAACTGGGTTGTTTAAAGAAAGTTGTTTAAGAAGGAGCTGTTGTTCAGTGGGGGTTGTTTACACCAACTGGGTTGTTTAAAGAAAGTTGTTTAAAAAGGAGCTGTTGTTCAGTGGGGGTTGTTTACAACAAAAGGGTTGTATAATGGGGTATAATTTGGGTTTGATACTCTGAATAAGTGCACCACTACTTCTGGGTCTCTATATAGGTATATGAAGACTACAAGACTACAATATGGTAGGGTAATACTGCAATTCATGAATTAGCGCCAAAACAGTGCCCATTTTGCATGAGCGCGCATGCACGCACGTATAAACTGCATATATAGGGATACATGCAATCTATATGGCAAGGAATTTAGCACACGTTATAACCGAGTGCGCGATCAGTGCCGCACTGCATGACGCGACGATTTTAAGTCTACCTTTATTCTGACATTTGCGTACAGATACTGAAAATTGTAACTGTGAACTTACGCTATAAGTTAAAAACTTCAAATTGGTTAATAGAAAAGTGATTTCAATTAAGACATTGAATCCCCAGTCACTTAGAAGCGCGTCGGAAGCTTGGTCGGCCATGATGTGTGTTGTGTTGTGGGTTGGAAAGTAAAAACTATTAAGCTAAATAAATGTAAGTATAGAGACAAACAAAATGGAGCCTGCAGAAACACGTGTGGTTGCTTTGGTAGTTTAATCCAGACTCAATGTCCATGTGCTTTTACATATGTATCAATCTGTGTAGTCAACAGAAGACCCTTGCATATACTTGCATTGTGTGTATGCATCTAATATGAATAGCAATGAGCTGTGCCTGAACAGCTGCACTGCATTTCTAAGTGGCATGTTAATTTCAATTGCATGTTAGTTTCAAGGAACCTGTTTCTAAACATAACAATGTGAAATAAAGCTTTTAGCCAGCGCGCACTTTACAGGCACGAGACACATGACGTCATATGTAAACAACACTGTCTAAAAGCTCTCGTATAGTAAATATAGCAGTCATTAAATTTTAAACAACGAATGTTTAACAAAATTACTTTCGTTTCGAGCAACATTGTTTACAATTTGTTCAACTGTTGTTTAAGATAGTGTACAACTGTAAGTGAACATCACTTTTTTAAACAGCGTTTTTACTGTGTAGTTAACTCGGAATATCTAAATCATGTTGAGTACGAAACATAAGTAAGCCGACAACGTTGCTCCGGAATTGCTTCGTCTAACGGTTTTAGATATTGCCTAGACTTGGGTTAGGTATATTGTAGGGTTCTAGGCTGAAGCTAGGAAGTGATTTGTGAAGGAAATTATCGCGAACGAGCAAGTGTCGTGCGACCAAGTTTAACTTAGGAGTAAAAACACCGACCTCATATTCTTCGATCCACAGGAGGAATAATATTCGGGGATTCGTGGCAGCCGCTTCGAAGGTTTAGTCTCTCTGCCTTGCGGACTTTCGGCATGGGAAAACGAAGCATAGCGTCGAAGATTACCGAAGAGGCCAGGATATTCACAGATGGATTATGGGAGAGTCAGACCGTAGAGGGTGTGAACCCTAGTGGTCTCCTGAACAAAGCGATCTCAAATGTTATTTGCTCAATCACGTTTGGGAAGAGATTCGAATACAGGTAACCAAAGCTCTTTTTTTAAAGGTGTGTGTGTCATTTGGTTTTTACAGGCGTGCATCCGTGCATCAATCAGATATGAATATTTACGTCTGGGGACCGACCTTTGACGATCCATCCGACAGACGTCACTCATTTTAGAACCGGAGTCCGCCTGAGCCATTTTGTAGACGTAGACAAGTACTGCTAGACCAACTCCTTAAAAAAAGGATTATACATAAGCTTATACATAAGAGTGGTTTATCCAGCATACGACGAAGTGACGTTGTTTAAAGGCAAGGTCAAATTGCTATAATGGGTCGACAACACTAGGGCTCTACGTGTATATCCATTGCTGGGTATACATGTACAGTGTATTGGGCCATTTACATCGAGATTTTTTTACTAAAATCGTGATTATGGTGGACGTTCCAACATAACATCAGGATGTTTGGCGTGACGAAGTGGGCCTTATGCGAATATGATTTGTAACTTCTGTTGATAGCAAAGGTTCACTTTTTTGCCCGTTCTTTCCAGCGACCCCGATTATATTATACAGGTGGAGAACATCAAGAAAATAATGGCAGGTGGTAATATTCCGCCTGTGCTGCGGATCGTTGCTCAACGTTTCCCGGTCATATTCCGCTCTCCTCTTTCCAAGAACGCAAAGAAACGTCTTCAGAGTCTCAAAGACTTTATCGTCCAACAGGTGGACGAGCACGACAGAACATTCGAAGGTGACGACATCAGGGACATCGTCGACTCATTCCTAGCAGAATGCCGACGCCTCCAGGAGAAGGGTGAGCAGGAATGTTACATTCGGAAAGAAGACATATGGATGTCTGTTTGGGAACTTTTTATCGCGGGAACCGAGACAACAGCATCGGCGCTTGCATGGTTCTTTCTCTTCATGGCTGCACACCCGGACATCCAAGAACAAGTAAGCACACAACAAAATATTAAATCTTAGCCAAAGAATTGACTATGTCATGTCATGTAGCCTACGACAGCTCGATTCTCAGAAGCAGGATAATGTTAAACAGGTCATATGGTCCTTTGATAATGTAATAAGCTGAATGAAAGCTTACTGTCCTGGTCTTAGTAATAGTTTTTCCTTCCTGAAATTTTAATTTATTCTCCTCCTTTCTCATTATAATTCAGGTATTTAAGGAAATTGTTACAACGATCGGGTCAGAGAGGGCGCCTGTCTACGACGACAGAAAGAACATGCCATACACAGAAGCGACACTGGCAGAGGTCCTTAGACACAGACCTGTTGCACCATTTGGATTACCTCACGTTGCCGATGAAACCATACATGTGCGGGACTACGTGATTCCAAAGGGTTCCACGATCTTGGCTAATATTCTTGGGATCCATCACGACCCGGAACTGTTTCCAGAACCGAGCAAGTTCGACCCAAATCGTTTCCTGAGTGATGATGGACAAACTTTTGTCAAGAATGACGCTTATACTGCGTTTGGCCTAGGTATGGTTTAAGTTCCGTGAATTCGTTAGATTGGGATTGACCCTAGCAATTGAAATAATCATAAGACAGTCAAGAAAATCATTTGCTGCCATAAACCATCAAAATATCGCTGCTCTATGAAATAATTAAGTGCTGTACCTATGATTACACCAAAGATTCTGCTTTAAAGACAAAGACCAAATAAGAGATTACTTGCTAAATATTCCAGGTATGTGTCAATTAATAAACACCCTTTGCCGGCGGCTTTCACAGAAAACTTTGAGACACCCCCTCCTTCCCTCCTTCTGGATGCTCTCTCTTCTCTCTCTCTCTCTCTCTCTCTTCTATCCCAGCCGCTCCCGTGGGCTGATGGGTGTAAACATCCGTATGTCAGCATCAATCATGATTTTTTTTGCCCACTTAGTTTAGAATAAAGTAGATATTAGATGGTAACTACAAGCACTCTTCTTCACCCGGGATACATAGGTATGGTTTTGTCTCAGTGATTAATAATGCAATTGTTTGTTTCATATTGTGATTTATATAGGTCGGAGAAGCTGCCTCGGTGAGCAGTTGGCCAAGATGGAATTCTTTCTCTTCGCTACATCTGTCCTTCAGCGATTTACCATCAGACTCCCAGCGGGGGCTACCCCGGACTACAGCATCGGCCATCGAATGATGACACTGCTCCCATCCGACTTTTATATTCATCTTGATAAACGTTAACCTCGAGTCATCAAGGAGCCGCTAGAGAGGCAAAGTGGCCAGGATAATATTATATGGTCAAAAATGAGAGGCATATAGGTTACACTATGTAGTTTAGGGTCGGTGCATCTTCTAATATCACTGGCATTTTCAGGAATAAAACGCAATTTATCGATTCCTTCCTTGAATAAAGAGTACAGTTTTTTATAAATATAATGCTTAAACTTTTAAACATGTTTTTCTCGAAAATGTGAATTTGTGGGTTGACCCACTTTGGTTCTCAGGGGCTCAAAAGAGAGTCGGTCTTGGGCTATCCCCGGCCTTTACATTTGTTGCCGTAGAGTCTAACCGTTCTAAATGTCATGTTAAATGTTCAGTTTTGTAAGGCTAAACATTGCATAAATTGTTTTTTCATTTATTATAACAGTTCACTGTATGCGAGCTTTCACTTATAAGATGTAGCTCCTTGTACATGATCATGTGAGGGATGAATGATTTATAATTATATAATCATTAGATAGCAGTAAGCATATACTTTCCATTGATATTGTAAAAAAAATACACCTACATCTTTATAATGAACGCAACAATTCAGCGCATAGGCTGACATACGTATCTACTGTGAGTTATATTCATATATGTACCTTACAGCATCATTAGACGGACATTATGTAGTCGGAAAAAAGAGTCATTAAGTAGATATGGTCATTAGCAGGACATTTGCGTGTCCTTTAAACGATTGAACAATAGAATTACTGCCCTCTACGTACGTTTGCAGGCAGAGGAAACTCAAAGGCCTCCCAAGAACAATGGGATTAATCATTAGTCATAAGTTTAGTTAGTTATATTGTTATGAATTTAGGGTTAGTTTTAGGGTTAGGGTAATATACCAGTTTGTATGGTGTCCGGTTAATGTGCCACTTTGGGTAGTTTACAGATGTCCTGTTAAAACAACATGTAGGTTTATATAAGACATTTCCACGTTATGAAAATCGTGCATATATAATTTAAATGTTCAATTTCTCATAGATTTCCAAAATGTTTGTACAAAAGATTTACCAATAACAGCAGAATACGCAGAATACACAATGACTTTAGTGAGCAGTAGCTATAGGTACTACATGTACGTACATTTCAGGGCAATGTCGTAAATCGAGTAATTGCAATGTTGATGTTTTTGTGATATTTGAGCCTTCTATATACAAGGAACGGCATCCCTTATACAGGTATTTCTTTTTTTATAACCATTCTCCGGTCATTTTTCAACGGTCAACATACAATAGTTATATGAATATTTGAAATTTAAAAACATGTGCACACAGATATGTAGTTGAAAAGGGAAGTAACCCCATTTCTATCAATTGGAAGGACAAAATACTTATCCAGTCCGTAAAATTGAAATTATTTTATTCAAAAATGAATATTGTAGCACCACTAACTAAATAAAGGCGCAACGGAATTATATATTTGAATATATGTCATCTAATAAAAATGGAAAACAAACTTCTCAAATAATGTTGGTATTATATAAATTTGTGTACGCAGTGATTATGTCCACCTATATCCTACTTTATTTTCATGGCAATTCAACTTAGCTGCGCCCAACCCCTTTCTCAGTTCAAGCCTTTGTCTCAATTATCCCCCCCCCCTTCCCCATCCCATTCTCATCAAGGCGGCTCGTGTGTAAAAGTCTCCTTAATTCTCTCTCTCTTGCTCTCTCTCTCTCTCTCTCTCTCTCGTCCTCTCTCTCTCTCTCTCTCTCTCTCTCTCTCTCGCCCCCCTCTCTCTCTCTCTAAATAATATATTGAAGTTGAAAATCTCTTTTATTTATGTAGAAAAGTAAATATATTGCTCCAAAAATTGTTTTCATTTTTCCCCTTACACTCACCCTCCTTTTAATCAGGTGATAATGATTCTACTCGTGTTATGACTCTGCATGGATCGAGACAAAATGAATTCCCTAAAAGAAATCACCTTGACCATGTCTGCCGTCCCTCTACGTCCCCCAAATTTCTTGAAGCCCTCAAAACGTTTTCGCCAGGCACATGTACCCAAGAACTAAACAGCCCCCCCCCCCAAAAAAAACAAACCAAAAACAACAACAACAAACAAACAATTACAAACATAATCGTGTAGAACCGCTCGTGCCCCTCAAACTTGTCAATTGCTGATTACACCATCTTTTGCTAACTGAAATTAAATTAAAGAATTAAACAATAGCAACTTTCTGTACCCCCGATCTCTCACTCCTTTTTGTAATTGTCTACACTTTTTTATTACGACCATGCTCTTCTATCTTTGTCATGTAAAACATTGCCTTGTCCCTTTCTCGTCTCTGTTGGCACCCCCCTTTTTTCCCCTCCTATTTTGTAGTTCCTTTCGTAGTTACGGACTCGTTAATTTAATTATCATTTGAGGTGTTCACACTTTTACAAGCCTTGCCTTTTAGTGGACCCCTCTGTTTCCAGCATTTATGTCTACATTTGTTTTAAATGCTTATAATTGATTTGTAATGTTTTGTTGGAAACATGAATAAATTGAAATTGAATTGAAATTTGTCATTGCTCTTCTAATACGAATTTCTGCGTATTTCGGCCGTAAAGGATCGCAACGGTTTTCAGCTGCCGAGAAGTGGCTTATAAGCTGCCTATCGTAATTTTATGTCAACATGATACCTGATTTACCTTGACCATGTTGCTAGTATGAATCAACGCTCGAAAACATTCGGTTTTATAATACAGATGTCAGGTCACCGGGGTCACCGGGACCTAGACCTGACGACGAACTTCATTGATGCGTCTAGAGACAGAAGAAGAAGAGTAAAAGTAATCCCCTCCACATGCCTAGAATTCCATTCTACATACATTACTTAAGCGAGATTTCATGATTGGAAATCGCCATGGTAAACCCTTTATTTACCCTTGTATTTATTTATGACCTCATGGATGAAAGGCACTCTGTGATTCCCACAAGCTTTTATTATGCCTCCTTCAAGTCTGTCCGGTTGTGTTGAATGCCAATATTGGCTTTACCTGTATGAGCCTCCAGCTTACCTAGTGCCATATATTATTTTAGCGAGATTTCATAGTTGCAAATTGCCATGGTAAGTCCACTAGATTTTATTTATTTATGACGTCATGGTTGAAAGTCATCATTGGATTCTCACAAGCTTTTATTATGCCTTCCGCATGATTGTCCGGCTGTGTTGAATGCCAATGGCTTTACCTGTATGAACCCCCAGCTTACCTAGTGCTGTTCAAACACACCGTCAGCGATCAGTCATAAAATACAAAACACGCTTTTAATAGAATCTTTTCATTGAGATTTTATTAGTAGCAATATAAAATCACATACGCAATCGCATAAAATATTGCACGCCCCTACAGTACGGCTTCCATTGTATTTTCCAGTTCACTTGAACAGTACATACACTTGGGAAATCAGTCCAAAGGTTATGGATGAAGTGAATAGTTTCTGAAAAACAAATTGAATTCTTTTGATCAAACCCATCTGGCCATGATAATTTAGAGACATTTAGAGTTAATCGTTCTATGGTATTAAAAGAATTAAGTTTTTATTTGTTAATGAATATTCTTTTTTTTCCAATGAATATTCCATTAATTTTTCACGAATATATTACCGTACATTATTTCTAAACTAGGACATTGTTGCATTCTGACATCTTGATACTTTGACAACCAATTCAAGCATCATGTATTCAATTCAGCGCTGTATTCCTATGATATATTTTGTACTACACCGAGTCATACTTCGGTCCGAAATCAATACGTGGTGATGAAGTTCTATAAACCTTCAAGTATTTAGAAAACCCCTAAGCCTGGAAGTACTTTATTGCTATTATGTCTGGGAATACCGCTTAGAATGGTGAGACGGGGAATCCCCTAAGAATGATGACAGTATGACCTTGCACGGAAGAAACGCACACACTGCACATGCTGACCGCTGGTGTATTATCAGTATAGTTTTGTAGAGCACCGCGATTATCAAGTCAGATAATATCTCGACGGAAAAAAAAACATTTAGTTGGAGAAATTAAAAAAATACATTTTGACTCTTGCCGGGCTTATTTCAGTGGAGCTAAACGTAGTCCCAACCGAATATATCACCAAATGAAGTAGACCGATTTTAATAACCTACTATAAGCCTCATCAGGAATACACATCTCGTATAGATCTACACAGTCAGTGGGTATCAGCAGGGACATGATGTCCCTGGTATCAGCATATAGGAATATTAGCATCGCTTCTTATTAAAACCTGGAATCGTGCAGATGTTTTTTTTTAAATTGTATCTTTATTATATATATAATAGAACAAGACTTTTATATAAAAAGAAGTTTCGGGTTTCATGATTATTGTGTACTCTAATTTTAATCCAACATACAACTGATATACATGGTACGGATGATTTTTCTTTAAATGTAATGCTGACAAAAGTTTATAGACGTGTACAGTTTTCTTCTTTAGATACATAATTAATGTATACAACGAATATAATACAAAAACATATAGCACACGCGGCATAATAATAATAATAATAATAATAATAATAAATTTATATAGCGCAGCTTTTATACAAAATATATTCAGCTGCGCTGGTTAAGAGCTCCTTTTTACTAAATTCTACAAAATAAGATCACTCAGTTGAACAAATAAGTTTTTAAATTGGATTTAAAAACATTGAGAGATGGAGTGCTTCGTATTTCTATTGGCAAGCTATTCCATAGTTTAGGGGCAGCAATAGCAAAAGCACGGTCCCAAAGAGTTACTTTAGTTTTGCCATGGGGAATCTGAAACAATAATTTATCTGTGGAACTGCGCAGGCTACGACTGTGTGATTGGACTTTGAGTTGAAGTAATTCTTTGATGTAATTAGGGGCTTGACCACTCAATGATTTATAGACAATTAACAATATTTTGAATGAGATTCTTTGACGGACTGGCAACCAGGCATATATATATTCAAAATAATGAAGAATATAAGCACTGCTCGAAGATAACAGAAGCCCTAATTAATTAAGTCTGACATGTAACCAAAATAAAGTGTATTTGTTCAAGTGACTGCAATAACAATGCAATCACCGATCTAACATTATATACCCCCTCCCTCCGCTCTCACCGCCCCCTCCCTACTCCCGTACAAGTGTAGCAATGCCATAACAGCACCAAATCTGTTGCAAACAAGAAAGGCAACATAATGAAAATCTGAGCTTTTTCACATTACAAGTATGAATTGTCATCATAGCATAATTAATTTACATACGGGTTATAAAAAAGGGTTTCCTAAACATGCTGATATGATAATCCCCTTCCACAAGCTGATTAAAAATTAGATTTAGTTTTATTTGTAATCAAACCAGTGATTGTCTCTTCTATCCATTTTCCAGTGCAATACAGTGACGTACCCAGTAAAATCGATAAATAGGGCTACGAAATCCACCCCCTGAGATTACCTTTATTTGATAGACCTTTAGATTTTCTTCGAAGGGGCGGGGCGAAAGTCGGATCCATCTCATGCTGGATACGCCACTGCTTTATCCCCGTTACACATGATACGCTTTTAGTGAAACGTGAAGGCAATGAACCCGTGCCCCGATAATGTATATATTAATGTATATATTAATATATAATGTTTATATATTGTCACTGTACAACGTCACTCTCAGACATGGTACGTCACAAAATGCGCCAGTTAGTGACTCAGTCCAACGTCATCAAATTAATGAAGCCTCATGTTCAACAGGCATTATAAGACCTCATTGGTGTACTTCAAACTATGGAGGAAGCAATCCCTTAGCCTGCAACGTCGGTAAAAGTTTCGCAACGGCGTGCTCGATTGCCCCCTGACGGCTCTTGTAGTGTCTATCTTTCACGCTGGTGCCACTGGCGACGTCCCAAGCGGTGCCATCGTAGACCCATTTGAGCTTATGTACCCTGCCCTCTGCTTTGTACACGATGGTTCGTCCATGCAGATCAAACTAAAAAGAAAAACAAAATCCGGGCAAATGTAATATCATGATGACAAATCGATTTTTGGGGAAGGGCACTGGCGTATGGCCGTAGAAAATGGACAGGATGTAGGGCTCAATTCAATTCAAGTTTAATTTATTCAACCAATCATTAAAAACAATTTTAAATCTCACTGGTACTTGTACAAATACAATATAATGACAGGTTATGGACCCTGAGAAGCAAAGCTTATTAATGGGGCCCATTAACATACGATATTGAAATAAAAATAAAAACATACAATAAAAAAACATATAGGCCTATGTATATTATGCTATAACAAAATAGTTTCAAATATCTTGCAAACACACTCAGCCATACTCGCCCACTCACACGCAATGACATGCACCTTAAAGCAATAGAGAGCGAGCGAGAGAGAGAGATAGAGAGAGAGAGAGAGAGAGAGGAGAAGAGAAAATAATATTAAATAGAAAAGGGGAAAGCCGAAAAAGAAAGAAGAATTGGAAGCACATG